TTATTAGATAGACAAATAAAATAATTCTCTATTTTTGTTATCATTCATATATTTTTCTGTACTTTTCTTATGTTAAATGAAAATAAAGTTTGTGCAAGCTACTTGTTCTTGTAAAATCGATCTTTAGTCAACACATTCTCTTTCAATAAGTAATTTTAACAGCTGTATTCATGGAGAAAGACATTCATAAACGTTAATCACTTCATATTTATTAAAGTATACACATACTAGCACCTAGTTGTTAATAGTTATGTTGATGAATTTCATAGGTCAACTGAAACATATAAAAAGCGAACAACACAATCAAATATAATGGTAAATATTGATCAACATCATGGGAAACTTTCGGAGACATGTATTAATATCATTATTTCCATCGAATTGATAATTAATTTCAACTTGAATAATAGTTAACACATGAAAGATTGACAACTCATTGTTTATATCGGTGTGAAGCTAGCTCCTTCGTGCTAGCTTCACACTGATTTGCACACCACTCGGTGGTACTACGGCCGAACTTTTTTACTATCGATTTTACCGTAACAAAGAAACTAATTAGAACCTTTTTAAAAAAAAATTTAATTAATTAATTAGTTTCTTAACCTTTTAATAAACTTTCTCAGCTTTCATCATATTGCTACTTCATCGACAATGATGTGAAACATCGACACATGAAGTGATTGAATAGATCTATAAGAAGAAACGAAACAAAGAACATATGGTAGTTGGTCAACAACTGCACAGTTTATATAATGTATTGATAGATGTCAGGATTATTAATAAGAATAAGATCAAGACTAGAAGCAGAAGAAGGACTTAATGAAGATTTTCATTGGTTACAGATATAAACCAATAAAGAATTACAGAATGAGTTTTGTCGTCGGATGATTTTCTGTTCCTTCTCTAACGCGTTCTCAGATTAAGTATGACAACAACGATTGATGTATTAGTGAACAATCGTCAAAGATCATCTTCGGTTAGATTTTATTTATTTTATGAAAATAATCTTGATTTCTTATAGGAAATGCCATTGGATCGACTAAAGCATTTCTTACTCAATGCAAAAAGCCAACGATGGATGATTTGTGAATGGTTCTATTCAGATATCGATCGGTAAGTCTATTGAACTTTTCGTGATCTCTCGTGAAGCGAAGTATCACATTACAGCAGTTGATTACTTTCGTGTTCTTTTCATCGGAGTGTTAATGACAGTTTGATCAGATATAGACAACTGATATCATACATTGATGAGAATCAGTTCTACTTGATTTTGACTCTCTATGTCTTGTTATTTAAAACAAAAAGTCAATGACTATTCGACCTACAAGTATCGCTCCATTGCCTCTCTATTTCTCTTCTTTTTCTTCAAACAAATGAAAAGAGAGACTTTTTAGTTAGTAAATATTGTTATCTCTAGTTGTTTTCTGATAGAATGGAAAAAAGTTTATGAGAAATGATGCAAGTTATGTACCACATTACAATCATTCGAGAAAGAAACAGAAGTGGTGATGATGATAAATATTTATTGACTGACGATTACAGTTACAGCGTGTTTTACGACACACGATATCATTTCATATTCATAATATTTTCACTGCAGCCCTTACCGATGCACAAGTATAATTCTGTTAAGATAAACTAAAGTAAATATTTTTCATAGAGGTTAAGTTCGTATGAAAGAAAACCTAATCATTTATGTAAAACACAAAATCCTTTTGAAAATTCTCTTATTTATTCTGTGTTTTATACGCCGCCTCTTATCCTTGACAATGAGGTTATATTTATCAGTCAAGTATATCCAATAATCGAATAATATCGTCTTCAGTTAGTAGTAATGAAACCGTCAAGTACATATTCGAATGTGTTTTCCAATCTTAATTGACCTTGCAATGTTCGGGGATGCAAAGACGATTTTCAAGGTAATATGCTTACCTTTCTTCGTTTGAAATCACGTAGAAAAAAAAATACCAAAACACTGCCTTTTACTTTTTCTTCGCGTTACCTTTTCTCTCCCGTACTTATAGTCTGTTCATTTCCATAGACATCGAAGGATGAATGACAAAAAAAACCTTTCCTTGGTAACTCATTAGATATTTCTCGTTTCTTTTCTCGTGATGTCTTCATCGTAATATCAATGCAATTTTCCATTATTCTTTTTTCTTTTCGATTCAAGGTGTTTGTTAACAAATGAAAATGAGTTTGAACATTGTGTGGAACACTTTTTTCCTGAACTAGCCAATAAAAAACCACTTCGACTTACTCGTCAACAATGGAATTTAATTCGACGTCGATTTGGCAAACCTCGACGGTAGAAAAACATCTTCATAGTCAACATTGACTGTTTTTTTTTCCTTTGTCAATAGATTATCAAGTGCGTATCTTGAAAATGAAAGAATCAAATTGGTTAAACAACGAAATTTACTACGAATCGCTCAAAATGAAACAAAAACGCATTATCAATCGGAAAAAATCTTCTTGAATACCCTTCCGTCATTCATTATTCCGCCATTGCAATCCGGTGCACGTGTTATTGGTGAGTTTGTCTCTTGTTTTTTTTTTTAAATTCATTTGACTGATTGAAACGTTGAATTAGTTCGATTATTTCGTTCATGTCAATTTGGTTTGTATCGTGGACAATTTCTTTCGCGAAATGAAGCAAATCCTCAACAATATCAAATTCTCTTCGATGATTCAAATATTGGTTTATTGAATGTCAATGATTATGATGTTATGGTAAACAGAAAGCCTTGAATGAGAAAAGAAAATATTACTTTTTTTGTTATTAAAGTCTGAACAACCACTTGAACATCTTGTCCTTGCTGAAAAATTGAAATTAATTCAATTTGCTCGCAAAGATAAAGTATTTAAACATTAACAACTTACATTTTCTTTCGTCGGAACAGATGGAATGACGTTTTTCTAGAATTATTTGGTTAGTGATAACGACGAAGATGACTTACAAACGACAGACGATGAAGAAATTGTACCAAAAGCTGATGTTATTACTAAAATACCTGACCGGTTGTTGTATCTTGTCGTAAGTATGACATTCTCTCGAATTTGTTTGATTTATACTCAATTGTAGATTCGAGTGTCAAGAATACTTTGTGCAAAACGTGATTCGATTGAGAATCTTCGAAAAATGAACGATCAAGCTGAATTCGAAGTTGGAATTTCCACTTTAAATTTCATTTTTAACAAAAATCCTTTAGATAAGTCGCCATATTCCACTAAGTGATACATTCCGACGTGATTATGCGCATTTAATTCAATGGTTAGCGAAACTAAACGAATATTTAGCGAAATTTATCGAGGAAATCAATACAATTTGTCGACAAGTACTACTCGATCACTTCTCTTTCGTTGAAATCATATATTTACATGTAGATCGTCACTGATGAACAATTACTCGTTGTATTTAACGACACAAAATTTGTTTGTGATCGTTCACAACGTTTAGCAAAAGAATTGATCAGTAAACTCAACGTACGATGTCATTCGTTGATGAAATGAATTCATATTTTGTTATAAAATAGGTTCCTCCTGTGGTTCTTAACCAAGAAACACTTGAATTGATTACAAAACTTGTCGCACTCGTCGTACAAATGAAAGTTTGTCGAATCACATGAGATTGTTTTGTTTATTCTTTGATGAGGTTTTTTTTAAAGGAGTTTTCTGAAAGTGAAGGCACGTTCTTAGAATTACACGCACTGGATGAAGCGAATGAGAATTTCAAGAAATCGATTCATCCGTCGCTTTTATCGTAGGAGAATTTTCATTCTTGAAATTCATTTATTCGATCTCTGCTTGTTTTTCAAGGACTTATAAACAATGTGTCGAAGTTAGCGTAACACAATTTAAATCAGGTTTAAATAATCGACCGGGTCTCGGTTTCCTACAATCATTTCTTCAAACTCGACCAGAATTAAACGAACAACAACAAAATAATAATTCTTCTCTTAATCAAACTTTCTTTAGTGTCTAAAATACAAATATATACATAGTGATTTTCTTTTCTAGATGAAGTAATTGAGCCGACAGGTTGTTCAAGATCAAACATGCTTTTTCTTCATCAATTAAAAGTTCTCCTATGGAAAAATTTTACTCTGAAAAAACGCAGTCCGGTAAAGTCATTTCCGATGACGACAATAAGTATTTCTATTTGTATGTTTTAGCTTGTACTGCTATTCGAACTGGTGATTCCATTGGTCTTATTTCTTGTTATGACGGGTATTCGCAAAACTCAAGAAGCGTCTTTCAATCCTCAGAGTAGGGTTAATTTGAAGTTGTTGTTACAGATTGGAATGCCTATCTTTTAGCTAATTATACATCAAATTTTCTCGATCATACTTACCGGCCGAAACCATTTCCGTCAACGGGAGTTTTCTCAATTCTTCAGTCATTCTGTCCGAAATCCGCACCTAGTAACGAACAAGGATTTAGTGTCTTTCCGAATGGAACGTATGTCGTCAAAGACTTCTTTTGAAAACCAATAAAACATCGAGTATTTTCTTTGTAGATCAACGGAGTTATTGACAAAAATCGATCGAATGTCTCGTACAAATCCATTTTTCACCCAAAATTTTTCTATGCACGATATTGATGCATTGCCTGACATTTACGAAACGATGATCGATCGTCCCGCTTTTATTTATGACTCACTAGATAATTTAACCTTTGCATTCACAAAAAATCTAACCCAAATCTGTTCATTCTTTGTTACACAATTGAATTACACCGAAGATCAATGTCACTTACTCTTCAACAATACTCAAATCAATCTAAATAATGTAAGAATATCGGATTGTAAACGAAATACGTTGAAAGACCAGCCGTTTTCTTTTCAGTCAAGATTTAAAAGAGATTTCACAGTAGGTTAACACGTTTGTCATGACTAGCACGACAAAAAATTGTGATATTAACCGATCTAATTCTCCTCTCACTTCCTTGATTTATTGACGAATCAAATTGAACTTAATTTCTTTTGAATAGATTCCGGATATTCTTCCTCATCTATTCCCGAAATCATCCAATCGTCGGAAACGTGATACGGAAGATGAGTTCTCTTGGGTTGAACTCTATTCACTGCTGGAATCATCATTAGAACCAACGGAATACCTTCAAGCAATGATCTTATTGTCGAAAATATCTTCACAAAAAAGCTTGAAAAATTTAACGCCGGATGAACTTCGTTTATTGGCAAAAATAATCAAAGTAACTTTCAATATCCTCTATGAGTCCTTTACACAGCTCTACATGGATTTAGATTTTGTTATTTCATCCAACTTCCCTAAAACGAGTGTTTTGTTCACCTGACAAATTCGATCTACTTTTTCAATTTAACTCCACAGCGATTAATCGGGTAAGAAAGAGCCAACGACTAGATTTAAGAATCTATCCATGAATTTCAGACACAGCTTCAAGAACGCTTATGCAATATGACAGACGAACAGTATCAAGTGCTTTCAAATTTATTGATCAGTTCCATCTCCGATGATGAACTTATCCAAGTGGTAAGAAAACATTTCTGTAGGACTGTTTTGATTTATATCGATTGTCTTTCAGTTGCAGTTGAATCATGTAGAAATTACTTCAATGATCTTTCAACTCGATGATTATATAGATAAAGTAAAATTTTCAATAGAAATCGAACAGATGTTTATCGTTATTCTTTGCTTAGCTTGAAAAATACGCTGTGTTCGAACAAGGTTTACAAGACTTATATGATGTCGCTAGACTTCTTCGCACGAATTCTTGCTATATTAATATAAATAACAGTGATACATCAGCATCATCAGAAATTCCATCTTCGGAAAGTTTTAATGGAAACATTGTAAGTGGATGTGAATTTATTAAATTGATATTTGAGATGAGGAATATTTCTCTTAGGACACAGTTGCGATGAATAAATTAAAGAATAAAAAAGGATTTTTCCCCTTGTGGCTCGGTATGCAAGAAGCCATTTGTGGTGTGCAACCAAAAGTAAATTATGATGCAGGTCAAGGAACAGCTGATGATGAATTAACTGATTTTGGTTTGTATATTTTCCTTTCAAGAAATCGAATAATTTATCGTCTGTTTTAGCGGAATTAGGGATATCGGACAATCAACAACGACAATTAGGCCTCTTATTCTACGTTCTCTATGGGAATTCGATGATTTTATATTCACCGAATTCTTCACTAATTAACGGTGTGATTTCTAAAGCGAATTCCACGTTCGTTTTACTTGATACCATAACTCGATATGCTCATGAATGGGCCAATGTTTCCAATACTTTAACGAAGTATTTTCTCGCAAATGGTACTGACAAAAAGGTTCAATCTTTAAGACGTGTAAGTTAAACACGAATCTTTCGTCATGCCTATGAAATTTTCTTTCAGATGAAAAATTTTGTGATTAAATTTGGTCCTTCGCTTCATCTTTCATCCATGGATCGAATTGTAAATATTCTGAAGAATCTAAACGATCCATCGATTGATAATTACATGAAACAGATCACAACAATTGATAAAGCTGCTTGTAGTTGGCGAAGTTTAATATCAGGAATCAATTTAAATGTATATAAAGGCTTTGCTGACGAAACTGATTTAGTTCAATACTTTCTTCACCGTGCTTATCATGATAATTACACAGTTTTAGCCAGTGTGGTGTTTTCGAATGTGAATGGAAATCATACGAAGTTACCACCGAATACGATTTATAAAATTCGACAAAATGCGTCACTGACACCATCAACAAAACGCGTTCGAGATCGATTTTGGGTACCGTCACCAGCCCAAAATGGTTNAATTTAAATCAGGTTTAAATAATCGACCGGGTCTCGGTTTCCTACAATCATTTCTTCAAACTCGACCAGAATTAAACGAACAACAACAAAATAATAATTCTTCTCTTAATCAAACTTTCTTCAGTGTCTAAAATACAAATATATACATAAGTGATTTTCTTTTCTAGATGAAGTAATTGAGCCGATAAGTTGTTCAAAATCAAACATGCTTTTTCTTCATCAATTAAAAGTTCTCCTATGGAAAAATTTCACTCTGAAAAAACGCAGTCCGGTAAAGTCATTTCCGATGACAACGATAAGTATTTCTATTTGTATGTTTTAGTTTGTACTGCTATTCGAACTGGTCATTCCATTGGTCTTATTTCTTGTTATGACGGGTATTCGCAAAACTCAAGAAGCATCTTTCAATCCACAGTGTAAAGTTTATTTGAAGTTGTTGTTACAGATTGGAATGTCTATCTTTTAGCTAATTATACATCAACTTTTCTCGATCATACTTACCGACCGAAACCATTTCCATCAACAGGAGTTTTTTCAATTCTTCAGTCATTCTGTCCAAAATCCGCACCTAGTAACGAACAAGGATTTAGTGTCTTTCCAAATGGAACGTATGTCTTCAAAGATTTCATAAGGAAACTAATAAAACATTGAGCACTTTCTTTGTAGATCAACGGAGCTATTGACAAAAATTGATCGAATGTCTCGTACGAATCCATTTTTCACTCAAAATTTTTCTATGCACGATATTGATGCATTGCCCGACATTTATGAAACGATGATCGATCGTCCCGCTTTTATTTACGACTCATTAGATAATTTAACTTTTACATTCACAAAAAATCTAACCCAAATTTGTTCATTCTTTGTTACACAATTGAATTACACCGAAGATCAATGTCACTTACTCTTCAACAATACTCAAATCAATCTAAACAATGTAAGAACATCGGATTGTAAAAGAAATACGTTGAAAGACCAATCGTTTTCTTTTCAGTCAAGATTTAAAAGAGATTCGACAGTAGGTTAACACATTTGTCATGACTAGCACGACAAAAATTGTGATATTAACCGATTTAACTCTCCTCTCACTTCCTTGATTTATTGACGAATCAAATTGAACTTAATTTCTTTTGAATAGATTCCGGATATTCTTCCTCATTTATTCCCGAAATCATCCACTCGTCGGAAACGTGATACTGAAGATGAATTTTCTTGGGTTGAACTCTATTCACTGCTGGAATCATCATTAGAACCTACGGAATACCTTCGAGCAATGCTCTTATTGTCGAAAATATCTTCACAAAAAAGCTTGAAAAATTTAACGCCGGATGAACTTCGTTTATTGGCAAAAATAATCAAAGTAACTTTCAATATCCTCTATGAGCTCTTTACACAGCTCTACATGGATTTAGATTTTTTTATTTCATCCAACTTCACTAAAACGAGTGTTTTGTTCACCTGATAAATTCGATCTACTTTTTCAATTTAACTCTACAGCGATTAATCGGGTAAGAAAGAATCAACGACTAGATCAAAGAATCTATCCATGAATTTCAGACGGAGCTTCAAGAACGCTTATGCAATATGACAGACGAACAGTATCAAGTGCTTTCAAATTTATTGATCAGTTCCATCTCCGATGATGAACTTATCCAAGTGGTAAGAAAACATTTCTCTAGGACTGTTTTGATTTATATCGATTATCTTTCAGTTACAATTGAATCATGTAGAAATTACTTCAATGATCTTTCAATTGGATGATTATATAGATAAAGTAAAATTTTCCATAGAAATCGAACAGATGTTTATCCTCATTCTTTGTTTAGCTTGAAAAATACGCTGTGTTCGAACAAGGTTTACAAGACTTATATGATGTCGCCAGACTTCTTCGCACTAATTCTTGCTATATTAATATAAATAACAATGATACATCAGCATCATCAGAAATTCCATCTTCGGAAAGTTTTAATGGAAATATTGTAAGTGAATGCGAATTTATTAAATTGATAGTTGAGATGAGGAATATTTCTCTTAGGACACAGTTGCGATGAATAAATTAAAGAATAAAAAAGGATTTTTCCCCTTGTGGCTCGGTATGCAAGAAGCCATTTGTGGCGTGAAACCAAAAGTCAATTATGATGCAGGTCAAGGAACAGATGATGATCAATTAACTGATTTTGGTTTGTATATTTTCGTTTCAAGAAATCGAATAATTTATCGTTTGTTTTAGCGGAATTAGGGATATCTGACAATCAACAACGACAATTAGGTCTCTTATTCTACGTTCTCTATGGGAATTCAATGATTTTATATTCACCAAATTCTTCATTAATTAACGGTGTGATTTCTAAAGCGAATTCTACGTTCGTTTTGCTTGATACCATAACTCGATATGCTCATGAATGGGCCAATGTTTCCAATACTTTAACGAAGTATTTTCTCGCAAATGGTACTGACAAAAAGGTTCAATCTTTAAGACGCGTAAGTTGAATACGAATCTTTCTTCATGCTTATGAAATTTTCTTTCAGATGAAAAATTTTGTGATTAAATTTGGTCCTTCGCTTCATCTTTCATCCATGGATCGAATTGTAAATATTCTGAAGAATTTAAACGATCCATCGATTGATAATTACATGAAACAGATTACAACAATTGATAAAGCTGCTTGTAGTTGGCGAAGTTTGATATCAGGAATCAATTTAAATGTATATAAAGGCTTTGCTGACGAAACTGATTTAGTTCAATACTTTCTTCATCGTGCTTATCATGATAATTACACAGTTTTAGCCAGTGTGGTGTTTTCGAATGTGAATGGAAATCATACGAAGTTACCACCGAATACGATTTATAAAATTCGACAAAATGCTTCACTAACACCATCAACAAAACGCGTTCGAGATCGATTTTGGGTACCGTCACCAGCGCAAAATGGTTTTAAATATTATGATTTCGGGTTTAGTTGGGTCCAGGTAAAGATAAATTCATCGAGATACAAGGATTTATTAAAATTTGATCTTTCAGGAAGTTATTGATCGTGCAATAATCGATACTCAGGTAGGAAAACCTGTTGTTGAACCCGGGTTATTCTTTCAAGAAATGGCTTATCCTTGTTATACATATGATAAGTAAGTTTCACACAATGTTCTTCGCCTCTCTTTGAGTTGCATGGTTTTAGTTTCCTTCAAATGATCCAACATGCTCTTCCGTTATGTTTAACAATATCCTGGGTTTATGCATTTGCCATGTTAACTCAAAGTATCGTCTATGAAAAAGAAGTTCGATTGAAAGAAGTGATGAAAATCATGGGTTTAAGCAATGGTGTTCATTGGGTTGCATGGTTTATCACGATATTTAGTCAAACGACACTCGTCATGATTGCAGTTACATTGATCTTACATTATGGAAATGTACTTATGCATTCAAATGCTTTTCTCATCTTTTTAATCTTTGAAATTTATGCATTATCATCGATTAGTCTTGCGTATGTTTTATCGAAAGAACGACTTTAATGATCACTGTTTTGAATATTTAGATTTCTTGTCAGCGTGTTTTACTCTAAAGCTAAAATAGCTGCTGCTTGTTCAGGAATTATCTATTTGTTAACGTACGTACCGTGTATGTATATATCCATTCGAGAAGATTTGGCGCAAGATACAATACCACGATGGGCAAAAATGTTGGCAGTAAGTGACCGCAAAAAAGGATTTGATTTTTGAAAATAGTGCGATGTTTCAGTCTTTACTGTCGACAAGTGCATTTGGTATGGGAGCGAAATACATTGCATTTTATGAAAATATTGGTACTGGAATTCAATTCGACAATATTCGTTATAGCCCAGTCGAAGGTGATCGATTTACTTGTTTCGAAACCGTTCTTTTCATGTTACTCGATACCATTCTTCATCTTCTTCTCATGTGGTACATTGAAAATGTATATCCGGGTACATATGGAATTCCGAAGAAATGGTATTTTCCGTTCACTGCTAGTTACTGGACTGGGGAATCATACGTTCAGCCAAATTGGTTAAAAAAACTGAAGAAAACGAGATTGTTCAACTGGTATATTTGCAAGAAACATCACATGTCTTATCAATTCAATTGGTCATCAGCATCCATAAGTCAAATAACTGGCGATTCAAATCGAAATGAAAGTATGATGGACGTTCATTGGGGAAATGTTCCAAATGAAAATGTTCTTTTAGGCTATTTCGAACCAGATGAACAAGTAAATCAACAAACAGTTGGTGTTCGATTGCTGAATTTAACAAAAATATTCGATAAAAAGAAATGTGCCGTACAAAATCTATCTTTAGACTTATATGAAGGTGAAATTCTTTCTTTTCTTGGACATAATGGAGCAGGAAAAACGACAACAATGTAAAATTTCTTCGCTGTATGAGAACCTAACTTATAGATGAACTTTCAGGTCAATTTTAACGGGTCTGATTCCAGCGACATCAGGAACGGCAACTATTTACGATCAAGATATCAATGTTGATATGGATAAAATACGAAAAAATCTCGGCTGGTGTCCTCAACATGTAAGACAGCGAAGGATTGATCGACTTGGACTTTGTTTTGATGTGTTTTAGAATGTTCTGTTTGAAAAATTAACGGTCGAAGAGCATTTGCTATTCTTTTCAAAACTAAAACAGGTTCAAAGTCGAGAGATGAAGAAAATGATTGAAAAGTAAATAAAAGAAATCTCTGAAAAAGACAATCTGTAGTCAATCATTCATTTTTAGTATGTTATTTGATATTGGACTAACAGCGAAACGTAATGCAATGGTTTCAACATTATCCGGTGGAATGAAACGAAAACTATCTGTTGCAATGTAAATCTCTTTTCTTTCAAATTCCCTAAATGTGAACTTCTTTCTTTTTCACAAGGGCGTTTGTTGGTGATGCAAAAACAATTATTCTTGACGAACCAACAGCCGGTGTGGATCCATATGCACGTCGTGCAATCTGGGAGTTATTAATCAAATTGAAACAAGGACGAACCGTTTTGTTGAGTAGTCATCATATGGATGAAGCTGATGTTCTCGGTGATCGAATTGCCATTATTTCAAGTAAAGATTTTCTAACAGAGAATGTTCAATGTTAATCAATGCTTCTGTTCTTTAGATGGACAATTGAAATGTTGTGGAACATCATTGTTTCTCAAAACAACATTTGGCGAAGGTTATGTGTTAACATTAGTTAAAAATGGTAACAGATCTTGAATTTTATCAATCGTTTTCTCGAGACTTTATCGATTTTTAGATCCGTGGCTATCGTCAAAAGATGAGATAACATCAATGATTGTTCAATGTATCCCCAAAGCTTTTTTGAAAGAAGAAACAAGAACGTAAGATGTTTTCTCTCCATTAGTCTTCGATTTTATACTGCTGAACTTTTTCCTAGTGAACTTCAATATGTTTTGCCATTGAAAAGTCGTCATTTATTTCCTGAATTCTTCTCGACACTCGACTCGCGAAAAGAATCCTTATCCATCAAAGGTTATGGTTTACAAGATGTTTCATTAGAAGAAGTTTTTCTCAAAGTAACTGAACAATTCAAGAAAACACCTAGTGCTTCAGCTGTTGAATCACAATTGAACACGCCTGTGGAAACTCCTGATTTAACAACAACGTCAACAATCACTGATACATCATCAACAACGCCACATATTCAACATAACGATCGAGTTACTGGAACTCGTCTCTATGCAAAACAAGCGTTAGCAATTATTATCAAACGTTTCATATTCAATTACCGAAATATGCGTGGATTAGCAACACAGATCTTGTTACCTGCGTTTTTTATTACTGTTGCTATGACAGTCGCACTAACTGCGCCTGGTTTTGCTGATCCCCCGTCAATCACATTATCTACTTCAATGTTTTCTCGTATGAATTCTCTATATACACCCGTATCTGGTTTGAATAGTTATAAATACAAGAATCTTTCTCAACTTTACTCAATGAATGCTAATCCGTATGATTTAGCCGAGACCATTCGTTATCCATCTGGCCTCGGTTCAACTTGCTTATTGAAAAGTCCATACATGAACGAAACTAAATTAACATTCGAGAATTTAACTGGCACGACTTGTGATAGTGTTTATAACAATAAATATCAAGTCGGTTCAACGCAGGATATTAATTGGATGGAAATGTTCGATAATCATAATGTCTCAATCAATCGAACATATGAACTAGAAAATGTGTTCAACAATACATATTATTCACCTTGTACGTGCTCAAAGATTCAATCACGATTTGTTTGTTCATCATTTGCAAAGCCACCATCATTCGATCTACTAACTAATGATCATATCTTAAACATAACAAAGGAAGAAAACGAAATTCTCTATTATTTATATACAATAGATAATCACCATTTAGATCGGTATGGTGGTTTGTCATTTGGTCTAGCTCAAGATTATATCCCAGATGACTATCCCATCAATAAAGATAGTCAACACTTACATAAATTAGCTGTAAAAAATACGGCCAGAATATTTACGAATCACAAAGGCTATCATAGTTTACCATTGTATATCAATATTATGTCAAACAGTATCCTTCGAGCGAATTTACCTCTTGAAAAAGGTCTTCCTTCAGCATATGGAATTACTACGATAAACCGTGAGTTTATTTTTGTCTGCTTTTATCGTTTTCATGTATTTCGAAATTTAGATCCAATGAATGAAACAAATAATATGTTATCAACTGAATTTATTTTACAAGGATCTGATGTTGTCATATCAGTCTTCATCATTGTTGCCATGTCATTTGTTCCTGCGTCGTTTACCTTATTTCTCGTTTATGAACGAGCGACAAAATCTAAACACATTCAATATATCAATGGTCTTTATCCCTTAGTGTATTGGTTGACCAATTTCGTTTGGGATCTTCTAAATTATCTTCTTCCGGCGGCTTGTGTCATTGTTATTCTGCGTTTATTCAATGTACCGGCATATGTCGAAGGAGAAAACTTTCTTGCAGTGATTAGTTTATTTCTTATGTATGGCTGGTCAATTATCCCTGTGATGTATCCATTTAGCTTTCGATTTAGTGAACCAAGTAACGCATATATATTTTTAATCGTGATTAATCTATTTAGCGGTATCACATGTATATATACCTCGTTTTTTCTCGAAATCTTTGCACTCGGAAGTCCGGCAACATCGACATTGAGTGTTTTTACACGAACAATCAAGAAAATATTTAAAATCTTTCCGAATTATTGTTTAGGAAGAGGTTTAATTGACATTGCATACAACGTAAGTTGATGACGAACTTGTTGCGATGTAATCAAATTTCTTTTTTGTAGGATTATTATAACTCATTTTATAAGAAAACCGGTCTCAACGATCGTATTCGTACTCCATTCATTTGGGATATAACTGTATCGAATTTAGTATCAATGGCTATTTGTGGTTTAGTCTTTTGGACATTAACATTGCTACTTGAATATGGATTCTTCTATACGCCATCGATTCCTGACGCATTACCTTACTCTCATTTAGACGAAGATGAAGATGTTGCTCAAGCACGTCGACATATTGTAAATAAAACTGTGCATGATAATATTTTAGTTATGTCGAATCTCTCGAAATGCTATCGTACAAAGAAAACGAAGAAGTTAATCGCAGTTAATAATCTCTGTATGGGCATTCGTGCTGGAGAATGTTTCGGATTGTGCGGAGTGAATGGCGCAGGCAAAACAACAACATTTCGAATGTTAACCGGTGATCTCCGCCCTACAGCTGGTTATGCTTACGTTCATGGGTATGATAGTATTCAGCAAAAACGACAAGTTTTCAAATATATTGGGTACTGTCCACAATTTGATGCCCTTTTCGATGAACTGACACCTGTGGAACACATGTTACTAATGGCACGGTTGAGAGGCATCCGTTGGCATGACGAAAACCAACATGTTCAGCAATTGTTAAAACGTTTAGACCTTTGCGAATATTTGAATGTACCTGTAGGAAAACTATCATTAGGAAATCGAAGAAAATTATCCACCGCTATGGCATTGGTAGGAGATCCATCGATCGCATTTCTCGATGAACCAACAAGTGGAATGGATCCATCATCGAGACGATTCTTATGGAATGTTATTCGACGTTTAGTTAAAGAAGGCAAATCTGTCATTCTCACTTCGCACAGGTAATCATTTCATGTACATGTTTACACACTCATTCATTTACTCTGCTTAGTATGGAAGAATGTGAAGTTCTCTGTTCATCGATTGCCATTATGGTGAACGGTTGTTTTCGCTGTCTTGGCTCCACTCAACATCTGAAAAATCGTTTTGGCGATGGTTATACAATTAAAATTCGTCTCAAATCTTCGACAAATTTCGAATTAGATCAATCGATAGTCGATTGTTTTTCGTCGAATTTCGTCTTGAAAGAACGTCATATGAACGTTGTACAATATGAAATCGCTGAACAACATGTTTTATTGAAAGATATTTTCGCCAAACTGGAACATTTACTGAATAATCAGCTGATAAGTGACTACAGTGTCACACAAAATACGCTTGATAATGTATTCGTTAATTTCGTGCGTGATCAAAGTGATACATTACAACGAACAAATGGCAGATCGAGACGACGACAAGGACAATTTGACGATATTCTCGACGATACATTTGACGATGGATCCTTCGTCATAAGAAGATCAAGTAGAAATACAACTTCGAATGTAAGTCTCGAAGGAATATCAACGAACACTGCTTGTAATTGTGTAATGAACACCAATCCTCTCGAAGTATTAGATTGTTCAAAATTGTGATATCACCTATTCGAAGATGAGTCATTGTATTGTTAGTCATCATTTATCCTTTTTACCCAAACAAACGAATCATTTCTAAGTCTAAACAGTTCAATGACTCATCGTTCATCCATGAGACCCTCACGTTCTTATCGGCTCGTTTTGCTTCGCTGCTTCTTTCGTTTTCATCTACGCTGTGCAATATAATGACAAATTTTGTTTGTTTTTCGGTTTGTAATTCTTGTCCTTTTCTCATTTGACTTTTGGTGCTCGTTTATGTGCGTTTTCTTTAATAAAACAAAAACATTCAGGCTGCTCTTATTGACACGCTGGCTTTGTCGTCACCAATACGCACGGAATAAATTTGTGTTTTTTTCTAGGATCGACAACGAATAATCGATTATATCGAACTTGAATGCTAAGTTGGCAAACAAACACATATTAAATATTGATGTTTTAGTCAGAAAAGTGTTTTTTTTTAATTTCCTGTGATATGTCTAGTAGTTCGTTTTTATCGATGTATAAAAATTCTAGATCTGAATCGCGATGCAAGCAGAAAAAGTTGCCGATTATATCACCAAGTGGCTCAAAGATTATCTTGGTCCTAGTCATTCAAAAGGTTTCGTTGTCGGCGTCTCCGGTGGCATCGACTCAGCTCTTGTTTCAACGTTGTGTGCTCGAACAGGCGCTCCAACGCTCGTCATCGAAATGCCTATTCATCAATCATCCGCTGAAGTTCAACGAAGTCAAGCACATATCAACTGGTTAACATCAAAATTTCCCAATGTTACTGGTGCTAAAGTTGATTTAACTGAAGCGTTTGAAACTTTTCAAAAGACAGTGAAGTCAAATGAGATTAACGAAGTGAATTCGTACAGTGATGTAGCATTTGCCAACATGAGATCACGATTAAGAATGGTTCGATTGAGAATAACTATTACATAAAACAAAGATTACGTTTCTTGTAGGTTAATTTGTACTATTTTGCTTCGCTCAAAGGTTACCTTGTTGCTGGTACTGGAAATAAAGTGGAAGATTTTGGCGTTGGTTTCTTTACTAAATATGGTAGAGAATCGATACACGAGATATCGTGCATATGAATCGATTTGTTTGTCTTCCTTTCAGGTGACGGCGGTGTTGACATTAGTCCGATCGCTGATTTATTGAAATCTGAAGTGCGTGCAGTTGCTGACGTCTTGGGTGTTTCCCATGAGATCATCAAAGCACCACCAACCGACGGCTTATTTGGCGACACCAGAACCGATGAAGATCAGATTGGAGCTTCGTATGACGAACTCGAATGGGCAATGAATCATCTCGATCTAAGTCAAGAACAACAAGGTGGAGTGACATTCACTGATCGACAGAAGAAAGTTTTAGAAATTTATAAACAACGACATGCTGCTAATTTACATAAAATGGTGGAAATTCCACGTTGCATTATTCCACCCGAGCTGAAAGCAAAGCAAGCATAATCTTCACAAGAATCTGATCATAGAAAAATAAATCATCTCTTTATTATGCGTCTATATTCCTTTCTTTTTTCAATTAGATTGTCTGTCGTAGGTTTTTTTTCTTTCGCATATTTCAGCTTGTCAATGACGAACGGTTATTTCTTTTAGGAAAGTGTTCTACATACACCTGTTGCCCTGAAAAACAAAGTTTATCTCTGTATTTAACGTTACTATTTATCTGATAAAATCAAGCCTGTATTAGTATTTACTAAAATTTATATTGATTGAATAATTCTTAGTTTGAAAGATTGACAAATGTCTTATAAGTACACAGAAGTTTGTTTTTAACAAATGTAAATCGACTTAAGAAACATAAATGTATAACTTGAAATTTGAATTCAACTTTCAAGTTGGACACTACTGACATATTCAATGACTGATTTGCTGATTCATGCAGCGTAGATATCCAATTGATCAGCTTTACGTCGCGCAACATGTGATGGCCAACTTTACAAACCATCATACTGATCGATTAGGTTCATCAATCCTCGAATCCCACTCATGAAGTCTATGTCAAAGTTGACGTTTGACACGGACCCAAAATCCGCCACAAACTAATTTTTTTCATAGAACTCTCCTCTCAGCCGAGGAGATATAAAACTGCTCCAATCGAATCTTTTACTTCTCAAACATTATTGCTGAAATAAATAGTAGCCAATGGCTTCTCTACTTTTGGTTCTTGCGAACTCGACAGTCAATTTAGCTCCATTGATGTTGATTAAGTTATGAAGTGGATTCTTACTAATCAACTTAGGAAAAAATGTTCAACACAATTTCTAAGTTCGTTTTCGTCTTTCCACAAACACCTCGAATAGAAAAAGAAAAATAGAGAATAAAATATATCTATATTTGTGTGTGCATTTTAATTCATTATTACATTGATATGAAATAAAAAAGAAAGAAAATAGAATGCATCAATAGTGGCGTGGTAGAATAAAACAATGAAAACAATGTTATGTACAGATTAAAGATGCAATCGAACGAAAGAAAACATAAGAAATAATGTTATAAACAGTCTAGTCACAATCATGTATCCATTACATTTTACGATCTGAATAGATTGTTGACAGAAATTAGAAGAAATATCGAATAGGGAGAAGATCGAAAGAATTAAAAGAAAACATCCTTATATGGACATTTACTTTTTATTTTCAATATTTTTTTGTTTAGATAATCTTTCTTTCAACATTTACCTCTTTTTTTTACTCTCGTCAACTTTAACCATAAAAGCTCTGATTATGTCACACAAATCAACACGGTTACACGAACATGCGGAACAACAGCAGCAAGAACAAAAAGTAAATTCATCGTCAATCGCATGTCCTAATCTTTCCTTAGTACAGGACGTCGGATAGAATTACACGCGTGACTAGAACAGATGGAAAGAAAAATTTCGAACGTATAAATGTTGAAGAAGAAATAAGATGAAATATGAAAAGAAAGGATTTTGAAAAAGAAAACGTCAACGAAAAAAGGTTAGCGAAAGAAGATTACTTAGTCATCGGTGATAAATCGAATAAGATGATTGAAAAATACCTAGCCTAATTCGATTTCCTTACGCTATGGATTTGACGGTATCAAACGTTGTTCTTTGTGTAAATAAAGTAGTTGTGTAGATTAAGGCATTACTGATAAATGTCTGTTGTCATTGATTGATATGTTCTTGTTGATTTGTCATGGGTGGTTATATCGTATGTATAGCATATCTGGTACCGCTGTAGAATAGGGACAGTATTTTATTTATATGAAAATGATTAAATAAAGAGAGAACGGAAAAAGTTTAGTGGCGCAGAGTAGTCACACAACATTGGGCCAATAATAAGCTATTCACAAAGGACGTGCTGTATTTATAGAAAATGTGGTGTACGAATGATTGAGTTAGATGTAAATGAACATCTAAGATTCGCTGACTCTTTTTGAAACATTTACAAGACTTTCAACCATGAGTAACGTCTCATACAATTCTAACAAATTTCAAAACAGATTAAGTTCTATTAGACAGAAACTGCAGGAAAATGTTAGACAAATTGATTCCCCAAAACAAACACCAAATTTGACATCCTCGATTACCTATGACTAATCATTATCTGATTGGCTTGGACAAACAAACTTTAACGATTTTAACAGTCTCTTTAAAGAGCCTATAACCCTTTCTTTCAGAAAAGGGAATAAAAATTGCCATTTATCAATATCTAGAAGCTTGGATTCCCTATTGGAGCTTTACGCTCCTTTACATCGTGTCTCACATATTTCATGTTTTGCGATACGCAGAGCGACACGATGGATTTCACTCCGCATTTGTTCATTAAAAATAACTCGCAATAAAAAGTGTGCTTTATTATTCGAATTCAGCATTAACGGGATCAAGAAATAAATCCCTGCAGGTAGCATTATACTTAAAAATACTCAATTTCTATTATAAGTTTTCCTAAATATAAGAAGGATATATAAAACTTTAGCAGTAAAGATACTCATCACAAGTATTCTGCAATTGGAAATGTTCGTGATGTTTACAATTGTTGTGCATGACATTCATCAGTTAGCTATTGATGTGAATTATCGATTCAGTCAATTATAAAACTAGAACCCTTTCTTTATTAACGGCAAGACATTATGACAGGATAATTTTTCAACGTTTTTATTAAATGGTTTCCTTTTGTTTCGATAAAAGTGTAATTCTTGTACGACATCTTGAATATGTATAAAACATAACACGTCCGTCCATCCGTCCTTTATGAATAATCATTTATTGGTTCAAGTTGTGATTGCTCTGTGCCAGTAAAATTATTTCAATTGTTTCTTTATTTATTCATTTTTATATAAATAGTACTTCTCTTGTACATTTGTACTCATACTTTTCCTTTTGCTTTTCGAGCAATAAAATGTGCAGAACGACATCAACACCTAAGATAAGCTCTGTAAGTATAAGAACTTCAACCTTTTTTCCCGGAAATTCTTTGAGCAAATAATCAAATAGATCAATCTTTTTAATAAATCTAAACGAACGAAAGATTAGTGTCGAAGAAAAAAGACAAATTGTCAGCAACATATTTTCATTTGATATCCTACGATATTTTGATAAGTTACATTATTTGGAAAAATTTCATTTTATTGTTATATTTAGAATACGGATCACCATGAACAAACGTTCGAAGGGAACCAGCAACCACAATTGCCAGATGACGATGTGACAGATTTACCCGTTGAACCTGAAATGGGAATACAACACGAAGAAGAAGAAACTTTACACGCATTATACCAGAAAACCCAATTGATCGAAAACCAGCTTCAACAGAAAATCCAATTGATCGAAAACCAGCTTCACCACGAAATTCAAACTATAAACGATAAAATAGAAATTATGACAAATCAATTCGAAGAACAGATGAAGGAACTAAAATCGATTATCCAGAACGAGCAAACAGCACGAGTTACATCAAATCGTTTAATTGAACCTCGTGATATTCCATTAGGTATAACAANATCAGATTGGAGCTTCGTATGACGAACTCGAATGGGCAATGAATCATCTCGATCTAAGTCAAGAACAACAAGGTGGAGTGACATTCACTGATCGACAGAAGAAAGTTTTAGAAATTTATAATCAACGACATGCAGCTAATTTACATAAAATGGTGGAAATTCCACGTTGCATTATTCCACCCGAGCTGAAAGCAAAGCAAGCATAATCTTTCTCGCGGTTGCATTGCCTTGTCTCAACTATCCGAGCTCATGATGAGTAACGGACTTTGACTATTGAATAGATGTTATCTTCATCTGTTGCGTTCAAATATAAAAAACACTTTGCTAATAAATCAAGCGTCTTTTATTATTTAGTTTCAGCAATTCATCATAGTCCTTGGAACCATCGAAGTTAAAAGTGACAGTATCGGATCGTGCTTAATGCTTTCACTTTTGCAAGGGGAACGAGAAGTGAAACTTCCTATAGCGGTATTTATGGAAACATGTTTAGCACGACGACGATTCCAGGATGTAATTTCCATCGCATCCGAGGTATGAGTAGAGAAAAGGCTTGTAAGTATACTTGTCTGTGTTCGAACTTCACTGATTTGTCGAAAAGCAATATCGGAATGAAGAGAATTTTGCATCATAAAATTTGATCAAAGGGCAGTCAAAATCATACAATTCGAACGTTGAAAGTGTGGATGAGCGTGAAATAAAGTACCAGTCATGTGCTTTCACCTATATATCCTCACGCTGAGAAAAAGGAAAGATACCATATGTACATGTATGTGCATGGTTGTAAAAATATACATTTTTAATAGAAGAAAAATGTTAGCATGTATTTAGACAACATATAATCTACACGGATGAAAAATTGTTCATGAAAAGTTTGATTTATTGTGAATTGAAGTAGATGGTGATGATTGCCGATAAGAACCATACAACGAGCATTAACTTAAATAGGTTCGCCTTTACTTTATTGATGAACCAGACTTTCAGCAAAACACACACCGTTTCAAAGTTTAATGATACTGTTTTAAATAACATATTGAAAAATTTTTTTACACACCTGGATTATTTGGTGAATTTGGGCGTTGCCCACGTCCTACAGAATCTGGCGTTCGTCTTTGTGCTTGATATTGTGGCTGTATGTGACGCAACGCGTTTGTGAATCCTTGAATAACATTAACAGTAGTTGAATTATTTGATGTATTTGCTCTACACGTTGTTCTACGAGTTCCCAGGTCGAACAATCCCATACTCAGATCCCATCGGATCCAATATAGGATTTTATCAGATCCTACAGGAATTCGACGGATTCGATCGGATCTCGTCGGGTCCGAAACATGGATTTCCTGGACTTGTTGACCTGGGTTGCACTTGTTCCTGAATATGTCCCACTTGTTGTTGGATTGAACTTACTTGCTATTCCAATAGGTGATGCGGCGATTCACCAAAATGATTATCCTAAATTATATGCGTGAAGTTTCCATCTCTTCCTTTTATAAATGCATTCATGACAGCAAAGGCACAGACTAGAATTCGATTTACTTACAGAATGTATACTGAGAACGATACACTGCGACCCATGATTCGGTCTTCTGTCAATGATGTTCAAGAGCGCATATATATACATAACATATGCATTGTCCCGGGATCTAATGCCATTACACATTAACCTTATTTTGTCCTTTTCGGCTGACTATGGGCAAAGATGACTGACAATGAACTTACACAATTGCGCTGTTCATTCGCATATTCATCCGTCCCATGTCGCCTCCTTTTTAGGAACTGCGATCGCAATCTGACCGCAATAGCAAACATGGGATTGATTGAGTTGATGCCATTAAAACTAAAAATAAATGCAGCGAGTAAAATGAATATATTTGCGTTTCTTCAAAATAACAAGAAAACAAAAGATTCTTTAAAGTTCAGTTCCAACACCACATGCCTCATCATTATTCGTGGATAATGTTTCCTAAGACTCTCTTTATCTGTTTGAAAGTTTCTTGAAAACATCTTATCAATTCATTCTCATATTAAATATCGATGGTTAGCCTGGAAGTTTGGATAATCTCTTAAGCTTTTTGTGGATCTTTAAACTTATGTGAGTGTCACAAGAGCTAATGTTAGATTTTTCTGTAGTCTTCCTACAGATTGCAAGCGAGTGAGCTCAAATTTTCCTTTGTGATATTGTCTACGAACAATGCTAATGAAATGAGATGAAAATTTGTGTGACCCAAGCATCAAGGGCCTTCCGTCCCACTCTATCAGATGCAAAAATCAACTTTTGTTCCATTCTACTGAACGAGGTTTATGTATCGATTCGCTGCATTTCATTCGGAGTCATGATGTAGCGGTGAATCTCTCCCTTACTAACAACCTCAAATTTCAACATAGATCTGCATTGTTTCTTTCCCTAAACGAAATTTTTCTACGACTATGCGTACCTTGTGAAGATAATTCAACACAGAATGTAACTAACTCTGATTCACCACAAAATAAAATTCGTTCGTCCGATCATATCAAAACAGATGAAGAATTAACACATGCCTATTCACAACATTATTCTTTGTTTTCTTTCCTTTCGTTCCGCACCTAGCTCATACACACCACACGTACTATCCCTCTGCTTACAATAGAGTGGATGCGAGAGAATTAAACGATCAAACTCCATTTTTGCTAATTTCACTTCAGTCGAGTTAAAATTCGTTCATCTGACGATTTTTGGAGGTATGTTGGATCGAAGTGAAAATATTCATTGATAATAGAACAATTGTTCAATGGTGATACTTGTCTTATAGTCATGCAAAAGGTTTCGTTATCGGCGTCTCCGGTGGCATCGATTCAGCTCTTGTTTCAACGTTGTGTGCTCGAACGGATGCCCCAACACTCGTCATCGTAATGCCTATTCATCAATCATCCGCTGAAGTTCAACGAAGTCAAGCACATATTAACTGGTTAACATCAAAATTTCCCAATGTTACTGGTGCTAAAGTTGATTTAACTGAAGCGTTTGAAACTTTTCAAAAGACAGTGAAGTCAAATGAGATTAACGAAGTGAATTCGTACAGTGATGTAGCATTTGCCAACATGAGATCACGATTAAGAATGGTTCGATTGAGAATAACTATTACATAAAACAAAGATTACGTTTCTTGTAGGTTAATTTGTACTATTTTGCTTCGCTCAAAGGTTACCTTGTTGCTGGTACTGGAAATAAAGTGGAAGATTTTGGCGTTGGTTTCTTTACAAAATATGGTAGAGAATCGGTACACGAGATATCGTGCATATGAATCGATTTGTTTGTCTTCCTTTCAGGTGACGGCGGTGTTGACATTAGTCCGATCGCTGATTTATTGAAATCTGAAGTGCGTGCAGTTGCTGACGTCTTGGGTGTTTCCCATGAGATCATCAAAGCACCACCAACCGACGGCTTATTTGGCGACACCAGAATCGATGAAGATCAGATTGGAGCTTCGTATGACGAACTCGAATGGGCAATGAATCATCTCGATCTAAGTCAAGAACAACAAGGTGGAGTGACATTTACTGATCGACAGAAGAAAGTTTTAGAAATTTATAATCAACGACATGCAGCTAATTTACATAAAATGGTGGAAATTCCACGTTGCATTATTCCACCCGAGCTGAAAGAAAAGCAAGCATAATCTCTCGCAGTAATGATGAAAAACTTTCTCGAAATCCTCCCAGATATATTGTCTGACTTTATTATTTGTCTAATAAATCAAGCTTAGATTATTATTTTATTTGAAGAATTCCTTATAGTTGTCCAAAATGAGATATTTAGCGGGATTCCGCACAGTTTTCGTGGTCATCACAGAAGGTAGTTTTCATCCACAAATCCTCACCCACACACTTCATCGTATTTCTATGTGATCTGTGGATGAATCATTGATTTCACTAGTGAAACTTATATTCAACAAATATGTTTTTGACCACAGGATAATTGTAATTTAAATCTAAACAGTTGTCTCAATACTAATCGATTATTACTAGTTTCAAATCATGTTCAAAAGATGAGCCACACATATTTCTTCTTTTTCAACTATTCAGTTATAAAATTAGTTCTTTTTATGGAATAAGTTTTGAGTTTCATTCACACATTCGAAGAGAATCATTTTCAATATCGTAAAAATTTTTGAATTCGATGATTTGCATTATCCGCGACATAAAGATTTAATTGATTGTCTAAAACAATTGTGTATGGATAATACAGGGATAGACTATCATTTCCTGGCTGACCAGTTATGCCAGCAATTGTCGTACCATTCATTTCGCCATTTAAAAACAATTGAATACGATGATTACCCAAATCGGCGACATACAAATTACCCATTGGATCAAGAGTCAAACCGGTAGGCAACTGGAGTGATGTTGATGTACTACCAGATAGCCCATTGATATCGCCTGCAACAAGTGTCCAATTATTCGCACCTAATGGCCAACGAACAATATTATGACGGTTGAAAATTGCAATAATAAGACTGTTTGTTACTGAATCGAAATGCATAGCCATTGGATGATCTAATTGTGTAAAACCTGATCCTGATCCATTACCACCAGCAACGATGAAACCTGTAGAGTTTCCAGGTTTGTATCCCATAATACGATTATTTCCATAATCTAACACATACGTGATATCTAAATCTGGATCGCGAGCTATATCGAATGGAAAAGTTAATTCATTCAATGCATTACCAGCAATACCTACGGAGAAACTCTTTAGGTTTTTTTATTGCATCAAAATACATTGCTTCCAAATCATACCTGAACCTCCAATAATAACTCCCGAATTGGAATTTTTTCCCCAGAACAGTGTTCGATTATTATATCCATCTGCTATATATAGATTTTCATTAGCGTCAAGAGCGATTTTTGACGGATAATATAAAGAATTAAGTGTAGTATTGGGTACACCATTGGGATTTCCGACTACAGTTGTAGCTTTTGTGGAGCCTGATAAAAACTTTTGAATCCGACTATTAAAACGATCTGCAACGTAGAGTGTACGATCATAAGTTAATGCCAATCCCCAGGGATGATTCAGTTGGCTTTCATTGATTCCACTCCAACCAGTTATGCCAGCAATTGTTATGCCAGTTGTATTCCAACGTAGTACCGGCACAGCAACTATAGGAAAAGAAGCGATATTTCACTTTCGAATTATATACAATTTACCGTTCGTTTTTGTCTTGGATTTTGTCAGAAGAACGCTAAGAACAATAATCGTTGCTACAATTAAAGCTAGAAGAAATATTATCAAAGAAATAACGCATAATCTTCTGTATCTATAATAAAATTTAAAAAAGAAATTATGAAATAAGACAATAAACGTCCAGTACTTTTTCTTTTTTCTCTCGTTTAAATTTGGATGAAAACGTTTACAATGATAATCCACTGGATTTTCCCATGTATTTTTAATCTTAAAAAATATGAATATTATTAAATATAGTTTTCTCATTATACACAAAGTATAAAACGAACTTCAGATGATTTCCATGAAATAGTTACCATAGCCTCAGTAGATGGAGTATGAGAACCATCATTTCTAATGAATTTTGTTTCTGAATTTTTATTCTGTAAATTCCATACGACGTCTCGTGAGTCTTGACTTGATGAAACAGGACTATTGTTGTTTTTTTGTCGAAAATCAATCGAACTTTTTTGATATCGATGTGCATCATCAGCTGTTAAAGACCTTGAATTATTTTGAGAACTGGTAAATTGCTTATAGCGCGACGATTTAATAGTTGTATAAATCACTGTTTTCGGCGTCCGTGTTGTTTTCAAATGTTGATGATTCTAAAGAAAATGTTAGTAGGTTTACTGAAAGATGAATCAAATCTATACTTTCGCATTTTGTGATTGATCGGGCACATTCTCAAGGACAGATACAGAATTTGTTTTCATCTTCTTTCTTTCTTACTTTTTACAAAATAATTCACAAAATTGAATTATTCTTTCTTTAAATTATACAATATAAAGGGTTTCGCTGTTGGTATAAGGCACAAAACTAATTAAAGTACGTATGTGATAGAAATGAGAATTGTATTTTTGTTTACTCAACAGGTGAGCACACTACTGAATTTGGTCAGTGTGCCCGTCCGTTTACTCGATAGCTTTCGATGCAGGAATTAGACTGAGCTGAAATTTTCTACACAGCACCATCTCATTAATGTTTCAGCTGGATTTGAGCATGAACCGGACCGGTTGTACTAATGCCGACTTTCCGTGAACATTTCTTCGATCCGTATATAAAAAATTGCATGATTGTGCGCTAGCTGACTATGCATTCACTTCTTGTATTAATTATGGGTGCCTAACTTTCCGTGTTGGATCTCTAGACCTAGAAAATATGCAAAGAATGTCGACTGATCACAGAGAAGCCAGGAATGAGTGATCTGGGAGTTACCTGGATGAGATTTCACCCAAACAGTTCTGTCATAGAGGACAGCACAAAGAATTTAACCACATGTATGAGAGCTTTGACCCAGGGAAACACCTACATGCGGCTAGAGACTACATGATAAGCATCCGTTAGGATACTGGGTGTATTTCATCCAGATTACCTGTGTGTTAGTCATAACATTGCTGTAGCTATGACCAATAAACTCTGCAAGATAGGTTTAGGTTCAATGGAAGGCCAAAATGAATGGATACCATGAGGATGTATGTCAACCAATAGGCTTGGATGGAAGTCACCCAAATCATTGCAGTCATTAGAGCTAATAAAACCGTTCTAGATGTGGTGAATGCCGTGAAATGTATACTCAAAAGCAGCTCCTATTTTAATTATATATGAGCTTCAGTTGAACAGAGAACATTTTTGAAACATCTGACCGCTGTATCAGAATGAACTGAATGTATGAGCGCATTAGTAGAATTGGTCAGTGTCCTCCATCCATTTATTTCCACAATAACTCTCGAAAGGCGAATGTGATTGAGACGAACATTTTAATGGTGTATTAATAGATCAACTTCTCCCTTAGTAGAGTTCGAAAATGAAACTAATTGAACGAGGGTATTGATAGCAAAGAAGAACGAACTTTATTGCACTGGTACAACACTATTGTATCTTTTAGTTCGCTTGTCTCCTTTGTTCGCACGTTTTACCATTGTTCGACAAGTTATGTGGTATCTATAGTTGTGCCTTTTTCTTTCTTTTTTCTATCCATCGCTGCGATGGCGAGTCTTGTATGTGTATTTCAATATATCACGTTCTCGGTACGGAAAGATTGTAAAGCGATGAATAGGAGACTAATCCTCTTTTTTCATCGGTTTGATGCTCGTGTTGTTTCATTTCTTGTCTATGTTTTCATTCATTACCAAAATGAATATTCCCACAGGAAACACCTTCAAAACCCGATAAAGTGTTGGAAATCTACGATCAATTTTAGATTATAAATACCAAATAGTCATCGGAAAAAATAAGTTTTCCTCTAAGGGGACACTGACCTAGATCTTATCGAAACGATTGTCGTTACTAATATTATTTAGAAGAATCTTGACATTCAAATTTAACGAATATTATCCTAGTATTTTCACTTCTGTTTCATGGCTTCGTACATAATTGGCTTTTTCAATTCACTTGGGAATGGTATTAGTTCAGTATTCAGATCAACCGTTTCTGTAACAAAATCGTGCGCGATCGGCATCGTTACTATAATCAAAACGGATATCAACATGTTCGGGAAAGCTTTGGTAATTTTGTTAATGTTCATACCTTCTTTACTGTTCATTTGGAGCCTTAGTCATAGGTATCTTTCGTTTTCCACTGAACTTGTGAAAATAGTTAGCTCGAATAATAATTCTCTTTTTACACCCTTTGTAGCAATCTGCGCGATAGGATGCTCCTATTGCCTTTGTAAACCTATACTGATTGACCTATGCAAATCATCTTTTGGTTTTTTACCTTATTGTACACTCTACATTCTGGGATACGAAGGACAGGCAAATAATATGCACAACTACTTGATGAGTTCAAGCGAAAATCTTACATCTCGAGAAATCCAAGATCGAAGCTGTCCCACTATTCAGGATGAGATTGATTAGTATTCAATACAATTTCTTAAATTCAAAATTAATGATTCATTGAAAACATTGTTCCTGTGATATGATACATAGAACTAAATCTGTCGATAGATTAATCTAACCGATTTATATCCAGTAGTGTCAAACTTGAAAGTTGAAGTCGAGTATTCTACTCTTTTCGCACCCACTCCGCACTCTCACTTAGTAACTGCACCTTCTGCACTCACCCTCAATATGGTTGAAATACTTGGATAAGTAGTTAAATTTAGGTTTCAAGTTATATATGTACACATAAGAGTCTTGTTATTACTGTTTTGAAAGATTCGTCCGATTAAAAATATCGGAACTCGATAAAACAACACAGCGTGCTGATAGTGCATTTTTGGTAGTGCAAGATAAGCGTACAAGATCTGAGGTAGATATGACATACAGAAAAAGAACTGAAGAGTCAGCATTGTTGTCCGACTAGAAAAAAAAATGCCGCGACAGTCAAGTCGGTTCGACTGGGCTCATTCATCGATATTTCGTTGCTTTCACGTCTTATTCTGGTGGTGGCTGAATCCAATACTTTCTTTGGGATACAAACGTGAATTAACAGATGAAGATCTTGATGATTTGTCACTGAACGATCGCGGTTCCATACTATTAGATAAGTTGAATTATTATAGTGACAATAACATTTGGTTAACGAATACAACGACATGGTATATCATTTTGCGTGCATTTTGGAAACAATGTGTTTTTGTAATATTTCTTTTGTTACCATACAATGCGTCACGTGTAGCACAACCACTTCTTCTTCGACAAATTGTATTATATATAATTGATGAAAAAGGTCAAGCTTACACTGGCTATTTGTATGCGTTGGGCTTATTTGCATGTTCCGCAATTCAGGCTTTTCTTCATCAACAAGCTTATTTTCGAACCACACGCATGGGCATGCGCGTTCGTAATGCTTTATCAGCAACAATTTATCGACGCTTACTGTCCTTGAGTACAGCTTCTTTACAGCAGTCGACTACGGCAGCACAGACAATTAATTTAGTTGCTAATGATGCCAGTAAATTCGAAGAGTTTTGTCAATACATGCACTACCTTTGGGAAGCACCTCTGCAAGCTCTAATTGCATTTGGTTTGATATGGTGGTCGGTGGGAATATTACCGACATTGTTTGGTTATGGTGTACTTCTTCTTTTAATACCTTTGCAATTAGCTTTTGGTCGACAATTCAGTCGATATCGAAAAACAACAATGGCATGTGCAGATAAACGTGTACAGGCTGTCAACGAACTAGTCAATGGAGCTCAAATCGTGAAAATGTACAATTGGGAAAAATCAATGGAACAACGTGTCATGAATTTACGACAGAATGAACTAGCCAGTATTCTTCGTGCTAGCCGCTTACGAGCAATTAATATGGGTTTATATTTCTCTTCGTTGCCATTAATTTCTTTGGCAACATTTGGTGGTTATTGGCTAATGGGTTACGAATTGAAACCAGTTGATATTTTTACTGCTTTGACATTTTTTGGTTTGATCCGAGTCCCCGTTACCAATTATTTGCCAGTCGCTATCGAACGCTATGCTGAAATGAGAGCTGCCTCGAAACGTATTGACGCATTTATGCGACTAACGAAATTAGAAGAGCATCCGCCGTCAAATATTCAAGGAGAAACAACAATGATATCAATGAATAATGCGTCATTTCGATGGACAGAAACAAGTTGTCTAACAAATATTACTATCAAGGTTGAAAAAGATTCATTGGTAGGTGTAGTAGGGCCTGTTGGAGCAGGTAAATCTTCATTATTATCTGCCATCTTGGGTGAAATGACACTAATCAACGGAGATTTTCAAGTATTTGGTTCGTTTGCATATGCATCGCAAACACCATGGATATTCGCTGATACAATTCGTGCAAATATTCTTCTCGGTAAACCATTTGATGAACAACGCTATATGAATGTTATTCAGGCTTGTTGTCTTGATGCTGATTTTGTTGCATTTGGTGAAACTGGTGATTTAACTATCGTTGGTGAAAAAGGTGTTAATGTTAGTGGTGGACAGAAAGCACGCATTGCATTAGCGAGAGCTCTATATACTGATGCTGATATTTACCTATTGGATGATCCACTAGCTGCTGTTGACCATGAAGTCGCTCGACGCATCTACGATGAATGTATTGGGCCTAATAGTTTATTGAAACATAAAACTCGCCTCCTCGTCACCCATCAAACNGTTTCAAGATCGAACTATTTTAACTATTGCTCATCGACTGAATACTGTTGCGAAAAGTGATCGCATTTTGGTATTGAATCAAGGAATGATAGCGGATTTCGATGTTCCACAAAATGTCTTGCCTAAACATGGACTTCTTCAACAAAACAGCATTAACTAGACTTTTTTTGTAACAAACATGTCTTTTCCAATAGTAAAAAGCGGGTTTATGGAATAAATTTTAGATTTGAAAATATCTCTATTTCTTACGATCTACAATTCAGGTTTGCGATGAAAACGTTGAATGTTAAAAACTGTTGAAAAAGTAAAAAATAGGATGCAGTGGAACTTTTCCACATTTTTATCATTCGACAGCTGTACTTCAGTTTCGTCACATTTCATATAATGCAAATACAACGGCTACGAGAAAAGAAACTAAACAAAAGATAAGTTAGAAAAGTTGGGAGTTGAAAACTGAGAAATGTTTCCAATCAGTAAGATTATTTATATGAAATTACACAGGATTAATAGAACAATACGACATCTTTGGAAACGCCGCATTTTCAGTATTTTGCAGTTCGAGATTTTTCTTTAGATTTTCTTTGTTTTCGGTGTTTTGACAGGAATTCGGAGCAAAACGGGTGTTGCCATATTCTCAAATAATTTTCACTTCGAAAATAGAAATTAAACTATGTTTGTTGTACTATAAGCAGATTTTCTCATGAATCTGATCTTGATTTAGACATGGACACGCATCAATCAACCGCTAGTAGTTTAAATACCACTTCAACAAAGCGACTTACATTTCAATCACCGATGAAATATGATCAAATACGTACGCTCTATGAAAAACATGACTACGAATTAAAACATCATATCAAATGTGCTTCAGTTGCTAGGACAATTCAACTAAATAATGTACCAACCAATGATAGAATACGCACTGTTGAATAACTTTTAATATTCCACGACAAATGGATTTCTACACGAAAGCAACGAATCATCCTTCATTATTTTCCTCTGTTTATATTCTATTGTATGTTATATTTTTTTCCACCTTGTCGAAATTATCATCAAACATCGAATCTTCTATGTATTTTTCCATGTTTGTACGATAAATATATTCTCTCAATGTGAGATTTCATCGTTGATCAAATATTATCTATTTTATCCGTTGCGATATTCAGTACGGCATTATTGATCCGTGTGTTAATACAAAGACATCGTATGTTTCATACAATTCATGGGAGAAAACATCGAAAGGTGACGATTTTGTCTTGAATGTATTTCGAAATGGATTCAAACACAAAATCGAACTTGTCCAATATGTCGAAAGTCTTTGTCGATTGACGAACTGACACAAGTCAATCGTCCAATACGCAATATGTTGGATCGAATTCGAGTGAAGTGTACAATTTATGAACAAAGTGGATTGTCGAGAAAATATGTCCCAAAATGCAAATATTATGCACCTCGGCAGACATGAAATGTCCTTGGGAAGGACAAAGAGATCAATTAGATGGACACCTATCGAAATGTGCTTTTGATGCTCTACGATACATTATCACTCCACTTATGACGGAAAATGAGCAACTCAAAGAACTGATAGGTAAATTTCATGACGATAATCAGCAATTACGAGACCAGACAGGTCAATTGGCGATCCAAGCGAATAAATATCAAAGAGAAATTCAAGATATAAACCAACAGTTAGCACAACTTAAAACTCAACTCCAAAATCAAGAAATTAAAGAGCAAGAAAGACATAGAAGTGCGTATTCACCTTTTAGTGAAATTTTCCAATCTACTACCCCTTTCAGCTTCGATATCCAATGAAATAATTAATTTCAACAAAAAGATTCAGATGGTTACAAAATGATACTTCATTATTGAAAGGCGTTTGGGAATACGTAAGTATATATTATCAAAGAATGTGTGATATTATTTCATCTTACAATAGATTGATGGAGACAATTTTGATGCATTTCTGAGAGAGACTGGTGTTGGTATGGCAACGCGTTTGGCTGTAAAATGTCTCAAACCGTGTCTTATTATCGACGAGTTTCAAAATGAATGGATGATACGTTTCGAAAAGTTCTTTGCAGACAATGCGGTATAAATTTACACCCAATGTTGAATTCAATGAAACGACGTTCGATGGACGTGAACTGAAAGTATGTGTATCGTTTCCCAGCTAATAAATGGATACATCGAATGTTCGATAAGGGTGAAAAGAAACCGGTGATTATTCGTTATGTCAATCAAAGCGATACGCAGATAGTTGTTAGTCATGTCTTATATTGTTTGACATTTATCTTCTTTTTGTTTCTTTTTTATAGGAAATGGAATGTGGAACAAGTAAAGCTCGTCGTTGGTATAAACGTGCCACTTAGTCATTTGGTTTTCTTTTCATCATATGTAAAATCTAATTTTTCATTACAAAGAATATCTCAGAACTCATATAAGAAGAGATCGATATCGTTTGCGGACTTATATCACAATCTTCTGAGTAATGATCTTGTTATCAATCATTGTCATATGTGAACTTCGCCTGAAAGATTAAGATATATATTGTATTCATTTCTACAGTATCTTTAGTCAGCTGAATAGCGATGGAAACGCCACAGTTTGATGTTAAAACTGATCAACCTCAGTCAATCGAAGAGATTAATTTTCAATCAATAGACGAAATCAAAACCTATAAAAGTTGGTCGATTATTAATATCCTTTTTTGTTGCATATGTTTCGGTGCTGTCGCTCTGTACTTCTCGTATAAAACGGAAAAATTCAAACGGCTGAGACAAACACAAGATGCAATCAATTCTTCAAGAGTAGCTAAAAACATCAATTTTATTGCGACAATAACTGGTGTATTATTAATTATAATCTATATCACTAATTTCGTCATCGCACACAAATAGATTTTTTACTCATTACAACTATTTTTCACTTAATACTCTATTTTCTCTGTATCCTATCATAGATGCTTTTCAAATTTAATAAAGATATGATGTCAAAACAACTTTCTCAATGAAATAAAAGCAAATAACTAAAAAGTATTTCACTGAAGTTTATTTCGAGGCACAAAATGAAGTCTATGAGATAAGAAGAACAATGTTCTGTTCGGGCGTGAAACTGGAACTATTTTTTTTAAATATTGGAATAATTGAAAATGCGGAAAGATAAGAATTGGGATTAACAGTGCTGTGAATGTTGATTTGTGTGTTGATACAACACGTCCGGTTTCATCATTTTCGATGCCCATGAAAAGATATTAATTGATTGAGATTGAATTAACAAATTATTGGAATTAATGTGCATTTCATAAGACTTTGGAAGAGTATATGTTGGCCATTGATATTCATTATGAATATGTAAAGGAACGTGTTCTTTTGTTAATGAATATAACGAAATATACGCGGGTTCGTGTGGATTTAGATTTAATAGAACAACAAATTCACGATGGCCGAGTACTTCACAGATAAACCAGAATAAATTCGAGTGTTGTTCACAACCTGTTTGTACCAATCCATGTTGAAATGACAGATTTAAACGTAATTGTGACAACTGACGAAATAATCTCAATAACGAATCTTTTGATTCGCCACCTAACGCTTCTTGAGGCTAAAACAAAACAAACTGAATCATATCGAAGAAAAAAAAACAAACTTTCTCTTACCTTCACACTTGTTTTCGGTGGACCAATTGGATAATTCCAAAACCGACGTTGGCAATCATATGTTGAACAATTTGAAAAACCTCTACTTAATCTATTGGGTAACCATGACACCGATTTCTTCTCCATAAAGAACAACCGGTGTTCCACCTATTAACATTGTCGTGTCGATTCCAACTAAAAGAAGGAAATTATTCGGTAATAGTCGATGTCAAGAACCCATCTGCCAAAATTTTGATTTGGATAAACGTTTAGTTTCAAATGATGAAATTTTCGAATTGAATTCTGAAGCATGGGGGTCAGACATACAATGAATATGCGGTTTTATCATGTAAATCTTCATTATCGATCAAATCTTGTAAATTGAATGGAATATCATAAATAATGACTCTGAAAGAAATGTGTTTTCACTAAGCAAAAGATTCTCTGAAAACTTTACTTTGCTTTTGTCTTTTTCTCAATATCATCTTTAAGTTTATTTCATTTATGTATTGTATTGTAGAATATTTCACACGAATCCATCGATGCATTTTATTCCAATGAAAGATTCATACGGATTCCATCGGCTTTTTTCGTCATCAACCAATATTTTATATGGGGCTAAATAACCACTAATTCAAAAGAAGATTTCTCTTTTTCCCAACAAAATTTTTACTTTAGATTCACGATAAATATCTTCATTGCTGAAATCAAGTGGAATTCGATGATATGTTTGATAAAAACGACCCTCAAGACCACGCTGAACTCTTGAACATCGATGCTAAAAGAACGAGCGAATCTTTTGTTTTTAAATCAAATTTCTTTACATCAATCGGTTCATGATGAGATGTGGAATTAAACCAGAGATATTCATATGCACCCCAGGTTGACGCCAATGGTAAATCAACAAGGAAATGCATGTCTTTCTTGTAAAGAGTTTTCATAAAATCTTGTCAATCACTTTCACTTCCAACTTTTTTATGAAAATATTTCAGTTTTTGTTTGACACCTATAATATCGCCAATTCCATCATCATTCGAATCGTAAAATGAACGAACATCGATTTCGTAGATTCGATGGACAACGTGACGAAATGACGATTAAAACAGTGGATCCAATTAAAAGTGAGGCCACTAATAAAATGTATAAATACGCAATGGTCCAACGAATGCGTTTCCATTTGGAATTGTGTACATACTCTTTTAATTCTTTTTTTTTGTTAAACCAATAAATTCTTGATTTTCCTTCGATTTTTTGTATTGAACTAATTCATCCATTGCTTCAAGCTTTTTCTCATCTTCAACTGGACGAACAGAACTAATTTCTGTTTCATCCAATAATGATTGATGAACTTCACTTCGTAATACATCTGGATGGGTTATCACAACTGCTCATCCATTGCTTCTTCTCTTCAAAATATCTTTTACTTGATGATTGAGAAAAGAAAACGATACGAAGCATAAAAATACTACGTGCTACAGATAATCGGTCGAGATGAAGTCGGTGAAGATGATGAAATTGTTGGGAATGATTTCTGTCAGGTATTCAATGGCATACAGAGTGTAAGTTCGATGCTCCTTTGAACTAGAATGGATCTCTTGTTTTATAGACACGAGACACATGCGATCAATTCTTACAAGACGTTAGTGTGTTCAAACATTTATCGCCAGAGGACCGATACAGCACTGCAATGACGTTCCGTGAACACCCTTATAGAAGTGGAGAATTAATTATGCAAGAGAGTGCCGCGGAAAGTAAACTTCTCCTCATAAAAAGTGGTGTATCATAAATCTATTCGTTTCATAAACTTCTCACTGACTATCTTTCTTCTACAATCCACAGGTTCAATTTTGGTTCGTCGAAAAGCGCAAGCTACTAATGTATCAGTGGAAAGAACCGAAACATTTCATACTGATGGATATTTCGGCAGCAATCGATGACACAAAAATATACGAAATGGAACCCGAACATTTCAATACGAATATTGTTCCGGTTTTGACGAATATAAAAATTGCATTTGACCGATACACATCATTTGTTGATTTAATGATTTTATTTTTTTATCCTTCAAAGAAAACATGTTATTTTGATCAAGAAGTTGATTTTGCTTTGTTTATTAATATAAAAACATCTTCACTTCGAGAGAATACATTGTTTTTTTGTGAATTTTTTAATTTGTTTATAACCCTGACTCAGAAACATGAATATTTAATCTATCCTGATAGTAAGTCAGTTAAGGGAAACGATAGGTTTCACCAAACAAAAACAAAGCGATTCCTATGATTCGTTTATTGTATTATTCTTTTATATGTTTGAAGTACTCAGCTACTGGAAAAAACTCTTCAATCTTATCTATTATTTCATAAGAAGGTTTCGACGTAAGTAATGATCCTATTCTCGAACAGTTGTCTCTTGCTTGTGGATGATTTTGTTCGATGATTGCTAATAGAATCTCTTTGTTAATCGCAAGTTCGACTAGAGACGAATGATGAATTTGACAAAGAAATTGTTCCGCGTAATCCATATGAATAACATATAAAATAAGCACAGTCAAATGAGGAAAGTGAATACGATCGGTATTCATGTTTGCTGCCATCGCTTTCTGCTGTTGTCCGAGTTCATTTCTTATTTCGAGTGTTTTAAGTCGAGGTAAAGCTTGAGCGAGACGTTGAAAAAAACTATTTTCAAACGGTAATACATCATCAAAAATGAGTAAAGTTGTAACGCTTGAGAATGTACCATCAAACAAAGGGAATCGATTTGAAATAAAGTCAAGACGAGTACCAACGAATGGTATTGAATATATTTGACATTGTCCATAATTATTCTTGAAATAATCATACACACAGTTGAACGGTTGTTGTCGTAGAAAACTTTCATGGATTTCATTCATCATATGATGTGAAGCATATTTTAAAATTGAACGAATATGAAATTTGAATTGACGAAGATGATACATGTACCTAAGCATACTTTTTTCAAGAACTAATTCATCAATAAAATGATTGGGTTCGACGCCATTCTTGCCTATAGCTAATAATAATGTTAAATATTCAACGCTTGACAAACATCGTAGAAGAGAAAAACATGTTTCATACTCATCGAAGTTTTCATAAATTGTCATTTTCACTTGTTTCAACTTAGGACATGAAATCTAAGATTCATAAATACAGTTCATTGTTGAATCAACTAAATTATCACTTACCGCTTCTAAATCAGATCTTAAGTCAGAATTGAATGAAACACACCTTCCTAAAGTTATCACAAGTGAATGAAGTTGTGGGCCTAATTCTAATAATAGATTAACACATTGATAGAAATCCAATAAAGATAAGCGAATGTGAGTCAGCCGCGGCACATCAGTGAAATATCTTTCACCTTTGCGAAAACTGTTGATTAAACTGCAGCAATCGTCAACCTCAAGCGATCGAACCGAACGGACCACTGATGATCGACATAGTTTAGTTAAATGTTCACCAATACTGAACTCTGGTAGGAAAAAACAGTGAGCCACGATCGTAAAAAGTGGTTGCTCCCACAATTCAAGAAAACACATTCGACGGCTTCCTAAAGAATTTCAATAGTATCAAGAAAAGATTTACGTCAGAATGTACTACTTGACAATATATGAACACAATTTACCTAATCTATACCGTATCCCGGATTTCGAATGCTTAACACAAAGTCGAATCCTCAAATGTATTAAGTTTGGGAGAATTCCATTGTAATTTCGTTCGAGAAATTTTTGAATAGATGCTACGTGATGAATATTGATTGTTAACGATTGAATTTGATCATATATACGCGGCATAATATCAGAATATAATCGTTTCCTAAGTAATGACGACTCTTTCGCTTCAATATAATCAACTACTAGATCAATCCTACGGCATTGATCAAATGTGAGTTGCTCCAAACGACGATTGCCTACGTCAATTATGGAACAAAGGAAAGATATTTGAAAATCACCCATTTTCACAACAGTTAATATTAATTCATCAGGTAGATCAAGCAATTCAACATTATCTTCTATGAATAAAAATCATAGAAAACGTAATCTCAAGTAGATGTACATACTCTTATTTGACAAACTATTCATTGTTGATATGTTGCATTCGGAAGAATGTGAACTGCGGTCAATGTATATTTATAGATGGATGAAGAGTTATTCTTAATGAATATTGTATAATTGATAGCCAATCATTAATGGATAATGATCATACGGAGAGAGAAATGTTTTATCATGCAGAATCGAAGCAACAAAGAAACAAAAGACAAATGTAAGCCAACCAATTAGATAAATGCATTTTGGTCGTGAAACAGAAGATGTTCATTGAAAATAATATTGTCTTGACGGTGAAGACTATAGAATGTGCATAAATAAGAAATACCATCATCCAATAATGATTGATGAACTTCACTTCGTAATACATCTGGATGGGTTATCACAATTGCTCCTTCTCTTTAAAGTATCTTTTACTTGAGGATTGAGAAAAGAAAACGATACGAACTACAAAAATAATAGAAAAATAATGATTCTCTTGTTGAGGATAATGTACGTAGTGTATCTTTTGTTGGTAAAGTGCGTGGGTGTTATCAGTTGTCTCTCGACTGAAGAGCTGATAGATCGGTTTTACAGCGTTTGTTATTAAAAAGATGAGTGTTCTTTCTTAGAAAAGAAAGGTTAAATGGCTTTCTTTAAGGAACCGATGTGATAGATTTTTGTATCTATAATTCATAATGAATCTATATGGAATAGTTGTTTGTGATCAAGACTTATGTGTGAGAGCTTATCTTTTGCAATTTTTTTATTATAAAGGAAAGTATTCTTGATAGGTTGTCATCGAATACAGTTTCTATCTATTATCGCTAATGAAACAACAGCTACCGATGCTGTGACTTGGTCAGTGTGGTATAAACTATTCACTTCAACTTTATTCGGATGGTTTGCGTTCGCTTTATTGATCATCATCATGCTCGCAGGCGAAGGAATCTTTGACGTATCCAATCGTTGGTTGAGTTTATGGTCGGCAAAATCGTTTAAAGAACAACGATCAACAGATTACATGTACACTTATTTAGGTTTAACATTGGGTACACTAGTCATTGCTTTAATACGTGCACAGTATTATTTTTATCTAATTTTATCCGGTTCCAACCATTTTCACAATCAAATGCTGAAAGGAATGTTGTACACATCACTTCGATTTTTCGAAAGTAATCCAAGCGGTCGAATCCTCAATCGTATCAGTAAAGATCAACAAGTCATTGATGAACTATTGCCTATGACGTTGTTCGATGCTGTGCAATGCTTACTGATGACAATTGGTTCGTTGGTTATTATTGGTATTGTCAATCCGTGGGTTTTACTGATACTTGTTCCTCTATTACCTGCTTTCTGGTGGTTCCGTCGGTTCTATTTACAATCAAGTCGACAAATCAAACGATTAGAAAGTATTACACGTAGTCCTGTTTATGCATTGTTTTCTTCTTCATTAAATGGCGGATTGCCAACAATTCGAGCATTCAACGTTCAGCAAGATTTCGTGGATTTGTTTATCAATCGAGTGGATACAAATTCACGTGCTTTCTTCATTCTCATCGCAGCCGTACGTTGGTTCGGACTACGACTTGATCTAATGACTTCACTACTTTCCTTGATAACATCCGTATTAACAATTGCATTCCGTCATCAAATTGATCCATCATCGGCAGCGTTAAGTTTGATGTATTGCATAAATCTCACAATGCTCTTTCAGTGGGCTGTTCGACAATCAGCTGAAGCCGAAAACTATATGACAAGTGCAGAACGAATCTATGAATATGGACAACTGGTAGCAGAAGAAAATGATCAGGAATTATTCGTTCAACCACCGGATGATTGGCCGAATCAAGGTATTATCGAATTTAAAAAGTATTCAATGCGCTATCGAATTGAATTGGAACCAGTTCTGAATGATATCGATGTTCATATTGAATCAAAAGAAAAAATTGGAATTATCGGTCGAACAGGTAAAATCAGATTCTCTCATCCTCAAAAAAATTGCATTTTCTTTCTTATTCATTTAGGTGCAGGAAAATCTTCTCTCTTTCAAGCCATATTTCGTCTAGTTGATCGACAGTCAACAAATGGTCAAATTCTTATTGATGGTATTGACATCAATGCTATTTCTTTACACCATCTGCGTTCACGTTTGAGTGTCATCCCACAGATGCCCATTTTATTTGCTGGAACACTTCGTTTCAACTTAGATCCATTCGAACAATATTCAGATGAACAATGTCTTCTAGCGCTTGAATCAGTTCAATTAAAAACCATCGTTACAAATCATGCTGATGGTCTTCAACAATTAGTATCCGAATCGGGTAGTAATTTCAGTGCAGGACAATGTCAATTGATATGTGTAGCACGTGCTATTTTAAAACAAAGTAGAATTCTGATGATCGATGAGGCAACAGCGAACGTCGATCGAATGACAGATTCATTGATTCAAAATGTTATTAAAGACAAGTTTCAAGATCGAACTATTTTAACTATTGCTCATCGACTGAATACTGTTGCGAAAAGTGATCGCATTTTGGTATTGAATCAAGGAATGATAGCGGATTTCGATGTTCCACAAAATGTCTTGTCTAAACATGGACTTCTTCAACAAAACAGCATTAACTAGACTTTTTTTGTAACAAACATGTCTTTTCCAATAGTAAAAAGCGGGTTTATGGAATAAATTTTAGATTTGAAAATTTGAAAAAATACGTAGTAGGCGGCGCTAAGAAACTATGACTAGTAGAATTGTAAAGGAAAGATAAAATGAATTTATTTTCGTCATCCTTTTTCTTTTCTTTTATAACAAGTGGAATTATCAGTTAAAAAGCATACGTTGACAAATAAGAAAAAAATACATATGTATAAGTATGTGATGAGAACAGAAACACAAGACATTTGAATCGAACAATGTGACCACAGTGTGTCTTCAGTGCGTACATGTAATCTTTTTCATTTTCGAATTAGGTGAAAGATATCGAAAAAGAAAACTACATATAAAAATATTTTCTTTTTCGGTACTTTGGACCCTTTAAAAAAATATTTATTTAATGTGAAGAGCTTGTCGCTGCTTTATAAATTTATCTGGAGTTTTTTGGCTACATTAACTCGACGAAGTGTTTGTTAACAATATCAAATTTCTTTAATATGGATGTGCATCGCTATACAATCGTCTTCCTCGTTTTCCTTGGTGTTGTGCAAGTTCATGGCGATCCTACAGCTGCAATTGAAAATATAAAACTATTAATCGAAGCAGCTAAGCAGGCAAAGAATATTTGGGATTTTGTGAAAGATCTCCCGCCTACATTGGGAGATTACTTGGCAACGTTAGTTTCGGGAAAGGATATCAATACACCGGAAAAGCCTGTTAGCTCTTATGATTTTGTCATTGATTTGACTAGACCAACAGATATTTTTGGTGCTTTAAAGTCTTATCCTTTGTCCTATCCCGCAGGAAAAGATGCTTATGATAAAAAACTTGAAGGTACCGAAAAGAGCGTTGCCCGTTTTATCGTCAATGTCGTAGGCCGTTATAATGTGGGTAAGACTTTTATTTTGCGTCTATTAGCCAATATCAACTTGGGGCATTCATTTACTGAACGTACAAATGGTTTGAGTGTTGCTTTGCCATTATTGTCAGATACAGACAATACTCCATTGGCATTGATTGACACAGCTGGCACACGAACTCCAGTGGAATACAGTGATAAGACGTTCAAAAATCGATCTTATGAGCGTCAGGTGAGTGATTCATTTATTCAAGAAGTAGCAATAAGTTCAGCACAAATCTTTGTCTGTGTTGTCAATCAATTGACTCTGGATGATCAACTATATTTGAAGAGTTTATATAATAGACTAATTGTAAGTATTTGCTATGATTTTTCCAGACATACCATCAGTTTTCTCAACTTATATTTTCTTTTTTCATTGAGGATGATGGCTTAACTCCAGTTGACATTCAACAGCGACTTCTACTGGTGCATAACTATTTCAATTTACAGACGGTTGATGAAGTAGAAAAGACTGAGAAATATGAACTGGAAACATTATTTGGAGCACGCAAACAACCGCAGGGATTTTGGCTAAGTAATGAATTCAAACATTTTGTCATAGCACATGTTGATAGTGAAGCTGGAAAAAAATACAATACTCGTTCAATTGAGCAAATTCGAACAATGATCAAAGGTGCAAATGCTGCCAAAGATAGCGACGTTCTCAGGACAATTATTAGCAAAATCGAGACTTTATTAAGTAAAGTTCTCGTCGAAGAAGCTTCGGTAAAACCTGATATCAAACACAAAGATTCTCAACAAGGCTTGTTAAGCAGTATCACTTCAGGAATTCGTGCACTAGTTTCATATAATTCAGAGAAACCGATGAAGGTAATGCCACAACGCCAGGTTAAAGTACAACTTGAAGTGCAAGAATTAAACCTAGATAAAGGACAACCATTATGGTTTATTTGTCCGAAATCACCTTTAAGCGGAAATGTAACTTAATCGAGACAACTGACATTTGCTGAAGATGGTTCGGTACACATCGATTACTCTTCTCATTTTGTTCCCGGTATAAGAGTCGTGAGGCTCACAGATGACGATATTCAAATCGAAGTAGAATGTCCATCGTGTGAGAACTCTTTTAGTGTAACAACACGTGGCACTATGGTGATCATCAAAGGAGAAAAAGTTATGAATACAATCGATGATTATTCTACAGAGTTAATGAATACTCATCGAATGGGCACATTCCAAATTGAAGTACCGACCACTACAAAAGATAATAATTATGTTTATGATATGCGAAAAAAAGCCATAGATACTCGTTATACAAATGGGATTATTGTGCTCAAATTGAAGCGTCAGAAAGATGACGATGATGAGTTATAATACAAACTAATAAATACTGTCGATCGAATGCTTTACAACTTTATTTTAATATAAACATGGAGCTAGAGACATCGGATCCTCACTTTCTTTTCCTTAAGACTGTTCTGTCATTTCTGTAGAAATAAAACAATTAGATTTTGATGTGTTAATTTCATCGGATGGAGACGGTTTGTTCGAAGGTATGGTCCCTCAAGGTGACAAGCTTTTCCGTACATTTGTAGATGTGATTCATTCGTCGCTGATAATGAGGCAACATTACTAGCAGACTCAACAGTTCGACATATAGATGGAAAACAATAGATGTTAACTAATCCATAGATATATTTTCTCTGAATGTAAACTTTCTATTGCTTTAACAGATCGCCATCGTGACTATTATTCTGTGTTATGATATTGAATTTTCTCATATATTCCGTTTTGGAGAAATGCACTTCTATCCTTTCAACTGACTAATAGTTTTCGATCACGGTTATATATTTCTTTCAATAGAAGCATTGTATTTTAGTCTGTGTACCATTTCCATTGAAAGAGGCGAAAGAAACATTATTATATTACTACACAGTCTGTAATACTTAGTAAAAGAAACAAGCAGTTGTGTTCAATTTGAGTGAACCTCTTAATAAACAGGCTCGTTTACTTTATCTTTTGATCTTAAGTTCAATCAGTGAAGGCATATAATTGGTGAGAGTACTAAGGGAGAACCAGTAGAAAGCTTTGTCATTATTATTAAATCTGTCGTAGTTATTTTTGAAACATGTATGTGTGAAAAACCTATAGTCGCCTATCGTTTTTATGGAATAAAAGATGAAATTAACAGATGCTACCATACATCAATCCTATATAAGCCACTTCCATGCGAATACAAACGAACACCTGAAAATTACGCTAGTGGTCCTGGTGGTCGCTCAAAAGTAAGTAGAAATCCAGTGTATCGTATTGGACTGATGCCACTTTTTTCCTATCTAGTAGTCAAACAAAACAAACCACTACGGATGCAAACGGTGCTATTTCTGATGACGATCGTTAATGGTTAGCTAACAATGATGGTGCTCATATGGCTAATGACGCGAGTCATTTTAGAACAAAACCATTTGAGAATCGATAAACTGATCATTGAGAACTATCTTCATTGTAATAATCTAGCAAATGATCTGTTGTCGGATCATTTTCTACACACAAATATACTCCTCATGAAACTACTATGCTCATTAATAATAAATGAAGTACGAATAGTAATTATGATAATACTATTTTATTTATTCATAGTTGAGCAAATTATGCGACGGCATACCATGTTACATGTGAGCAAATTTAATCTTCTTATGTGATAATTAATAGAATAGATTTAAGTGATGTCAATCTGAACGTTTATTTGTACGAAAGTTGAATAGGTAAACCATTGTTGTTTATGAGATAATCATTTATTTTTTGAATATGTTTAGTCTGAAAGTGTTTTATTTGATGTTCCTTAAACAATTAATGCGCAGACAGTCTCTAGTGTTTGTTCTTTCTCTGTCTTTTATCTCTGATAAGTAAACTGCAAATACAACTTTTAATGCCGTTACTTCCGCCAAGTAACTTCTGTTTCCTTTCTTTCACTAATTCATTGTGCGTTTTATCTTATCGAATTTATCTTGACGTCACCATGAAATTTCACCTTGATTGGCACATGACATGCTCAATATTTCATGCGATCAGAAAACGTCCGATAAAATCAATAATTCAAGTCGTTGTGCATCGACATCTCAATGAATATTAGAGTCATTCATGATGATTATATTTTGAAACGATCTCTCGCGTGCATCGCGGATCATTTCTTCTAATACGCGAAAACTAGTTGCCAATTTAGTCATTGGAGCAAGATTTTCATTGATATTAGATAGGTGGGTGGATGAAATGTAGGCGTGTTGGACGCATTTCTTCCGTTCCATTGGATGAAAAGAATGATGAGGAACGCAAGGACTTTGGAAGGGAGAAAAAAAGATCGTTGAACGCACACATACACGCAAGGCTATTATTCTAGTGGAAAAGCAGAACGGGGGCGAAAAAAAAACTGGCGAGTAAGAAAAGAAGAAAAAAAAGTGACGAGCTTCCTTTTTTTCTCTCGTAGATTTTTCCGAAGTAGAAAAAAAAGAAAACATATTGTTTCCTTTCTTCTTTCGCCGTTAGAATCCTTGAATGACACAACTCATGGGTATTACATATCACGAATATTTGATATACTTATAAATATTCTCAGCTAACAAACGACAAAGGAAAAGGACTCGGCTAATCATTTATTAGTAAGTCTTTGTTGTTTATGAAAGAAGAATCTATGAATAGATATATTAAATATCCGTTCCTTGACTGTCTTAATTATTTAGTAAACAATTCGGAGAAATAAAACCAAAATGGAAGTTGGAGTTGGTTGTATGCGATACTTTGGCATTCGATCTTATCTTGATAATTTTTATGATCGACAAGGCGATGATGTGCAACGAAGAGATGTTCAACACAGGTAAAGAGTTCATCATTCATGGAGAATGATGGGATCAAGATTGGAATGTTTAGATATGCAAACTCGTCTAGAAATCCGAGATTTTCCAGTCGATGGTGGAAGATTCTTCTTTGGATTGGTTCGATTTTTGTTCTCTTTGGTTTTTTCCTACTTTTGATCGGTTTTATTCTTCCACGCAAGAAAATTAACGTTGAGGATACGTCATCTACTAATTCTCCTATAATGATCGTTGATCGACAAGCACTTGAATACAATGCAAAATTAGATAAAAGTCATTTAATTGGAATATGTTTGGTCGTCGCTGGAGGCATTCTTTTCACGTTTTCACTTCTCATGCCCACATTTTGTCACATGTGGTGTGCAAGTGGAGAAGCCAATGATGAAACAGATCCGTTAAAAGTACGTCAAAATCCTTGATTGCTGTCTTTTATTATTTCTTCTCCGTTTAGTTGAGAATGGAAATCACAAGTAGCGAGCAAAGCATTCCCGTATGTAGTGTACCGAAATCTGTGCAGCCAAATTATCGTAAAGATGAATCGAGAGTAACTACGGATGGAATGGTACCCATTACATCACCTTAACTGAACTGTTTTTGTTTTCTTTACTATGTTTGTTGTTGTTTTCATATTCTTTTTCTTTTTTTGTGAACTGATCTATGTATGAAAATGTGACATGTGAAAAAATGCATCGACATGGATTTTACTCGATATTGAAATAAAAATTATGTTTATGTTGTCATTATGAGAAGGTAATTTCATGTGAAAAGAACAATATTTGTCATCGTGAAAAGAATCGCTTCCTATTGGTTATTTAGTCACCATGTAGATTTGTCATTGACCTCTTTCTATTCTTCTACGTATTTTATATTGAAAAGTAAGTTAATCATAATAAAGAAAAGAGATTTTCTTGTCGGAAGGTAACTTCATGTGAAATAATTCGTTCTTTCCATATTTTACCAACTAACTAGATGATTTACTTCTGTCTCTTTTTTTCTCGTTAAAAAATAAATGTACGAACCATACATTTCAACTATATACGTCACCTTCATTCGTTCTGTACCCTTCGTTTCCTGTAGAAATTTTGTTTTGTAGATATACTAATGTCATTTGCTCTTTTTTTTTGATAAATATTTTCCTTTCAGATTTCATCGATCATTCAAATAAACAATGCCCGTTCCACGATCAAGAAAACGTGATACAACCCTATACGATTTACTTGAAGTGTCACCAGATGCGACCGATGCTCAAATTGCCAAAGTAAAAGCTCACTTTTTCAATGATTTTCTTTATGAGCATAGTTCTACTGCTAGGCGTATAAAATTGCAGCAATGAAATATCATCCTGGTAAGACAGCAGGCTTTTTTTCCAGAGAAAATTAACAATTGAATATGAAATTTTAGATCGAAATCCTGAGGCACCCCCTGAAAAATTCAAAGAAATCTCTGCTGCTTATGATGTTTTGAAAGACGAACATAAAAGAGAAGTTTATGATCAATATGGACTCGAAGGTTTAAAAGAAGGCATGGGCGCCGGAGGAACTGGTTCGATATATCCATATACATTTTCATATCATTCTTTGGAAATTCTGTAGGAGCAACAAGTTTATTTGATTTATTTATGGGTGGGCCAAGTCGACACCAACGTCAACACGGTCCACCAAAAGGAGAATCGAAAGTGATTCCATTAAAGTAGTACAAATTCTAATGATTTCTGAAAAAACCTATCGGCTGTCTTCGATCTTGCAGAGTTACATTGGAAACGTTGTATAATGGTGAAACAAAATCAGTCCCATTTACACGTCGTGTCACCTGTCAACAATGTAACGGGTAAGTAAAACTCACGGTCAATTTCTTGTTTCGATCGGGTTTTTGTTCAGGTCTGGTTGTAAGGCAGGTAAGAAACGGGTACACTGTCGCGCCTGTCATGGTCAAGGTAAATGAGCCTATGATTTATCTTTCGATACAAGTTGAATGATCGTTCAGGTGTTTGTATGGGAATGACACGTATGGGCCCATTGACATTTCAACAGCCAGTGCAATGTCGAGAATGTGATGGAGAAGGTAAATTTCATACTGAAAATTGTTTTGTTTTTCTTTAATGGTTTCTAATTATAGGGGAAGTCATCGCACATAAAGATAAGTGTTCGATGTGTCAAGGAAATAAAATCGCTGAAGAAAATAAAGTTCTCGATGTTGTAATCTTACCCGGATGTTCGAACGGCAAGAAAATCAAATTTCGCGGAGAAAATGATCAATTAGTAAGGTCTATTTCAATAATTGTGCATGAAATGGCGTAATATTTTGTTGTAGCCAGGCATTGAACCAGGTGATGTGTTTTTCTTAATTCAACAAGAGAAACATGCGGTCTTCGAACGTGTTCATGAAAATGATCTTTTAATTAAAATGAAAATTAATTTGAATGAATCGTTAACGGGCTTTAAACGAACTATTCAACATCTCGATGGACGACACGTGCTCATTCAACACCCGCCAAATCAACCAATCGCGCCACGTTCGTCTGCCCTTCTTCGGAAAAACGAATCGAAGTTTCTTTTTATTTATTACTACAGATTCAATGAAAAAAATTACAAATCAAGGTATGATTAACATGGAAACACATCATACAGGTGATCTAATTATTCAATTCGATGTGGAATTTCCACCAATGAATTTCTTCACTGATCCAAATATTCTTCAAGTAAATCAGTTGACCTTGATCAACTATTTTCTCTTTACTGTCCCTTTTCATATAGCTGTTGGAAAGTATTTTACCAGCGAAATCAGTATTAGAAGTTCCATCGGGTGTTAATATCGATGATTCATCGTCATCCATGATCGATTACAAGAAAGAGACTCATTCGAATAAACATCGTTCACCACAAAAACCCGGTGACGACAGTAATGAAGACATCGACGGCGATGATGATGCACAATATACTGATGATGACGATGACGACGACGATGATGAACATGACGGTCACCCTCAAGTTCATTCTTGTGCAACACATTAGTGGCTTTTTGTTTCGTTTCGTTTTTTTTTCATTGAATTTCTTAATCGAACATTTTCTTCTATTTTGAAACATTGAAAAAAGCGACGTTTGTCAAAAGTTGCTTGTGTGTTTTGTAGATCATCTGAGCGACTCCTTGAATTATCATGCCGGATAGTAAACTGTACGATTTATTGGGTGTTTCAAGAAATGCAAGTGATCAAGAAATCAAAAAAGTTCGTTTTATTCGAGCATTTTACAAATTGCATCGAAAATCTTCTTTTTAGGCATATCATAAACTTGCGAAAACACATCATCCAGACAAAAATCCCGAATCAGCAGAAAAGGTAATACTGATGAAAACAGAACAGAAAAGAATCAGTCTATTGGGTTTTCTTTCTTTTTAGTTTAAGGAGATTTCATTTGCATACCAAGTCTTAACTGATGAAAATAAAAGACGAGTCTACGAGTATGAATCGAAAATAAGATTGCCATTTGGTTATGGATTTTCTTTTCTTAGTAATTACGGTTTGGAAGGACTCAAAGAAGGTGGTGGAAGCGGGGGTGGAGGTTAGTTTGGAATTATCTCTTTAGAAGTTTAAAATGATCTGAATTTGTTCAATAGGCAGTATGGCAGATATTCTCGGGCAATTCTTCGGTGGTGAATCACCTTTCGGTGGTGGCGGTGGTCATCCTTTTGGCGGTTTCGGCGGCCTATTTGGACATGCCATGGGCGGTGGCGGCGGAGGAGGAGGCCGAAATCGACGACGTAAAGGCGACGACATGGCTCATCCACTCAAGTAAATGTTCAACGTCTTTTTTTCTTTCTGTACTAGAATTTGATGAATTTATTTAGAGTGACGCTTGAGCAACTATACAAAGGTGATACACGATCAGTTGAAATCTCTCGAAAGGTGATTTGCCAAGCATGTAATGGGTACGTTGGAGATCTTTCGTTGATGGATACGTTTTTCAAGGTTTATGTTTCGCCGTTAGTGTCGGTGGTCGTGATGGTGCTAAGCAAACATGTACAACATGTCGCGGTCACGGTATCCAACTCATAACAAGACAGATCGGTCCAAACATGATGCAACGAATGCAACAAGTGTGCAAAGATTGTAGTGGAGAAGGTAAAAATTGCTAGGAAAATTTTATGAGCACAAATAAATCCTTGTTTTCAGGAGAAATCATCAACGAACGAGATCGTTGCAAAACTTGTCACGGTAAAAAGACTGTTGATCAGAAGAAAAAACTCGAAGTGGTCATCTCACCTGGTAAGTCCACCGAGCAAATTTTCGAATTTTGAAATCTATCGTGAATCTTTTTTAGGCAGTCGACATGAACAACAGCTTCGTTTTCCAGGCGAAAGCGATCAAGCACCAAATACCGAACCTGGCGATGTGATTGTTGTTTTACAACAAGAGCCACATCCTGTTTTTCAACGTAGTGGAGACAATCTTGTCATGAAGCACAAAATTAATCTAGTTGAATCTTTATGCGGCTTTCAACTCGTAGTTACACATTTAGACGGAAGAAAGATCGTTTTAAAACATCCAGCAAATGATCCCATCGCGCCTGAAACATATCGATGTATCAAAGGACAGGGGATGATTAATATGCGAACTCATGACACAGGAGATTTAATCGTTCAATTCGATGTAGAATTTCCTTCGGACAAAAGTGGACTCGATGCTCAAGCATTCAAAGTAATACTGAAACTTTCTTAACTGATTCGATTCTGATTGTCGATGTTTGCAGCAACTTGAAAGTCTCTTGCCAAAACGTCCACATGTTGACATTCCAAAAGGTGAACATGTTGAAGATGCTCACATGATCGATTTCCATACAACGAAATCCGCCCATAATAATCGACATGGAAATCGTCGAGAAGCATATGACGCTGGCGATTCGGATGATGAAGGTGGTCATCCAGGTGTTCAAACATGTAGGTCTCAATAAGAAGAAATAATTTCCAAACGAACAATTTTTTGTTTTGTTTTTGATATTCCAAATAAATCTTGAAACAATCGAACAGAAGAAAAACGTTTATCCATTTTCACAAGCAGTTTTTTCTGTTCTTTCTTTTCGTTCTCTCTTTACGTATCTCGCATTTGCTTGTCTGTCTTCTCTCATATTTGGCCGCTTGTTGAATAAATAAATCTAAAGATGAAACTTTTTTTCTACTGACGAGAACGACAACTCATGAGAGAAAAAAAGGATAGAGATAAGAAACGAATGAAGGTGAGTACCAGTATTTTTGTTTGTCTCTACTTTTTCTTGCAGATCTCTTACATGATGAGTGACGATGATGATGTGGACTTTACATCAACCAATCAAAGGTTTTAGATTATCTATTAAATAAAACTCACCTATATTCTCATGTATTTCTTTTACAAAAATCTAGTTCAAAAAACTTGGCCTCACTTTTTCACGGCCGCGAGACGGGACCAACAGTAGTCGCATCAACAGCTGCTTACGTTCCACCTAAACAACCTAAAAAGGGTATTTTATCTCTCAATAGAATCACGTGATTTCGTTGTTTTGTCAATAGATTCTTCACCAAAAATCATGACAGCAAGTGTTATCCAAGCATTTATTTTGTAAAGAAATTTTTTCACATCGTATTTTAATCGGTTCGACTCCAGGAATTCGTTTTTCTAGCGCAGATCAAAAATGGACACCACGAGGAAAAATGGGCGCTGCAATCTTATCAACTGATAATACGCTATTTCAACTTATTTTGTATAAAAATAAAACTCAACCTGAAGTATCGACTCGGATAACAACATCAACTGTTATTACAGTAAAAACCATGAATTTCTTTTGTAGACGACTTCGCATGAGTATGTTTTAGTCTCAACCGAATAATTATTTATCATTTCAAGATGACGTTGGACAAAATTGGTCGATTATGTTTGATAACAAACAAGCACTTATCGATTTTACCTTACAAGTGATTGAAATCAAGCAGATCTTCGGTTTTAAAAATGTTTTCCTTGTTTAGGTTCTTCTGGCGAAAGCTTATCTACTCTCTTTTAAATTCGATCATATCATTCAACAAATATCCGAAGGTGAAGGTTCGGCTTTAGTCGACAATGACAGCGCGGAAGTAACTGTTGTTCAGTACAAATTATTGGAAAATGGAACATTGTCATCTGCCGATGTAAGACACAAAGAATTGTTTTTCATACAAAGGATAAAACTGTTGTTTAGGCGGGAGATAATAAACCAATGAGATACAAGATTGGTAAACAACAACATGGAAAAGTAAATTTTTAATGAAAAAGATGAAATGATTTGAGAATTCATTAAAGGCATTCGATGAGTGTCTTCGTGGAATGAAAAAGAATGGACAACGTTTAGTGATGATCGGAACATCACTTTACAACATTGAAGTTACTCGTGTAAATTATATGAAAAGAGATTTTTCGCGATTAAATTTTGTTTTATCTTAGATTAAACGAGAAAAGGAAGCACGTACAGGCTCGATAACAGTTTCCGTAGAAGAACCGCCACCACTGCCACCAACGATAAACGAACGAAAACGAACAATTACTGAAGATAACGACGTAAGGTTTTAGAGACAATCAAATGAACTTAGTTCTAATGAAAATATTACTTGAAGGGCAATGATGAAAAAAGTAAATTATTACAACGAATCAATAAAATGGGCGGTGTTTCAATGCTTCCGAATCAAAATCAATCAAGTGCATTTGTTACACCATTACCGCCCCAAACATCAACTTTCAGTGATGATGATTCAATTCATAATGAATTTATACAAAACGTTACACCGGCACCAATAGTGCCAGTAAGATGAACCTTTCATTTTAATTATTGTCTATGTAATTCTTACTATTAAAGGTACACACAGCGGTACCACCAGTTCAATATGTTCCACCAACATATCATCATATACATCATCCTCCGCATCAATCGTTGATTCAACAACCGAATTTATATTCACCACAACAACCATTGCATGATTACAATAGTCGACCAGGTACACAAGCCAAATAACCCACACTAACACTCTTCTTGGTTTTCTCATTTTGACAGGTTCATCGATGGGCATGGGTGCCATGGGTTATCAACAATCGCCGATGTGGCATCATTCGCAATATCCTCAAACTACACCAAATGGTAAATCTGGATTGTGTGTATTCCTCTGTGTACATCATTTATTGCTTTTTAGTTCCACCACCGACTGACATGTTTTATCAACAACAGATGCCGAACGATTTCCGTCAATTATTTACTCGCTTAAACGAAAAAGTTGATACGCTGAATGAAAAGGTATATTTAATTCGTTTTTAATTCGTCAAATTTCATTCAAAATTGTTTAGTTCGACACTAAAAATTCAACATCATATCCAAACATGGAAACAAGTATTCTTCTTGCAAATATTCAACGCATCGTCAAAGTAGATTCTCTCCCTTTTTCTTCGTTTGATTTCCGACTAACTCATTCAATAGGAAAATGAAACAATGAAGAAGGATTTATTCGATCGAAGTGCAAAAGTTGAAGAACAGAATCTTAAAATTTCCGAATTACTAGATCGGAATCAAAAGTGAATCATTCTTTTCTTCTTCGTCAAACTCCTTTCACTTGTTCATTCTAATTTGATTAGATTAATCGAACAAAGTCATCAAACAGCCGAGCAACGGAATGTCGTCGTTAACAATGTTTCCGAACAAACCGCACAAAAGATTCTCGATTTAGAAAAACAAAAGGTCGAATTAACGAACAATTTGAGCGTTGCAACCAGTAAAATTGCCGATCTTCAATTACAACTGAATCAATACAATCAAGGTGCCAATGAAAATCAATCAAAGGTCAGTTCATTGTTACATCGATGTGAACAATATAAAGAAGAGTTGGAAAAGTCACAAACTCAATACTCCGAAACACAAACGATGTTGAACACGGCTCAAGAGCAATTGAAAGCGGAGAAAGCAGCGAAGAAGAAATTGCAATCGAATCTAAGCATGTTGGAAGAAGAACTAACGGAAGTGAAGGCCACATATGCGAGCTTAGAAAAGGTAACAAAAGGACTTCCAGTACGGAAAAGAGGAATATTTGATTCTTAGGTAAATAATGAACGAAAATTAAAAACGGAAAATGAACGTAAACGATGGCAAGACGATATGGATGAACAAAAACAATCTTATGAAAAAGAATTGGATGAATTGAGAAATAAATTACGTAAACAGCGAACAGCTGATTCAGCAACAACCAGTCAAGAGGTTCGCTGGTGATTTCGAATAAGATATCGAATCAATGCTTTGTTTTTAGATTAGTCGAATTGAAGAAGAATTAGTTCGACAATGGCAAGAGAAATTAGATCGCCAACAGGCACACAGTGAGCGTTTATTATCGACAAAAGGAAAAGAACTTGAACAATTACAAGAATTGTACAATGAAAATGAAAATAAAGTAAAATTAAAGGTTTTTCTATTATGGTAAATCTGTGTTTTCTCTTCAGTTGCAAGAAGTCAACGAAGAATTGAACGAATCTAAACAACAGCTTGAAGCTTATCAAGAACGCGTAAATAATTCATCTTCTTTTTTCAATAGAAATCCATAAAAATATGTTTTAGTATGAAAAACTAAAAGAACGTCTTATTTCAATGAGAGAGGAAATAACCGAACTTACTGAAGAACAACAAGAATCAATCAATCAACAAGTCAAACGTGCTGCCAGCATGATCTATCAACGTTTAAAAACTCGTATCCGGCCAACAAAACAATACAATGGAGAGGAGTTTCTCTCTCGTACACTTGAGATTATCAAGAAAACGACATTAAAAGTTTTATCAAATAATGCAGATGATGAACAATCATCTGAAAATGTTCAATCAGAAGAAGAAGAACAACAACAACAACAGCAGCAGCAACAACAACAAAAACAAAAAGAAGAGGTACATGTAAATCAGTCAGAAGAGAAGAATGATGATGACCCAGTGAACGGAAATTCCGTCGATCAACAAACATTAAATGAAGAAGTTTTATCAGTCTTGACAAACCCAAATGAAGAAACGCTATCAACAGAACACGAAACAACATCAGGAAATAATCAGAAAAATGGATGGGATACTGTTGATGACCTCCAGCAAGAAACAAAGGAACAATCGGAAACCATGGAGCAAAGTCAACTTGTTCTTGTTGCAGATAATACAACAACCTCAGGCACGGAACTCACATTATGAGTAATATGTTGATTTATTTAATCTTTTCAAAAACTATTCTAGTCAATGAAGGAGAAAGTGGATCAGAAGATTCTACTGTTGAGAACAATGAACCGATTGAGCCTCCGAAACTTGTTGAAGAACCAAAACGTGATAGTGATGGTGCTATCGAAGAGAATGAGAAACCATCGCCACCAGAATTAGAAATACCTGCAGAGAAACCGGTCACCGGCGATGGTAAACGATCTCTTAGGTTTTCGATATCTCCATTTTCTTTTAATTGCATAGAAGACGACGATGATGATGATGATGCATTATTCCAGTCTGCGCGCCCATCTGTTCAAAGCGTCACTGCTCCGCCCATAGCTAGTCAATCATCAGCATCTCCGCGAGTAAATCGATTCGTTTTAGAGTTCTTTCAATTATTCGTCTTTGTTCTAGTACACATTCAATGAGAACATTCCATTAATGACAAATCCGGATGATTCAGACGATGAACTGTTCAAATAAGTGAAACGTGTCTGTCGATAATTTTTTTTCTCTTGATTTCAAATCGATGTGACATTCAATGCAAGCCAAATTATTTTTATTCGATAAACATTAATTAATTTTGTTGTTATTCATATTTCCTTTCAATAATTTATCTCATTTAAAGAATATATTCATTGAACTTTCTGCTATTGTTTTATATGCATTTCAACACATCAAAATAAAATCATTGGAGAGTAAATCGATTTTTGTAATCATATTTTCCTCCTGAATTTCTGCTTTAATCATTTGAGTATGTCCACGATTGTTAGTGCGTTCCAGAAATTATGCTGAAATGTCGCAGTGCACACGTCTTTCATGTTCGTCAAAACAAATTATATTCAATTTAGATTTTGCAAATGTAGCTACGGATGATCAACTTCGTAGAATGTTGCAGAACACTATTTGGCAGTACAAAACATGTGTATTATAAAACAGATCCTTTAGACACTGATGTATTTGAAAACTAATAGAAGGCGTAAAGGAAATATCAATAAGAGATCAACGGCAGTACGAAATCTGTAAGAAATTTATCAAGTAGAAGTGCTTCTCGAAGGTAATGATGACTTTAGATAAAAAACATGTTTCTTCTCTATTATATCAAATTCATATCGCGTAACTTGAAAAGTGGATAATGGCCACATGAGGAATTCTTCTTCGTCTGGCATTTGTGAATCACCACCAATAAACGTGCCAACATCAATGAGCTCATCTCCATGAATATTCATTGTATTTAAATCCATTACAAGAAGGGTGTTACCAAACATATCAGCTACTTCTCGTTTCACACTTGTGGATGTAAACGATGTGAACCTGAAGTAACTTGTTTTTTGTTTGAATTGTTCCACTTGTATATCTGTTAGATTCATACCTCGATAAACCGTCAAAATAGTGTTTGTTGGAATGTTTTTCTTCGAAAGATTTTTCATGTATGTTTGCAAGAGATAGCAGAACGCTCCTAATATTTTGAATTGCTCTTCAGTAATTGTATGTGGATTCCAGAGCGCTGACGTAATCGATTTGTACCAGAAAGTGCTCGATGTATAAAGACGAATACATGTACGACCGATTCCATGCGGTATATCGTAGACATCTTTTGCATTCTCTGCCAAATGTTTGACAGATTGTAGTTGATCAGCTAGTTTTTTTGCTTGTAAGAACTCCTTTTGCTTCCAACCTTCGAATAAAATGCCTTTGATAGCTTCTTCAACAATTTGCGGCAGAGTCAAATCATACCAGCTTTTGTATATTAAATATAAGGTATGAAAGACAGGACCTTCATAGAAATTTAAGGTTAGTTCTGGACTATTCGATGTCGATATTTCAGCGATTGTAAAATTTGCTTGTACTGAAAATCGCTCCCGACGTTGAGAAGGCGTATCTTGAGAGACTGTCGAAGTAACACTTGTTGAATTATTATCATTTCTGTCGTTGTCATCTAGGATTGGTAAAGGATTGAAAGTTCGATAATAAATTTTTTCAATTATTTGATTCATGGATTGATATCAAGTCAGACCAACAGAACAACAGCTTGTCACTTAGATTCGTGTCAAAACTAACGAATTAAATATTTTGATAAACATTCATTGGGTATGATGAAGATGATTCGGAATTTAAGACTATTATGAGTATCGAACGACATCAATCAACATATATCTTTATTGTGCAAGAATATATTTGGAATATTCCAATCGATTACTATTTATTTTACTCAGAAAGAAGCAGTACGACTCGTACACAAAGAATAATATGTTAGGCTGACAGAACGAAAGGAAAATAATACACATCATCGACGATAGAGAAGAAACAGTGGTTTTTTCCATATGAGACAGCATTACAATGAAAAGATAGACATAAATAATTCGTTGCTTCAAAATGTATTTCTCTTTCGCTCTGCATAGTTTCAGTTTTTCTTCGACTCGGGCGAGAAAGTTTCGGAACGACTGCCGAGATCATATGTTTATTTGTTTATATCCATGTTTTATACATTGGAACCATATAAGAAGGTTTTCGTTCTGGTTGTTTTAGCAGTTTGCATGTTCCTTCTACAACAATGGCTCCAAAAGTTTTGTTATGAATATCGATAACAGACTTTGCTTATGTTAGGTATAGATATCACATTATATTTCTACCATCAGCAGAGAAATTTGGCTCTGAACCGATTAAAGTAAACAAGATTTCAATTTTTCCTCTTAAATTTCACCTATAGGCATTCAGATGGAACTTCGAGCGAAGGAAGTGCTTCTATCCACAGAACCGTTTTAAACAACTGATAGAATAAGTAAGGGATAAAAACGGTTTAGAACTGCTGATAGAGAACATGATGTTGTTTGGATGTGTAACTTCGAACTTTGACATTTGATCAATTATAGTCAAATCTTACATTCATGTAGTGCTCGAAAAATTATCAATGATATCGTCCGATTATACGAGTCAATAAAAAGGTAGGAAGAGAAAAATCTTCTGTATTTATACGAAGAAATGCTATCTAGTCTTACAAAATATGAAATATATGATCTTAACTCATAATATCAAAGAAAATTGCATAATATGTATCGTTTTGATATTTACTTTAACTGCAAGTCATGAATTACATTTGACTAAAGCTAATCAAAAGTTCAAGCTTGTAATCTTACGTATGTGCACAGTGGGAAACTATATTAGGTTTCATTCGATGAAAGTCAAAGTGACTTTCTTATGAAAATTGACCATCGAGGCAGTCAATGAAGATAATCATCATTATCTAAATTTCTTATTCCAACATGTTTAATTTTTCTATTTATATTAAACAATATACCTTCATTCGTTTCTATATTTAACTTTCCATCTTCTTACATTCTTTGCATTAGTCGGGTTCTCATGTACTTTAAGGGGATGAGCGGGAGGAGAGATATAATTATCTTGTTAATAACTTTGTAGGTGTGTTTTAGATAGTTTTCCACGTCTACGTTTCTTTCAACTGTATGTTGATCCAACAAAACATCAACTAAAGTTACATCTGATAGAAGAAACGACAAAAAAAAGTACCATACAAAGTTTCTAGTTTTTTAGAAATGCACTGGAAAATTTCACATGATATACAGTAATATCTAGTTCGGAAACAGACTTCGACCTTTTTTATTGACTTTCGTTAATTTATACGCATTAGTATCGACTTGCTCGTTCAGATCATTCTAAAATAGCAGAAAATCTTTTCTTTTGAATGAGAATTTCGTCAAAAATTCTCACTAATGCTTGTAATTGATCTTGAAGTTCATGATCAATCAATGTATTAAAGTATTGTAATCGTTGTAAATGTTCATCTAAAGATTGAAATTTATCATTTGAATAGATGAGATTTTGTTCGATAGGAATAACATATTTATTCGAATGATAATCATCGACTTTCTCAGAAGTCGAAGATTTTGATTTACTTTTTCCACATTTCGATGGACAACATAAACGAATGCAAAATCCTTTTTGTAATTCATCCATTTCATGTTCGATCTCTTCGAGATGTCTACTCGATTTATCCATATTCGTTTGAAATCGATCTAGAACCATGAATTTATTCTTGAAAATTCTATTCAATAAACAAACCTATTTGTTTTGTTTGCAATGAATTCATCTGAGTAACTTGTGATGCAAGTGTTTGTGATCGTTCCAAAGTGTCTTCTAGATCTTTAATTACGATATCAAATTTATTTTTAGAAAGAGATATTGTTGTCATTGTAGTTCTTATAAGAAATTGAGGAAAAATTAAGTTTGCGCTCAATATGATTCTAAATTATATTTCAAACACTTGACTGGAGATATTTTCGAGAAAAAACATAAATGGGGTGAAACAGTTGAAGTAATTCTAAAGAGAAAAGTAATATTATGAAAATATGAACTAAGACCATCTGTTTGAAGATTAGTGAGAACATGTGACAGTTGTGATCTCGTTGTTTAAGTCCTAAATGGATGGAGAATATGAGACTAAATATACGAATGTAGTTTTGAGAATTGTTAATTTAATGTTTTTTTTTTCTTTTCTCAACCTGTTTCTGGCATTAGAATCTTTTAAAAAACAATGTCTATTATTCATTGCGATTGTTCGGAATAAATAAAAAAATATTTAGGAGTTTATAACTCTTCGTGTCAGTCTGTTAGTGACAGATCTGTCATATTCATCTATTCTGAAGTAAAAATGTCCTCATATATAAAATTTATTAATTTCCGAAAAGCAACATTCTTTGATACATAGAACGAGTCGAAGAGAAATATTTATTTTTTTCGATGTTTAGCCAACAGAAAATTTCCGAATGACGTAACACATTTTTTTTCACTAAAACGATCAGATATTCATGATTAATCAGAAGACATCTCCAAGGCTTCTAGACATAATGTTGTCAATCCGATATTCCTCTCAATTTCGATCAGTTCACCTTGGAATATGAAGGCAATGATGTCAGTAACGATTGTTAAACCATCAATTTCTGATCAACCAAGTAACAGAGCGCTGTAAAGCGGAGTCGTATTACATTCCATATGAAAACGGATGCTAAACTGTTTTGTTAAACTTTATTTGTTATCAACAATGATTAATGTGTTGTGATCACGCGTAAAACAACTACAAAGTGCAAGTATTTATATGAACTGGAACGATGCTTGGTGAATAATGATCTCAAGTTTTGTATGCATAGTAAATATTAACTAAGTTATCTATCGTATGTATATAGAAGCCAGTTACGAAAACAATCTCATTCTATGTTATGAATATTGCTATTCTTCGATCGAACATTGTCTGTTTTTGTCCATTTACTTCTCTTTTCATGACTATCTCTTTCCAGGGTTTCAAATACAATTGCATGAATTGTCTAATGCAGTAATCTATTTGGTGATAGTCGTTTGTGATAGAGAACTACTCTCTATGCTCGATAGTGTTTGATACGCCCACACTTTAACATAGACATATGTTTTCCAGTAGACAAATATGATAATATTTCATTTTACATTATATAGGTGACAAAGTTTCTGGTTTAAGAGTCATTTGTCTTTATTAATAATCTTTTTATTGAAATCAAATCATTGACATTTTTAAACAGGATTTTAGTTTGCCGAGATAGAATCATATCTTACGGAAACCTACGTAATTTTAACATAGACGAGGCGTCCAATAACAGTTGTGTTGTAGAATTATTTCAATTCTAGGTGAAAGAACAATGTGTTGATTACTTTTTCATATTAATAGAATAAATCTATCTGTCCTGTTTGTAATTCATTATGTTGCAAGAATTTGTGATCATTCAATTATCACTTCCATGTCTTTTACTGTAAATCAGGACTTATAAATACGTCGTGGTGAGTCTTATCACAAAAATAGTGATCATAAAAAGCGAAGAGTTTTTTGATTTATTAAAATTGATTTCATAGTCAATATGATCCGCATGTCTATTTCGAATCGGAAAGAAGTCTTTGTGATGGATCACTCGAAGTATAAACCTCGCTCGATTGAATAGTTCTTGTTGGTAATCGATGTGTCGATGTTTTGATAAAGCTAGTTGTTGTGAACGATGTTTTCGATCCATCTGTTTGATCTGGTAAATTCGAATGACTTGTGTACCGTTGATATTTACTATGAATATTACCGAGAAGTCTTGCTGGAAAAGATCGATTCTCTTGTTCTTTAGTTTGATTTTCTTTAAAAAATATGGCGAATAAATGTCTACGAAACAATTGTCCGGTTAATGTGTAAATGTACAGATGTCCGGCATAATAAATCTGTTGTAATAGTATGAGAAAAACCTTTCGGAACCAATTGGAACACGAATGTTCTCGATCTGTGTAAAGTAAAATATCATTGATTTCAGTGGGTAAACAAAGAACAAGAAAAGCAAATGTGGTTCCAAGTAACATACAACATAATTGAATATCTTTATCACGTAAACGAGTTGTACCTTGTTCTTGAAATGTTTTCTTAACTGTTTGACGAATTGTTTCACTTGTATAAAATGTATAATAATAAAACTTACCTTTTGTATTGTATCGAATCGTTTTTCGCGTTTCAAAGATTTGTAAAATGATTAATATCGAACAAATAAACATGATTATAAAAGGTACAATAACAAAAAAGACGGATTCCACATAAGAATCATAGATACGGAACAATGTACGATACAAATGGTTTTCTCGTCGGATGTTGCAGTCATAGAACTCATTCAATTGTTTCTCATTTAAAAGAATTTTTTCATAACCGAAAAAAAAATGTGCATTAGCGAGAAACAAAATAATAACAACAATAATCACACATTGTTTAGCTCGTTCGATATTACAATAACGTTTCGAACGCGATGGACAATAGATTAATATAAATCGATCTCTAAAGAACACATTGTGATATGTATTTTTAATTTCTTCGGAAATTAAAATGTCTCTTGAAACTTCAAATTATTAACTTCGCTTACTTCTCTATCTTATGAAGTTCTCTCTCCGACAAAATTATGGCTTTCAAAATAGGCCTGCGACAGTTCAAGTTCAATTGTACTAGAAACTAAGAACTTGAAATGCACGTCAGTTCTAATTCAAAAGAACTGTGATGGCGAATAAGTTCCTACTCAAAGAACTCGAAATGAACTTGTAGCTTGAAAAGTCTCCTATTGTGATGTTTATGTTCTTTATTCATTCCTTGATGCGCTTGGTATCGAAGAGATATGCATGATCTAATAAGAATCTTCTAGATCGTCTACTTAAGCGTGATTCTGCTAAAGGAAACGAGTCCCACTTTTTTAATCGCGAAGGATCAGACATACAGAGACAATCGAACAACGTTTAAGTCGACGATCTAGCAGATTCTTATTAGATCATGCATATCTCTTCGATACCAAGCGCATCAAGGAATGAATAAAGAACATAAACATCACAATAGGAGACTTTTCAAGCTACAAGTTCATTTCGAGTTCTTTGAGTAGGAACTTATTCGCCATCACAGTTCTTTTGAACTAGAACTGCTTAAAAGTTCTAGTTCTATGAACTAAACTGGAACTGTCGTAGGTCTATTTCAAAGAACATCTCTTTAATCAAAATATTCTTTCTTGCATTAAATCCTTCTGATATTCGAATGAGAATAAAATCATTAACTTAATCTTCTTGTCACAATTTCTATTTCATACTTACATTGATGCTAATGTTAACACCACATTGGATAAATGATTTGTGAAATAAATCAGAAATATTGTTGTTTTACAAATACTCGTATGTAAAACAATAAAATCAACATGAAAGCTGTATGGTAAATGTTCAATAACCATTGTTAATAAGTGTATTGTATCACTAATAGCCAAGATTAAAAAATAAAAACAACAAGATTTTCGACCTAATTGAAAACGAGAAAAAGACGATTGTTCATTGAGCGAAATAATAGGAAAGAAAACAACATACGCAGAGGTTTTCGAGCAAAAACACAAATACTTAGGACAGTTGAAATGATTCCGATAAGAAAAATGAATGTACCAAAATATCGAATAAGACCATTTGTTATATAACAATTCAGATATTCATTAGTGAATAAAGACAAATTTGTATTATTTTTCATACTGTTTGTCTGTATAACACGCACGGAAAGAATCAAACAAACTCGTCAAAGAAAATAATTTATCAACGCAAAGTGTATTTCTTTTTTCTTCTCTTCTTTCTAAAACAAAAAAAAACAACTTTATTAAATGAAAACAATTAATGAAATAGAAACACTATGCTGATATTAACATTGAATTGAACACGAAAGATTTAGACAAAATAATTATCAATCTGGCTGTAGCTTCTAACTCGTTTGAACTTTATTGAGTAAAAAAAGACTTTTCCGCAAAAGTCCAAAGCCAAAATACTGACAACATCTGTGCGACGAAGATATTTTTGTATGCGTGTGAGAAATTCTAATGAACAGGAAATAACATGCGCTCTTCTAATTATATCTCGTATGTCTTTGTTGTCGACAAATGTTATTAATCAAAAAGGTTTATGATCTTCGTAGACAGACTAATCGTGATGTCGACTATTAAATACTTTTAAGGGTGAAGAAAACAAAGTAAATTTCGCTCTGAATCAATTATAAGATAACTAATCAATGTTTGAAGATATTTGATAATTAACGAGTTAATCATCTGATATTTTTCTTATTTATTGGACTGGAAATAGCAATTTTTTTCTTATTTCCGGAGAAAATCTTTTCAACAATTTTTTCTCATTTTAAACTGAAACATTGCAGAAGAAACGCAGAAAAATCATGATGCTAATTCAAACAAAAACGTCCGTTTCAATAAATAGCGACATTTCTACGCTTAAAAAAAGTCATGAGACCCCCCACTTTTTTTCGTGTAGAAAATAATCAGAAACTTTAATCAACATTCTGCCTTTCTTTATTCCAAATCTAATACAGACTCATCTTGGAAGAAATTTGACGCAACAACTTTGAAGGAATTATGCAGCTAACATTGTTTCTACTTGATATAACTCATCTCATTCTTCGAATACTCATTAAATAAGTTAATCTGATACATTAGCGAAATCAGTAGGCGTTCAAAAACGAGCAATTAATTACAAATAACTCATTTCCCTCAGTCTATACTCGTCATATACTGAAGTACCTCGATAAGAGTATCATCATTTCAGTCTGTATGAATAAAAATAAAGTTACTATCACAAATCAACTGAACACTTAGAATTCGTGTTTAAAAAAAAACATAGTATAAAAATTGTCCTTGAATAATTTAACGAAGCAATCTCAAGATTATTAATACTCAAAATAACTTTGGGTCATGGAATTGTGGCTTCGTTCAGAATATCACGTTTTCCAAAGTTGCCCGATACTGAGTGAAGAAGGAGAAATATTACAATGCAAGAGAAAAGAATGTCTGCTTTTGGTTTTTGAAGTAGAAAAGAACGTTGAAGAGAAATATATTACTTATTCCTCTCATAGTCTCACACATCCCACCCACGTATAGAAAATCGTCAGATCTTTTTTTCAAAATTTGCATCGACATTACTTATCAAGATAATTTATATATTTTCATTAAATTGACTTGTTTCATTATAAAATCCATCAGTCGTCTTTGTTTGAAATGATTTTCTATAATTAGAGAAATTTCGAGGTTAAATTCTTCGATAAGTAACGATGCATTAAAACTAATAACAAAGAAAATTATTCATTATACTCGATGGCCAACTTGTTATTGGTATGTTACTATTAAATATCGCAATACACATATGTAAAGGACTCTTGATACTCATTGGCTTGTATTTAAATGAGAAGAAGAGTGTTTATTATCAATGTGAAAGTAGCATGAAGAATCAATGTGTTAGTTAAAAACGTTTTTGACTCTCGGAATTGAATTCTGCATTGAATGACGATGTTTTTATTCACGGGATAAACTTTTAGATAAAATATCTTTGATATTTTGTATGATCACTTACGAGATTATATCAAGAACTGTAAGGAGTAAATTATGTAGAAAATTTCAATGTAAAAATTATATAGACGAGTTTTATTTTAAAAAAAGACATGAATACAAAATAGTATTTACATGTCTTTCTTCGACATTGTTCCTTAAAAAATACTGGTAAGTGAATGACAAGACAAGACAGAGAAATTCACGTTCTTCTAATCGTCACAATAAACACAAATTCCTATTACTCATCTATCATCAATATCTTCAACTACTGAAACAAGTCTACCTACTTGTGCTAAGAATGGATCAATTGCACAAGTGCCCATTGGTGTTATTCTTCTATGGCAATCATATACAACCTAGTTGAACATCAACTACTATTGATGTACTTTGACAACTTGTTTAATTTTCGATTTCTTTCTTCGTCTCTTCATGTATTTCATAGAAAGTTCATAATAAAATCAAACATGTATTTCTATTTAAAGTCAGATTTATTTATTTTTCTTCTTTTTCAACAAATAAATACACACTGGATTGTTTCTTGAAGAACTCGCTCTTCACTTTGTCATCGTTTATCAAATATTAATATCTTTGATAATGATCTACATATTAATCGTTCAACATAATTAAAAATAACATTAATATCACCAATATTTGATGTAACAACGTTATCCTTACCAATAGAATAAAATAAGATCAAATTGATACATTTCTATTGAATTGAATTTTGACAAAGTCAACAATTACAATTCCATCTTGTGCATCAATATTTTATTATTCAAATAATTTCATGATGAACAACAATTACATGTGTATCTATATTATCAAAACCCATTTCTTCAGTATTTGGTGTATAATGATAAGGACAACCATGCGAAATTTTATAATTTTGTGATATTGAATTAATATAGTGATGATTTTCATTTCGTGATCAATTTACTCGAATTCAGTAAAAAAGAATTAACTGTTGATTTTGTTATTATTGATTATCCATATGACGGAAAACACAATTAGCAGAAATACGACCTGATTTAGTTGAAACTGACGATGATAGTGTTGATAAAGAACATGGTACCAATACATCTTGTGTTAATTTACTTGAATTTTGTCATATCTATTGATAGTTGGATTAACACAAAGAATCATTCATATTGAACCTTTACCATTAAAATAGATTGTGAAAAACAATGTTAATTTCGACTCACGATATGAAACTATTCATATTGTAAACAAACATGTTGAAATTGTTTTTCAAAAAGAAATGAAATTTATCTTAATCGTACCTTGACCCACATCCTCAAGAAATAGATTTTTAATCCGTTCATACACATCATTAATTTGTCTTTCTTCATCGGGAAACAATGTTTCAAATAAATGTCAATACTAATTATTATCATATGATGTAATTATTTCTTTTCAATGTCTATCCAATAATCATTTATTGAGAAATAGACTTTATTTCCTAAGTAAAATTGAATGAAAAACTCTAGATGATATACAACGCTTGTTGATATGAACTGTTTATAGATGTATTGCAATGAAATCATTTGTTAGACATATTGATTCTTAAAGTTTTTAAGAAACAATTATATCATAAAGAGATTTTCCTGCTCTTTTTCTTTTATTATTCATCGATTGTATGAGAAAGATTGATTGCTTTTATTCACCCATTCACTTCGTTCATTTGCTTTTTGTACGTGTTCAGTTATTCAATTATATTTCTCAAATCGAGAACTGCTCCTTAGAAATTCACAGCTTTACATTTAACTACTGTTCAAGTTCTTTTCTGTATAGTTTATCACAATATGGGTGTGACGTGCCAGAAAAACAAACAAATACATTGAGAAATGCATTAACGAGGGTTTTTCTCGAAGACAATGAACACGAGCGGAATAGAATTTTGGTTAATTGCCAGAAACTTTCAAATATGCATGAATGGATTATTCTAACGAAGAAACAAGACTAAAATTGTAAAGATAAGCCAGATGGCAGCTTTGTTCAAGTTTGTTCTTTGAAAACTTCGATTGTTTATGTTTGTTTAACGCACTGAGAATAATAAAACATTTTTCCTGAATTAGATTCCGAAAATGTCAATACAATCGATCGACAAATGAGAAAAATCAATCTTCTTTGTCCTCTTTCCCGGCTTTTTTTCTCTCTTAGCTGCCTAATTCGATTTAGTACTACGAAGACTTCTCTTTTTCCTCTCCTAGTCACTATCGATCGTATTCTGATGTTGGAAGTGGAGCGAACAAGTCGATCGATGCGAAAATAGAATGAAATCAAAAGAGAAGAAGATTCAAGCATCACTCTAGTCAACATACAAACGCCAATATAACCTTGTGTGCCATCTGAAACACACGCAATTGACGACAAGAACGATAGAACGCAACACATTGCTACCAATCAGTCATAGGAAAAAAAAACTTTATTATATTTCTAGCATAGATCGACAACGTTCGTCAGTCATTTTTATTAGGATCAATGTGGAAGAAGCTTAGTACTGTTCTATGCCATAAAGGTAAGAAAAGCTTATGAGTAGATGTGATTTCTCACAGTAAACCTCGATATGAAAGAAGATTCGAGGTTATCAAAGAGATTAAAGGAACAGGCGAGAACAAAATTTGTTTATACAATCTGTATGAATGTGAATCGAACATCAGTGAGATAGAAATAATCAGTTTTCTCACAAGTATACTCTAATTAAGAAAACAACATCGAGGACAGAAGAAAAAACGCATCGATCGACGTCTCTTGTCCATTGGTGATCATGTAACCAGTCTTCTTTGGTCAATAGAATGAGAAAAGCAGAACAGATAGTTATATTATCAGAACGGCTGATGATATACTCTTATGTAATAAAAAAGAAATTGTCTCTTCTCATTTTATTAGTCAAATCACAGTTAACAATAGATGAATTATGTCTGTGGAAAATCAAATCAAGAAAATATTTAACCAAAAAGTTTTTTTCCTCTTCGATTTGCATTTCCATTGAACGGATGTGAATAAATGTTTCAATTTCAAACGAATAATTGCCTTTTAAAACCACTAACTCATATTGTTTACGTATACGAGAAGACTTTTTTTAAAAACATAATAGCTGTTGTCGAGAAATAGAAGGACACTAGATAAATATAGCCACGTTTTCTTCCTCTTTCTCGGTTTTTTTTGTACTCGATAACAGAGTCAGTTAGAAAAAAATGGCAACACCCGAGAATTATTTGTCATCTTCGAAATCTACCTGCTATTCTTTCTTTATCTTTAGTAAAGTAATCTTATTAAGTTAGTCATGCACATCATGTTGCTTCTCTCTTCGATAAAATAACCTTGAATAGATATTCACTAGACATTAAAACGAAACATTTGCACGATTATCAATCAATCGAATCATCGAAGTTAATATCACACATGACAAGGATTCTTTTGTTGTTCATTTCCTTTTCTTCTTTACTAAAGTTTACTCATCTCGAACTTCAATACAACACCTTCTCTCTTTCCTCTCGTTGTGGACGATACTCGATCCAGTTCGGTGATATAGTACACTCGCTTATATAAAAGAGCAATAGAGAAGAGAAAGAAGTGAATCTAATATCTCAATACAACGACAAGACGATAAACTTTCACCAAACAGTATCTCTCGCTCTTTCTCTCTTTTCTCTTTTTTCTATTTCTCTTCCGTTCTCTTCTCATTATTTCCATCTTTCTTGTTGCCGTTGTGGGAGCGGAAACGATTGCTGGTCGTTTTGCTTTTCTTTATTCTCGACGTTTACCACATCACTATTCAACTCAGATCACTATTCTTGTAGAAAAGAAAATGTTTCTAAAATTACTTGTAAATGTCTTTGAACGAGCAAAGTCCAAGTTAACCTCAACACGTTCGATTGATCGAACCCTATCAGGTTTGTCATCAAACATTCTTTTCGAATTCTCTTCATTTATCAAAACAAATGTGTGAAACTATCGGTTTATTTTTCTTTTCAATTTTCTAGACTCCGACAATGAATTCGAGACAAATAATTGTAAACAAATGTTTTCATCTGGTCCATCAATAATCCATCAACAACCTCGTTTATCTATCTCAAAATGGTTATGTACCAGTCCACCATCTATTAATAAATCGGTAAGCAAGGTGAAGACAACTTCTTTCCCTTTCATACTTCACACTTTCGCTTAATCTTTCATCGTAAACTTATCAGTTATTTATTTCTCACTCGAATATTCTTGTTCAATTGAATTCTAATCAAGAATTTTCTTCTCCTCACATTGTCACGCATCTGCATGTCTTGCCAATTACAAAATACATAACAAAAAAAAAAGAGAGGATTGCCCCACGGCTTTTACCTTCCGTTTATTTTTTCTTCATCGTTATTCTTCGTAGACGTTATATCCTAATGAAACATCATTAGTGTATAAGCTTTCATCTGATAAGAGAAATCAAACGATATCTCAGGCACTTATTGTTTTATATTTATCATGTCTACCAGTCATTATTATAGAATCGTTACCGCATCGATAAGAACAATTGCCTAATCGTTATACAAAACATGTCGAAAGACGAAGAGAAAACTGTGAAAAGTAAATAAATCTTGTAAAAGTTTGCTAATGNTCTCACATACTTGACCTTAGATGTCTATAGAAATCATTTAATTGTTTATGTATATAATATGTCAACGTCAACTAGAGAGAAAGCTTGATCCATTCAATAAGATTAAATGTAGAACCATATGACATTTAATAAACTTGATTGATAGTTTCTATGGATTACATAATTATCAGTTGGAGTTCGTGAGAAATATATAAACAATCAGCGTGATCGGCATTAAAGATAAAAGGATTTGTTTCTTCATCAAAATTGCTGTATACTATTTCTATTGTAATATGATGTGTGAAAGCAGTTTTCTTTAATCCAGAAAAAAGAGAGAAACAATATACAAATTAATATTCGAGATCTTTTGTTTTTCACGATCTACTAATCAAATAGTTGCATCGAGGGTAGTAAAATAGTTGAAAATCAACTTTCAAGTTTGACATTATTGTCTTTGCTTGAATGAAATCTTCAAAACTGCTCTATATTCATCCAAAAATGACGTTAACGAACAGTATATCGCTCCATAGGAGTAATGTCTGATAAAAAGAAAATAATTTTCATCGAATTAATACACTTGTGTTTATATTATCTTTGATTTTCTTTGCATATCTTTGTCTAGCATATATACACATAGATAGTTTTACACAAGTATTTAAGAATATGTTGCTGTCTTCGAAGAAGAACTAAAATAAAAGAATGAAGAGAATCATCTGATATGATCTGATAGACGTACACGTACACAATACAAGAATTAGTTTAACAGAATAAAGAAACTGAAAGAAAGAGAAGAGAAATTAATAGAAAGAAGAAAAAAAAATAAAGATGCATAGTCATCAATATGAGATATATAACACAGAAAAGAACGAAAAAGAAAAGACACGCACGAATTTCGCACATAACGAAGCTTAGACCAATTCCAAGACTTTAACAACACCTTGACTGTTTGCTGTCAATAGAATATTTTCACGCTAAAAATTCAATGACAATTCAATTGATAAACAATCAAATCAACAATCTAAACTTACATTGCTCCAACACATCGCACTAACAAATTCGCTACCTGTTTCGTCTTTCTTCACACGATCAGGATTGGTTGCTGTCGTTTTGACTGTTCCATTAGTTTGCTCGTCAAATTTATAGCTGAGCAATGGTCGAGAGATTTCACGTTGATATAGATGAACTGTATTTGTTTCACTACCACAAACAATGTAACCATTTGAAACAGCCAAACCAACGAAATTCTTTTCATTGATATGTCCACGATAAGTTCGTAAGCATTGTCCTTCGGTGACGCGCCACAAACGAAGTTGACTATCCGTTGATGCAGAGACAATTTCATTATTGGATAAAAATCTCGCATAAGATACGGCTTTCTTATGACCTTTCAATAAATTACAAGGTTCACGTGTGTTACGTAAATCAAAATAATATAAATTATGATCAGCTGTGCCAAAGACAATATTATATTGAGAATCAGGTTTAAATTTCACACAACAAACGTTGGATTTAGCATCAATTGTTGTCACGGAATAATCATTATGCATTGACCAAATTTTCACTACAAATCAAAGATTTTTTGTATTCACCAGAAATTTATCCGAGTTGAACTTACCTCGACAATCATCTGAACATGACGCAAGTAGTTTAGGATCAGATGAACAAAAATCCACACTCCACGATCGTTTTTCATGCTCCTGAAAGATAAAGTTTTCTCAATACTTAATAATTTCTAAAACAAAAACAACATTACTTGAAATGTTCGAACTTTTTGTGCTGTAGCCATATCCCAAATGGTAACAAATCCATCATAATCACTTGATGCTAAGTAATTTCGTAAGTACGGATTCCAACTGACACAACTTAATTTAGCTGTACATAGAACTTCTTTTGTTGGATAATGTAAATCGACTGTATTATCAAGTATTGACTGATATTCATATAACTATTCAAAACCGAATGAAATTCTTTTCTCTTATCGGAAGTAAAATAGTTTTTACTTTGATTTTTTTCGAAACACCAGCAACAGCGAAATGTTCATAATCTCGATCGAATTCAATACTAAAAAGACGTTTATTCAAATGCTAATTCGTTCATTCGCATACCTTGAAACGATACTGGCTTGTGCGAAATTTTCACCGACAAAGTTCACAGTTGCTAGTGATTTACATCGTGAATATTTGGTCACAGCTGCTAGATTATCTCGAAATGTGCTTAATCCACTATCACCATTGCATGATCCATCTAAACATTCAGACTAAGACTTATAAATTCGGAAGAAATTTGCTTTTCTCACCATTTTCAACTGATAATCTTACAGAGTTTCTTGTGGAAAAATAAATATTTGTCAAATCATCCATGAAACGCATCATGATTTTTGTTCGATTTTCGATCTCGTCGTTTGTTGAACCCTGCTGATTCGTTTCTTCCGGTACCTTCAATTAACTTCTATTGTACACGAATAACCACAACAATGAACTACTTACCACTGCACCCGGCGCAATTCGTGAACCAAGACATTCAGTTTTGATTAACGTTGATGAATTTGTTGTCGTTGTAGCTGGTAAAATCACAGAAGATGATAGAGATGTTGTCGTTGCAATTTGTTGCTTATCAGTTTTCATATCTGGTGTAGCATGAAGATCCTATTGAAAAGACAATAACGAGAAAATAACTCTTCGATCCGAATATCTCTTACTTGTCCTCCTGGATGCGTCCAAGTCGGTACGGTGTCATTACCAATAGTTGTATGATTTGATGTTGATGATAACTCTTCTTTGATATCGATGGTTGTATTGGAAGACAGAATTGGATTATCGTCTGGAATTTGTTTAGAACTGGAATTTGTTGGAATATTTACATTTGTTGATGAACATTTTTGTCGTTTATTCATTTGTTGTAAATCTTGGTCTACAATATTCAATTCTTTTGTCAGTGATTCAATTGCCTAGGGGAGAAAAGTCTTTATTGTCATTCTTTGTACAAAGAACGTTTCTTACGCCACTTCGTTCATGATGAACGTGCATTAAAAAGACTTCCAACAAACGATTATGAACATATTCGCTGTTCTAAATTAAAACAAAAACAACTTTCGAGTTTTTCTCGAGAAAATTTCGACGAACTGAATCGATTTTTTCTTTATGTTGACGAATGACGGAAATCAGTCGATCAAGATCTTCTGTGTTCAATGCATGAATATTTGTAACCATATCTGAGATATGCTCAACAATGCTCTAAAAAATTAAATGAAAAGAATTTCAGCTTCCATCACAATCTTTCGAAAGCATACACCATGTTTGCCAAATGTTTGAGGCAATGGACGTTGTTGACGATATTTTTCGATGATTGCATTAACTAAATGAAGCTTCGTTCAATTTTGCTAATCAAAATTGAGTTCTTACGAGTGTAATTGGGAAAGATGTCAGTTGGTTGAAGACTTAATTGGCATTTTGGACAACGACGAATGGTCTCAACCGTTCGTTGAAGACATTTACTGCTACAAATAGAGAAAAAGACACGCCCGTTTTTCTTTCATGAGTACAAAACTGATTAGAATCACAAGTGTAAATGAAGGTCAACAAATGCTTCTCATTGATGTTTTATCGAAGGTTATCTGAACTTCAATCTCTCATTGAAAGGCGAATCTTACCAGAAACTATGTCCACATTTGGAAACAAATGCTTCGCTGATTAATTCGAAGCAGATTGGACTAAAATCAATCAAATATTTTCTTTTCTATCATGAAGATTGCATATCTACTAACCAATTGTAATCTTCTTCAAGATTTGAATTAAATGAAGGAGATGGTTCGATTTTCGGTGATACATTCGAAGTTGTTGGTGCTTGTGATGACGTTATAGTAATTTCATCTGTACGAGTTCGTTTTACTCCCGACATAATTGTTGATTAATTTACACTAGAGAAGAAGAAAAACACTCGTAGAGACACTTTTTCGAAGGAAATATACGAACGTTTTCGACGTCTTATATGTTGCACGTGAATGATCGACGGATGAAGTGTTTCAATTGAATGTATAGAAACAATTCAGTGATGTTTTTTTTTCTCTTTTCTTATCAAATACACAACGGACGAACGATGAGTAATCTTTGATAGTTAAGTGTTCATTTATTAATTATGGTTGTGACTTTTTGAATTTGAAGAAAAAATTGTTTTCAAAAATCAATTTTCGTCGTTGACTGTCTGAGGACGGAAATTATTTGATGCATTGACGCAAAATCTAAATCAAGTTCACAAGGAGATAAACATCGACATTTTCATTGGACGATTTTTTGACCAATGAAATCAGAGAAAGAAGTTAGTTCAAATCGATTTCTCATCAGAAACTTTCCTTTTTCTCGATATTCTCGTCAAGAAAAATTTCACAAAATTCATTCACTGCTAATCCTTTCAAGGTTTTCGCGATCATTATGTCAGTTATGCAATCACGTTAATCTAATGATCAAACATTGTATAACAACTGTACAAATCTTTCTGTTTCTTCTCTTTAGATTTCACTTGAAATGACCTCAACACAAATTCGGGGTCAAGATTTTGCAGTAGGAAATCGTTTTATTAATCTAAAATATCTCGCGTCGGGTGCCTATGGAATGGTTATGTAAGTTACGAGTAGTTTGTGAGGAAACAGATATACAATGAAGCTTTTTGTTCGTTGTAGATCAGCAGTTGACACTCAAACATTGACCAATGTTGCAATCAAGAAGATTTCCCCATTTCTTTCTTTAACGACTTGCCAACGAACTCTACGTGAAATTCGAATTCTTCAAAGACTGAAACATGAAAATGTATGTTAGGAGAAAATTTAATTTTCTGTTCGATTAGTATCAACGGTCTATTTTTAGATTATAAATATTATTGAAATACTCAAACCGGCAACAGTAGACCAAATGAAAGATATGTTCGTAGAAAAACAAAACTTCTCGTTTTCCTTTAACCTTTCTTCTGTTTTAAGATATTTAATTGAAACTCTAATGGACACTGATCTCTCCCAACTCATAACTCATCAAAACGGATCAAAAATTCTCTCCGATGAACATATTGTATATTTCATGTATCAACTACTACGAGGTGTCAAATATATTCATAGTGCTAACGTGTAAGTCACCTTTCGTTCTATGGTTTCGTTTTGTATGTGTATCGAAATTCTAGTTTACATCGTGATTTGAAACCAAGTAATTTACTACTGAATCGATCATGTGATCTGAAAGTAAAAGTGATGAAACGAATTTTCGCGTTGTTGGATGAATATTATTTTTTCAAAGATCTGTGATTTTGGTTTGGCTCGCACGGTCGATACAGACGCTCGAGATGATGGACTTTTAACTGAATACGTGGCGACGAGATGGTATCGTGCGCCGGAAATAATGGTCAGCCAACGGTGTTACCACAAAGCAAGTCAGTTTTCACTGTTAACTTTTGAATAAATAGGAAGAGTTCGATTTCTTTTCAGTTGATATCTGGTCTTGTGGATGTATTTTGGGTGAAATGTTACTTGGAAAGCCGTTATTTCCTGGTCGGCATTATGTTGATCAATTAAATCATATTTTTTCCATAATTGGTTCACCGACAAAAGACGATCTCGCATCCATACGTGATCCTAGAGTAAATAAGCATTGCTCGATGAATTTCCTTATTTCATAAAGTTTCTTACTAGGCGTGTTCTTACATTAGTCGAATGCCGATCAAACCTAAAGCTAATTTCAACGAAATCTTCTCACGTGGAAGTTCCCTTGGTATTCCGTTCTTGATTTGATTCGTTTTCTGACAATTTATGCTTTTTAGCTTTTGACCTTCTTGATAAACTATTAACATTCAATCCAGCAATACGATATACAACGGAACAAGCGTTAAACCATCCTTATTTAAGTCAATATTCAGACCCTGAAGATGAAGTAAAGTCTTTTTTTTTGAAAAAGCATTCAAAAGAAGATCTTTTCTTTTTAGCCCATTTGTTCTATCCCATTTTCATTATCTGATGATATGACATGTGTGTGTACAATCGACGATTATCGTCAATTTATCTTCGATGAAATCCAAACGTTTTCCCCCAACAATTGATTCTTTGTCTTAATCTAGTCACCAATTTCTTTTATATATATATAGATGTGTCAGATATTTCCGTGTGTGTGTGTGTTTTTTTTTTGAAGAAGAATTTTTTGTGTTAGAAGAGAAAGAAAGGAATTGTAATTTGTTGTAGAAATGACTTTGTACGAAATTCTTGGTGTTTCATCGAATTGTTCAACTGAACATCTTCGACAACAGTACCATCGTTTGTTACTTGAATATCATCCAGATAAAAGACAAAGCAATGATCAATTTAGTCAAAATCGATTCGAACAAATTCAGAATGCTTATGGAATACTTTCAAATCAAGAACTACGAATAAAATATGATCAAGAACAAGAACGGCAACATTTACACACACTTGCACATACAAATATTGATTTGACCGACTTCACTGATGATAACGAATACGTTTGTCGATGCGGAACGATTTTAGAACTTGATCTAGAGACGAATTTTGATGTTATTGAATGTCCAAATTGTTCAATGAAAATCGAATTGAAAAATAAATAAGAATCGTCACGGTCTCAAAATCTCTCAAGTAAACAAATGACCTGATAATATAAAATCGCAATTTCAAACAATCAAAACGAATCTCCTTGTCTCATACGTATATATCAACGACTTGAATACCTCATTAAACACAAGAAGCTATCGTATACGTCATAAAGAAAGAAGCATAAAGCTTCACGACGTCATCTGAATGAGTCAATGTTTTCGTGATAGCTTTCCCTTTCCTCAATAAAACCCATTCATCCGTGAGAATGTGTATAAATATTAGCACAGGTCACACATGAATTGCTTTTTTTTAAATGTAATATTCATCTATTTGTTTTACAATACACGTGACGCACTAGAAACGAATGGCTTCTTTACCTACGAAATCACCAAGATCGTCGCCAAAAATTCGTTCATCGTCGGGAGACACCGATTCATTAGAACATAGTGTAGAAGATATAACGATCATTTGGTTCGATCAATATATGGACGAATCAGTCAATCCGAAAGATGTTGAAAAGACGAAGAATTTATTACGAAAGATTAACGATTATGTTTTGTTCTTTTCCAAGCCAGAGCCATGTATTGATTATGTGAAATCAGTTCCGAAAGAGAAAATCTTTCTTATCTCATCGGGATTTTACGCTGTTGAACATCTGGATAAGATTCATTCTTTATCGCAGATCGATTCAGTTTTCATCTTCTGTGTATTTCGAAGCAAATACGTACCATTAATGGAGAAATATTCGAAAATTATCGATGTTTTTACTGAACATAAAGATTTAATGACATCGTTAACAAATAATGTCGAGTTAGTGACGAAACAAGCCGCCGTTTTTGGATTGTTCGATGGAAAACAGCGGCCGACACGATATTTAACAAGAGAATCAGCTTCGTTTCTGTGGTTTCAATTATCAACTGATATTTTAAAAACAATGACTCTATCAGAGGTAAAAAACACTGGAATGGAAGAAATGCTCACATATTGTCAAGTTTATTATCGAACCAATCGTCTTGAATTAAATAATATTGAGCAATTTCGAAAGACATACGTAAGTTTAACTAAAACTAACGAAAAAACATGACAGATGTTTGTTTAGAAACCTGAAGATGCAATCATTTGGTACAGTAAACAATCCTTTGTCTATCGATCAGTGAATAAAGCTTTACGTACTGAAGATATCGATGCTTTGTATACATTTCGTGTTTATATAACACATTTACGAACTCGAATCGCTTATGAACATAATCAACTTCGACGACAACATTTGTATGTGAATAAAAAATCGAAAATAATTCATTTATACCGTGGATTAAAGATGACCAAGGCGGAAATCGCTCAAATGTGTGAGAATGTTGGATGTTTGATATCGATGAATGGATTCTTTTCTACAAGTCGAGATATGCAACAAGCTATTCGATTTGCGACGAAACCGTCTCAAAGGAATGAAGTTGTTGGCGTTTTGTTAGAAATAGATGGAGATATCACTTCAGACAAAATGATTTTCGCTGATATTTCACAATTCAGTGCGTTTCCAGAAGAACAAGAAGTTCTTTTTGATTTAGCAACTATTTTCAAAATCGTTCATACAGAATTTGATAAAGGAAGAAATCTCTGGATTATTCAACTGTCAGGTAAATTGACGAAATCTCTGGAACAAGTTGCAAACGATTTGTTATTTTCATCATAGGTGTGGAGAAATCAGCATGGACAGTGAGTGAGTATATCAAAAGTATTGGAAGGGAAAGCGAAGAAACCAATCCAACATTACTCTTCGGTCGATTGGTAAGTCACTGTTTATTATATCACTATTATAAGTAAACCCTTTTCTTTAAATAGATGTGCGATATGGGTGAATATGCAAAATCTGAAAGATATCTCAAACGTATCCTTTCCACACTTCCTAAAAATCACAAAGACGTTGCAAATATATATTTTTACCTTGGTCGTGTTTGTTATCTTCGTGGTCAATACAAACAAGCTTTGGAATTTTACGACCAAGCATTAATTCTACAAAAACGTGAAATCGAACCCGAGAAACAATCGTTGGACATTGCTCGAACATTACACAACATTGGAAATATTTACTTAGACCAACGACAAACAACGAAAGCTTTGGAATTTTACGAACAAGCGTTAGAAATGAAACGTGCAAAGTTAAGTAATAATCTCGAACATCCATCAATAGCAACAAGTTTAACTGCAATCGGAACCATTCATCGAAGACACGGAGATTTAAACAAAGCGTTAGAATTATATCAACAGTCCTATGAAATTAAAAAACTCGCTTTACCAACTGATCATCCTTCTATTGCTGATTCATTGAATAATCTGGGCATTGTCTACGAAGAAATGGATGATTATGCGCAAGCATTAGATTGTTACGAAAAATCTCTACAAATTAAACAAAAATCTTTACCATCGACACATCCATCTATCAGTGCCACACTCAATAATATGGGAATTATCTACCGGAAAGAAGGAAAATATGATCAATCATTGAATTGTTACACCCAGACATTACAAATTGAACAATCAACATTATCTTCAGATAATTTAGATCTTGCCGATACTTATAACAATCTATGTGTACTTTATTATGACCAATTTCAATATAAAAAAGCATTAGAAATGGCTTATTGTAAATTAGATATTTTAAAAAAGCATTTCACCGATGATGATGAACAAGTGATACAAACCAATGACACGATCAAAGAGATTAAACAAGAACTAAATCTAACAGAAAAAGCAACAGATGTTTATTTCTAGACTTATTGAATCATTGTATTATTAATATTTTCAAATAAATAATAGATAATTTCTACTCTGAAGATCTTTTCAATAGTTTGCCGACGTTCAGCTATATCAACCGCTCGTAAAGCTAAGAAAGCGCCTTTGTGTATTTGTATCGATCGAGCGCCAGATTTTGATTGTAATAATGCCAAAGAAGAAGAAAAAGACTAAAAAATCTGCTCCAAAACCGATTCATTATGTTCAACTTCGAACTCATCGTCGATATCCAAATGCATCACATTACATGTCACATTTGGAAGTTCATAATTCAAAGATTCAACCGCTCATTTACGATATCGATCGTGTATTGAATCAAAAATGGATTCATATTCGTCGATCGGAAAAAAACATTCAGTTAAATGACATTCATGAACAGGAAATCAAAAAAGAATTTTCACACAAAGTAATTCAACAACAACAAAAAAATCCTTCTTCACTTCGTCCTGTTCATCTGTTTCATCATAGATCGATTTAATTGATTATCGATATTTTCATATAAATAATCAATTCGATGAGAATAATAAATTCATCCGTGAAAGTTCTATTCATTCAACTGAGATTATCGATCAACTTCTACATTTATATGAACAAATCGAACAAAGTCAACGAAATCTCTACGAACATCGTTTAAACATGATTAAACATGAATTTGAACAAGAGAAACAAATTTTAAAACATCATTTTGTCGATAAAGAACTTCATGAATTAAATAGTCAAATCAACGTATTTGACGCCATTGAACAAGACGATATTCTTCAACAACATGTACAATTCAAATTAGATAAACAACAATTACAGGAACAGTTTATCAAAGATTTAACCATTCTGTATACAAATTTCCATACGCAAATTTTCGTTCTACGATCAACAGTAAATAAAGTTAGTTGAATTGATGAAAATATTTCGAAAAAGATGTTTATTCTGTAGATCAATCGATCGAATGGACAACAGATAAATGTCATTTCGAAGAATTGCCGGCATTTATATGAGAAAACATGTCGATCACAACAAAGTATCGAAAAGGAAACAAAAACGATATTGATATTGAAAAGAAAAATTAAGGAAAGTAAACAATCGATTGATCAAATTGATTTGGATCAAAAATTGAATTGGATTCAACAAAGTTCAGAAGCTTCTGAAAATGAAAAATCGAATCAAACCATCAATCAAATGATTTCACATCGAAAATCTCATGGAATCCTTCGTCGTTTCGTTCTTCTCACTGACAATGTTCAAAAAGATCTTCAGAAAAAGTTGTCTAAAGTTGAACGAATATTTTTATTGATGAAACAATGCCATCGATTAGAACTAGAAGAAGAAAAGCTGCTTCAAACATCTCCTGTTAATGAATTAAATCAAGTTCATCATCTTTGGAATTGTCAAGTGGAAATGGATAATTCCTTTGATGAATTGTCCTTGTTCTATAAACGATTTGCTCATGTTCAAATGGATCTGTATATTCGAGTCGAAGAAAACAAATCTCGAAAAAACTTTCAAAATTTCTATAGAAAACAATTGATGAACTTTTACTGATGTTACTGTGAACCACAGAAGAATACTTAATAAAAACGTAAAAAAATTGTCATATTGCTTTAGTGATTCAGAACAGTTTTCGCTCATAATGCCAGATGAGCTCTTCTCACTGAAATGACATAGTCGTAAAGGTAAATATATATATTCTTATTATAAATTAACAAGACAAACTGAAAGCAAATAATTTGTATTAAAAAAAATCTAAAAAAATAATCAACTACTTAGTGTTGAAGTGGTATTGTCAAAAAAGCTATCCGGAACTGTGTCAAGTAGGAATTGTATCTTTTTCACCAATCCTTCATCCTTTGCGCTCAAAACATCTGTATAAGTCTTTAGCCGAGTAAAACGATATTGATGACGATAATATGGTAATCCTAGGCCATAGTTATACATCTGTGTTTGTTCTGTATCATGTAAAATGACTAGCGTACTTCTACCACTGTAACCAATTAAATCAAACTGACGCCGTGGTCCGGGTCGATGGTCAATGAAGACGATTGACCAAGGTGCAGCATCGGATATATCTGCTCGAGCCCATTCCACGCCCATTTCACTTTCAACTTCGACATGTTTCATTACGTGTAAACTGTTGTTTCCATAACGAGATGAAAAATGATTAACCCATCGCATATCCGAATCCGCGGAGAGAAGGAAACGATTCTGATCTATTGCTAAACGATGTAATAACGGTGTACTTGTTGATCCCATACCGAGTTCTAATATTGCACCTGATTGGGTTGCATATGCAGCAGCAAGAAGAACAATTGCGTGTGAACCATACTGATTATTGAGAGGAAATTTGAGATATTTATGAATTGTTTTGTTCCATTCCTCAGAAAAATTACTTGGTTCTGCCGGTTTTAATTGAGTTCCAACTTGAAATATTTGAGTTGGTACCGTTCGATTAGGAGAAAATACACAGAAGAAAATAAATGGACATATTAGAAGGCCAACAACAACAAAAACACGAGTTTTATCCATATTTGCTTTCGAATCGTCCGCTTTTTTCGATTCCAAACAGTTTTATTAAACAACTTAACGTGACAAACAAAAGAACGAAAAAGAACTTTTCATGAGAAAAAAAAACTTCTTCTATAAACAATTTACGTTTACAATTTCACACAGAATAAAGACGAATCGATTGAAAGCTGTACTACGCTCGCTTTACTGCTAACAGATGCCCGATTGAATTATGTATTCAATTGAAACTATGCGGTGGATCATATCGATTCATTGACTAGCGACATCTATGGAGTTTTTGTTTTTAACTTTCTAAGAATATTTCTCAAATCGGATTTGAACTGAGAAAGATAATTATTCTTTTAATCTTTGATGAAAATAAATGAGGATCTTCAAATGGAATTTCAATGAGCCGCTAACCAATCACAAAACAATTGCGAGAAATCGATAAACAACAGACAGGATTTTTTTTCAGTGTTTGTTTCTTTCATTTGCTGTACCAAATACGATTAGATATTTGTGAATAATTTCAATTTTTTCCTCTCTCATTGATTATTTTCTTTAAGATCTCCACCTTTTTAGTATGGGACCTAAAAAAGAAACAAAAGACGCTGCGGCTCCAGCGAAAAAGAAGGAAACTACAACTGCTGCAGCAACAGCTAGTGCCAAAAAAACTACAAAAACAACAACAACTACTACCACCAAAGTAGTTACCAAAGAACGTAAAGAAAAGGTTAAATCAACGGCACTCAAAGCTAAACAACGAGTTGTTCGGTAACGAAATTGCAACTTGAACGAAAAACTTGAAAGCAATCACAAATCATCTTTCTTTTTTTTAGTGGAAATCGATTAACACGTAATCGTAAAGTCCATTTGAAACCAACTTTTCGTCGTCCATTTACCCTTCGTTTACAACGTCAACCAAAATATCCACGACGATCAGTACCAAAACGTAATCGTCTTGATCATTTTGCCATCATTAAATATCCATTGACAACTGAATCGGCAATGAAGAAAATCGAAGATAACAATACATTAGTTTTCATTGTTAACATTCGTGCTAACAAACCAATGATTCAACAAGCTGTGAAGAAAATGTACGATGTTGAAGCCGAAAAAGTCAACACATTAATTCGACCTGATGGTGAAAAGAAAGCTTATGTTAGACTTAAGGCTGATCATGATGCACTTGATGTTGCTAACCGTATTGGTATCATCTAAACAATTGCACACAAATACCAAATCAATACAAGAAAAAGAAAAGAAGAATTTCAACGTTTTTTTCTTCTTGTTTTGTTTATGCTCAATTTTTATAGGAAAAACACCAAATAAATATCAAGATCGTTGAGCATTCAAATTCGTTTCTTTTTTTTTATTTGAAAGAAGATTCTTCTATAGTCTTTAGTTCTACTCAAGAATGACTGAGAAAGAATAATCAAAGAACTGATTGTCGATTCAGTAGAGCCTGATTTAAACCAGAAATCAATCACATATAATTACCTAACTTAAGCTGTTAATTATTGTGCGGCTTGATCGGCACATTCAAAGCTTCTGTTTGCTCACGTTTGAGATCCTCCTTTGTAGACCGATACGTCCTCAAGATATTAACGATTTAGGTCGCGTCGAAATTGAAGAATAAATGGAACCGTAAGAGTTCTAGTCAGAATACAACTTGACTTGTTATGAATACTACTGGAGGAGCTATAGTTCGATTTGTAATTGCTTTTATCTCCAAAAATGAGTGATGAAACTGAGCAGAATCTTCTTACCGTTTAAAAACCACATCTTATACCAACCTAGAAATAATCGTATATATCAAATACGCGGATAATTCATTTCCAATTGTTTCATTTAATCAAAGATTTACATTTAATTTAGTCCGATTCAGCGCATCTTGCGTAGCTATATTAGATCATGAATGATAAAGAACTGTTGTAGGTTGTAACTCTATTGACCAGAGTTTTTCTGTACGAATTCTATTATAAGGTTAACATAATTAATACTGTTTGCTTGGCTGAATTCGTAACATTCAAATTTCGTTGGCTGTAATCAAACTTCAAGATTGTATCGTACAAGAAGATGAAAAACGTTCGTCAACTGACTTTTGTTTTACTTTACGGAATAAATTTTAGCTCATGACAACGAAATGATTTGAAAAAATAAACAAAAAATGGTTTCAAATGATGAACAGTTTTTTTCGTTGAATCCGATTGTGAATCCCATAACTCATCATACTATTTGCATAATAAGAAAAGTAAATTTTTGAAGAAGGGAAACTTATTGTACTTACATCGATCCCAATAATCAACCACTAGTCCAGCCAATTGCTTGTCCTAGAATGAGAAGCTCGAGAGTTAATAGTAATGAAACTTTGATTTACTATAATTACCTGGAATATGACGTCAACTATTGCATCAATGTGTATCATAGTTTACATCTGGCGCTTGCTTTCCGCTTAGTGTTATCGATCCAATGACGTCTTCAAGTGTCATTTCCTAGCATGGATAAAGTTATTAGAACTTTTCAAAAGCAATATTTGGCCGTACAGTATCGTTGATTTGACAAACCCAGAAAATTTGGTTTATTGTTGGTTTTAACGTGTCGAAGTTCAATAGCATGCTTGGTTTACTTGACTTTGCAGCACAAGCGCGATAAAACATTTCCACACAATTAACGTCATTTGCGTTCTTGAAAAGTACAATGAAATATTGGATTTTTTCATGAAAACATTTATACTAGATCCATTATTGCTATTTTAATCGTGTTCTTACCCGACAAAACACGAGCAATATAACGGAAGAAGAAATTTATGAGAACATATCATGATGTTTAACCGCTTTTATCCAATAGCTTTAAATAGAAATGCGAAAGGGAAACACGAGAACACACTATAATATACGGATGCAAAAACAACGAGAGAAACGAAAAGACTAAAAAGAAGTCATAAGTCCGTTCAACACATTTCTTTCTGCGTCTGGTTGTGTACATTCTCTAATATACACAAGTCAGATTTTCGTACGATCAACACAAAGAATAATTTCTGCGTCATTTTTGCCTTCGATCGATGAACCTCGATATTATTACGCCCGTCGACAGCGTTCCCGAAAACAACTCTGATATGTTGACGTTATTCAACTGAAGAACGTGTGAAAGAAAATGTCTTTTTATCGAGAAGAGCAATAAAAAAATCACGGAACATGTGTCTAATTCACGATTTTGTGTGGAAAGATGTTGCATCACTGTCATATTGGTACTCAACTCAATAGGTTTCGAAAATCTCATTAGTTCAGTTCACTATTTTTAACAACCGAGTTTGTCAAAATGGCTTTACTTTCATTAGTCAGAATAGCCGTTCTTAAATCAATAAGAATTTTCTATAGGATTATGTTATTCTAATTTCTATAAGTGAGTCTGTTCGATCTTGATTCTTTGTTCCTGATTACTTTTTATCAGCAATATACCATCTGATGGGTGTGTACAGAGATGAGAATATATATATATATATGTGCTATAATCACGCCGAGGCAGTGATTCTCAAAGACCACCAACTGTTCGGATTGAGAGATATAGCTATATTGAAATGATGTGTGTTTATTGTTCAGAAATAGAACCATGAAGATTTTCGCTTCTGAAATTAAAATTTTCATTGCTTAGTTCGGTTCAATAATAACTGGGATATTGAAATCAGTTATGAAAGAGTAACTAAAGCAGTAATTACCGATCCAGTATTGCCTGATTTCAACCAGAAACTGACCAAATATAATTGTCCAGCGGTAGCTGTGAATTGCTGTGCAACTTGATCAGCGCATCCATTGCTTCCATCAGAAAAACATTGCGATCCACTGCGACAAGATGAACTACTCACATGACCTGCCGACCCGCTGCAAGGACCATTTGGATTCGATACAACCCAAGGAGAAAGCAAAGCATTTTCGAATCCTCCATTTGTTAACATTTGAGTTCCTCCGGCATAGACCGATACGTCGTCAACATACCATAAGTCTGGATCATGTCGCAATTGAAAAGCTAGTTTAACTGGTCCTGTTGTTGGTGATGTCCACTCATACGCAAAACATGTGTAAACCGTGTTTGCGCCAGATGATGTTGAGTAAAGTGTACTAGCAGAACCCACCGATGTCGGTACACATGGAGGCGTAGGAGTTGTAGCTAAGCAAATAAGCCTTAATATGTGAATAACAATATGAGTACTCACTTGTTGTCATAGTTGCAGTAGTAGCTATTAGAAATAAGAAGCGATAGGAATTCGCATGTTACACTGATTTACGAAAAGAGCATTCACATATACTTCTCTACTTACTAGTACTTGTGGAGGTCGATGTTGCTTTAGGGATAAAATAAAGAGGATTACATTTATAGTTAATACTTGTGTCGAGTTCTTACATGTACTTGAAGTAGAACCTAACAATAACAAAAAAAAGAAACATTTTAATCAATGTTTAATTATGAATATTTACTTGTTGATGTACTTGTGCTTGTTGTGGTCGCTAAAAGTAAATGAAATGAAAACTAATCTGGTTTTGAAAATGAAACATACTAGTGGTAGAGGTTGTGCTTGTCGTTGTGGTTACCGCTAAATTACAATAAGAAAATCTAATTTAACCTGTCAAAACGTCGAATTTACAGGTGGTAGTGGTAGTGGTGGTAGTTGTTGTTGTCGCATGTTTTGTTAAAAGATATACTAGTAAAGCTGCGATAGCAACAAGTAATAATAAAACAGCGATAAATGAAACCAAACAGCAGCAATTGGAACAGAATGGACACATTTTCCTGAAAAGTCGCCAGTGACGGCGGTTATCTTTCTCGGTTGCATGTAAATTTTCTAGATTAATCTTTTTCATTGATGTCGGTTGATTTTTTTTCGAAACCGGCTTGTCATAGTTTGTACCATCTCTCCGTGAGATCTTCTTTTCGTTTACCGATAAGCCAACATCGCCGGACAAAGCTGGTATCATACTAACCAAAGTTGACTATTGTATCACAATACAAGAATAGCATAAAAGTAAGATAACTAATGAAGAGAATTACTGTTGATCGATGGTAAAAATTGTCGTTATTAGGTACAGATGAGTTTTCACTCAGTTTAACAAGACAAGGAGTTTCTGACGAACGATTATCAAATTGTGTGAGTACAGGTGGTACTCGAATGATGTAATATACCTAAAGCAGATTAATATCAAATGTTCTATTTGAACAAAAACTAATCTACTTCTTGTTCATTGCTATCAGTAGAGTTCGTAGACGAAACTGAACTGACTATCGTCTCATCATTAGTTGAATTTCCTTCTTGCGGTAGTATTTTTCTTCGAATCTATAAAACAATGGTATCTAATCGAACAAACATTTGACTAAATGATCAGTTTACTGGTTTTCGATGAATTTTTGAAGGAAGAACAGGATGATCTCTTCGTAGAACTTTGGCAACATTGACATTTGTCTTACTCTGTACTACCAGTTTTGATCGCAACATTCTTTGAATTAATTTAAAAATGAAAATAATCAAAGTGAAAATTGCATGGCTTTTTTTGTTACAGTTTTTTTTCAAATATATATTCTTTTGTTTTCAAAACATATAATTACAAAATAATTCAGACGCACTTTTAATCCGGTACGCAGTATTCACTACCTGCGACATAACAACCACTCGATAACATACAAGTTTTCACTTCTAAAAATGTACTTTTTAAGATTTTCTTATTTGCATTTGACACTTCATGTAGAAAAGGAAAACATTCTATTTTTTCTAGATACATTGTTATTGTGAAATGTTCAACGAATAATCTAAACCAAAACAAGAGCGATGAGAAGATTAAATGATCTTTCATCTATACTAATTTGAGGGCGATGGCTGCGTGACACACATTATTAATAATCTGACCTATATTATACTTTTTGCAATGATCACTTTCAAACTTTTCATTAGTTAACATTTTAACTGCACTATTATGTACAAAAACATGAGTATGCAATATATTTGAAGTGAATGATAAAATTCAATCATCTTTGGGATGCAACTTTTCAAATAGCCCTAAGCGATATTTGCGTGAGATTGATTTTTGAAATACTGTTGGTGTACAAATAAATAAACTGATAAATGCCATATATTGTGTTTATTTCAGATACTTTCATTCAGCGAAAGATTCAAATTTGAGAATTTATTCGTTGTGGATGGCTAATACAGATTTAAATGAGTTTTCATATATAAACAATGCATTCTTAGAAACATGGACCTTACGCAATATTGTTTCCACAATTACTTCCTACATTCTCATCCTCGAAAGAGTTTTCAATTATTCATTGTTTATCTTCTTTCTAAGCTAACTTAGATTTCACCATTTCCTATGTTCATGTGCGTCCTCTGTCGTTTGTTTACTATCGATTGGTTTTCAGAGTCATTCAAGCATCGATTAGAAACATAAAAATCCAACTGTTATCGACTATTTTTATATATGAAAATATATATAATTCTCACTGGCGTCGTCAAGTGTTGGTATTAAAACAGTTACTCGATCAGTATGGCAAGCATGGGATTCTGTTGCTATTCTTCCATGTCTGTCAAAAGATCGACTTTTAATACATCTACTTCATCGTCAAGCATGTCTTGTAAATTTTCTTTGATTAAATAAATTAATAAACTTGCATTTTTTCTTCCCAAGGATTCTCAAACGAAATATATTGATCCAAGTACGAAGTTACAAGTTCTAACACGATATGCTCATCTACAACGAGGAAAATGTTGTGGAAGTCAATGTCGACATGTAATTTTCGTTAAAAATCTTGTATTGGGCTATTTTATCTATTTATTTAGTGTCCTTACGGTCATATGAATGTTGAAATCAATCTTAACCGACCGCGAAAAATCTTCAACACTTCATATTACGAATAAACACAAACTATGACAAACACAACATCGATGAATCTCGTTTACGAAGTGGTTTAGAAAAAAATGACACATAGATTGAATAAAGATGTTCAAAATCGTCACAAAACACGTCGATTGCTCTATTGTGCACGTTTCTTCGCCATGTATATACAAAACTAAATATAAAATACGAAACAAAGATGAAATTTATTTTCAATAGATCAACAAACTTCATCAAATAGAATATATCCACCATGATTGGTATCAATTCGATTAAAATCTCTTTTCAGATTTGCATCACCGACGTCTGATTCGCCAATAAGTTCGTGACCTTTTTTAAATTCAGCAAAACTAATACGTTTGTCTTTGTTTGTATCCAATTGACCGAATAAATCACTCATTTCATTATAATAATATAATAAATCAATCAAACGACAAAATTCCTTCATTTCAACAAATCCACTCTGGAAATCAAATAAGAAATTTATGAAGAAAAAAACAATATTTCACTTTCACGTACGTTATTCGTATCTGCTGCTTTAAATGCACGTAACATTGCTTGACGGTTAGTGCCAAACTCTGGATACCAGTGAATAATTGCTCGATCGACTTCCGCTAATGATAAAATTCCATTTCCGTTATCAAATTTTTTAAATAACTGCAAATCATCACTAAAATCTATAAAATAGACTTCGAAATCATAACTTACCGCTTTAGCTTCTTCTTTAGTAAGGTGACTGGCCATGATTATGCTTCAAATTACTTATCGAATCCTTGAAGTCTAATGTGGAAATAATTTTCTTTTTTTTGCACTCGTGTTTTTCTTCTTTTTCTCTTCGAGATAAAAATGAATAAGAATTCTCTTCTTTATTCTGATAGAATTAAGATAAGTACAGAACGACAAGCACTTTTTCTTTTATATAACCGGACGTGAAATATGTTTATCATTGGAGTCTACTCAACGCAAGAATTTTTCTTCTGACGTGTTCGGTGCGGAATAAGACAAATATAATCAACCAAGTTTTTATTCCAAGGAAGAGAATCTTGTTTCTCAAAAAGAAAAAATGAAGGTCATGGATTCTTCTCCTGTCATTAAACCATCGCATGCTGAGAAACACTTCTCACATCACTGCGAAGAGTTCGGTTAAATATAATTATTCGAATTTTTCTCCAGTGCGAAACAAATATCCACAAAGATCAACTTATGATTTCTCACTGTCAATGTAGAAATGAAAAAGATATGTAATGGTGAAAATTCTTGATAATGAACAGTTTGTTTCTGCTAATTTAAAAGGAACTTATGTCAAGCATGACATTGATATGCATAAAATACGAAGAAGTCATAAACAATAATATGATTCATAAATGTTTTTCAAATCTTTCAGCTATGTCACGATTAATCAAATTTCGAAGACAGTTATGATTCATATAAATCACCTATTCTTCCTACTCGAAGCGACTGTCTTCAAATCTATTATCTTTCATCATTCATTTTTCACAAAACACATATGAATATCTATCAAGTTTTACCCAAGGACACACTTTATGCCTTTCACAAACCTATCGTATGTTACATCATGACCAAGTGAAAAATTGATGACGTATCATTGACACATATAGATATGTTTGCATAAATATGTTTTCTTTCAATAAAAAATGTCCATAGGTACCCCATCCCTCACACGGAGACATGGAATTTATAAATTCATTGGAATTTTGACTTCAACTCTTGCATCGTTAGCATGGTTAGCAACAGTTATCACATTATTTGGCTTATGGGGAGGGGAAGATAATTTTACTCAATATGAGTCTGACGATGGTGAAGTACCGTACATATCGAGTGTTGGTGCGCGTCATAAAACAGTTTTTATTGTCGGTGCAGCTCTAACTGGTGTGTTTTTTGTTTTAACTTTGATTTTCACTCGACTTTCTTTCGATGTACAAACCAAACGAAGATCCAAACGTTGGATATCGCTCATATCGCTTATATGTGGTATTATAGCAGCAGTTTCACTTCTTCTGTTGTCTATTTTTGATTCGGTCGATCATTCAACTCTTCATTTTGTATTTACGGGCTTATTCACGGCTTTTACACTTCTTTCAGCGATATTTTCCACGATTTATCGATTTTCGCGCAATGAAGTCAATCTAGCTGTCTATCTTCGCGTATTATTTATTTCAATCGTCTTTCCTTTAGCAATTTGTTTTATAGTATTCAGTTTAGTCAATCGTCCAGCAAATCAAACACAATTGTTATCCGTCGCAGCCGCTTTTGAATGGACTATTGCTATTCTATTTATTATTTATTTGGCTTTATTTGCCTTAGATCTAATACTAAGTTAATGCATTTTATGACAGACTGTAAAAAAAGAGAGATGTATGGTTTTTCTGTTTGAATAAAAGCCATGAAAGGTCAATGAAAATCATTGACAAAACACTTTTCATACAATACGATGTAAACTCTAGAAGTATTCTAGTTAGCAATTCTTGAATTCTTATGAAAATACAAACAGCGAGTACACAAAATGATGAAAATACTCGTGAGTGTTTCAATTAGAACAAATAAATAAACGTTTATTTAAAAAATCAAATGAAAAATGTTTTATCATCGTGAATGAATGAGTGAATGCAAACAAATATCTACCTGAGAGTTCGATAGATGAACCGACATGTAGCTTTTCTCATTAATTGATTTGTACACGAGAACAATTCTTTTCAGATCAAAATATTCTTATTTCTTATTGAGTCTTTCAAAGTTTTTCTCAGTTATTAATTTTTATAAATATGCATTAAATTTTCATCACTGTCAAACATATTCATTTACTCACCAAGGAAATGAAATTAATATAAAAGCTGATGCTTGGTTAACTCTAATTTTCTTTTTTTCTTCACGCTGTAGTTCATATGTTATTCATAAGATACATTGAAAATAGAAAATTTTTCTTTTTTGCCAAACTTTTCTCTTTTCTGATTAAACAATTTGTTACTTTTTTGTACTTCACAAGTAAAAACTAAACAAATGCTTTGTGTTTCTCTTCTTTCACCTTGAATGTAAAGAAGAATTTATTGAATTTACCTTTATGGTCACTTAAACTCTTGACAAAGTTTACATTTATAGCTGTGTCGTTTTCTTTCTCTTCTTTTTTTTAACTTTATCAGATGACGCAAGCGACCTCCTACAGTCCAATTGAAATGTTGCCAGGCAATGGCTATCGATAACAGAAGAAATGGCTGAGTCATGCGCTTTTGTGAATTTCTTCGTTTTCTTTTCGATTAAACATCAATTTTAATTAAACCGGAATCAATATTTAGCCGAGAATTGTCGAGAGATTTATTGAAGGAATCGACCTGAAGCGTTTTATTCTTCTTTTTTCCTTTCTTTCCTTTTTCTTTCATACTTTCAAGTATTTTTTATTTGTAAACAGCATTCTCCTCTTTCAAAAGTATTTAAAAGCCAACGAACAGAGGTTTTCTTCTCAATTTAATCTTTCATTTCAACGATCATGAGTAAGATTGAGGTTCATTCCTTGCATTTTTCCAAATCATTTTCTTTGCTTTAGCTGGACGTTTGGAAAGACCAGCTGCTCCTGTTTTAGTCAATATAACACATCATTCTATTGAGCTGGAATGGGAACATATTGCTAAACAAGATAAAAATCGTGCAGAACATCGACGATTGTTTGATGAGAATGGTTTGGCCACATCCGGTTCGTTAATTTACCTTCATCAACGTGATAAAAAATCATCGGCGACTTGGGAAAGTGTTTACACGTAAGTTGAGAAGATAAAACAGTTCGGTTTTGATCATTTGCTTTACAGAGGATCAGCATTGGTTTATAAAGCTGAAAATTTGAAACCAAATACTCAATATGAGTATCGATTACAATGTAAATCTGGTGCAACTGGCGAACGATCGGAATGGTCACCAGTGTTATTGGCATCAACAGCACCCGAACCGATGAGTGGTGACACTGTCTTCAAAGCAATTGCTTTTCCAGGAAAAGATCAATTAGAAAAATTATTGACAATTCTGTATGTGATTCACTGAAACTTCTTCGGTCTGATTGGTGAAATTTTGATCTTTTAAGAGGACCAGGACATCAATTACTGGAACAGCCAGATAAAGATGGAAATTTTCCATTGATGCATGCATGTGCCAAACATGATATTGGGTTTGTTACAATTTTCTTGTTCGATTAAATCAAAAGACACTTACTTCTTACAGAAAAGTTGATTTATTAGTAAAAGCTGGTGCAAATGTTAATAATGCGATCAGTTCTGGCAAAACAGCGTAAGTTATATTTTTCTAATCATATCAAAACGAAACTCGATGATTACTTTAGTCTAATGGTTGCAGCTAGTGCTGGTTTTAGTAAAGCTTGTGCCTTATTACTCGAAAATGGTGCTAATCTTTATGCTGTCGATCAAAATGGTAAGAAAAAGTCTTTCTTCCAAAACAAATTTCTTCTCTAAGAAATCTTCACTCAGGTACAACTATTTTACATCGTGCGATTGATAGCAAAAATATTGATACAATAACTGTGATAGTTAACCAATTAAATACGGAAAAAGATTCATCGATCAAACCAATAGAAATGAATAAAGAAGTTGGACAACATGGTTGGACACCTTTGTATCGAGCCGGTTGGGACAGAAATCATAAATATTCAAAAGGAATTATTTTTTTATATTTAGTTATTCATGATTGTAACAAAGAAATCATCGAACTGCTTTTGAATAATGGTGCGAGTACGGAGTGTGAAGATAAATCAACGAACACTACAGCTTTGCAAATGGCGGTAATTCGTGGAAATTTATTAACAACTCAATTACTGATCAATCACGGAGCAAATCCAAGAGCAGTGAACAAAGTAGAAAGTTCTTTTTTTTTCGATCATTTTGTTTTGTCATACGAGTATTTTCTTAAGAACGGTAAAACTCTTCAACAATTAGCTGCTTCAACAACTAAACAGGTAAATATATTGATGAGTCAACTTCTCGAATAAAATGTCTTTTCAATAGGATTTAATGGATTATGTTGATTCATTACCAGGTGCTCCGAAAATGTAAAAACTGATTGAATGGTTGTTTGCTAGTGCAATCATTTTCTTTTTTTTTTCTCGAAACCTAAATTTTGAGTGCGTGTCCATCAAGTTTTCTTATTAAATCGTTTATTTGTATAATAACAAATAAAGCATTTCTTTATTAATCTTGGTCAGACATTTGAATATATTCAGAAGGATTCGAGAGCTTAGGAGAGAAGAGATTCATCGTCATCTGCAACTTACAACACAAATTAATGGTGACAATGTGAATGGATTTCATTTGTAAGAGAAAAAGAATCGTTCGGATTTCTTTTCCTGATACTTTCCAGGTACAAGTTTAAATAACTATTTTTATACTTGAAGATTAATCGATATTTTTCGGCGGAACATGTGATTTTGTGAGAATAATAAACCTATTTTGAGAGTTTTGAGAAATTTGGTTTATTGAAACTTTTGGAACAAGTTTTTTTGTTTTTCTAATCTAGATTGAACATTTCTATGCGTATCTACACAAAATTTTCTTGTTTGTTCTAATTCTTTTTGCTATTTGTTGATGAGAACGACGTTGTCGGCTGTTTAGATCTCGTCGATGTTTGACTTTTACTTATTGTTGTCGCTGCTGTACTTGTTGGATGACCAAAAAATTTAATACCAGAACACAGTTCGGGTAAAGCATAACGACTCCATTGTCCATTGGGTTCACATCGTTTACAATGTGGACCGAAGGCAAATGCATAAATAGCAAAAACAGTCGAGGGCGCATATAATGCACCGCCATCGATTGGTTTGATCTCACCCCATTCAGTGACTAAACGTGGATTTGCACGTAATAATTCTGCGTCACATCGAACGGCATCACATACTGTTAATTGAGTCCAAAAACCTATTTGTAAAAGAAATAGAATTCATATTTTGAGGCTAAAGTGAAACGATTACCATCACGGCACGAACGACAGAAACGAACTCCGTCGGGATCTGAACGTCGTTCGTAAACTGCTGTAGAAAGGTCAGGAACTGTTTCTCGTGGATCATCATCGAAATATTTCAGTCGATGGTCAGATTGTTCAATACGTAGACGACGGAATTCGAATGGAACAACCATTTTAGTTTCGATTTCATTTAACAATTTAATTGAACATGGAGAAAACGTTTGTTCAATCGCAGAATTCGTTAAAGTTTTTTTCAATGGTAGATGATTGATATTTGTTGTTGGTGATGATAAAGAAGATGATCTCAATGGCGGTGATGAACTGACTTGTTTTATGTCAATATGCGATAGAGGAATTGGCTCAAGTACAAAGTCCGATGAACGTTGACGATCAAGCATACGTAAATTTCGAAGAAGTAGCGATGCTGAACGATTATTTGATGATAAATTTTCGCTCTCTGCACGTTGAATCATATTTGTATCGATAATAACACATGCAGGTATTGAATAGATTTGATAATTCTTCAAGAGTACCAAGAAAAGTACGAGAATAACCGATAAATTCCACGACATGATTAATACGAATGAGTATGGATTGAAGAAGAAGACAAAGACGAATGAAAATGAATATAAAAGGTATTAAGCGTTTTTCTTTCTCTTCGCCGACAAGATAGACAGCAGAGATTAACTAACGCATAATGTTTACCTGTCGGTTCATGTAATCAATTGGTGCGAGACAATAATAGATGCGATATTTAGTGTCTAATCTCTTTTCACTTCGACAAAAAACAATCGAGAGAAGAAATCCGATAAGCACCACTATGCAATTGTCTACGAGATTTCATACGAAACGAATTGAAAATCTCATCATTGTTTTATTTAACAAAATAAAAACAATCACAACTATTCATTGAGTTTCTTCTCTTTCTTCTTCTTCGTCTGAACTTTCAGAGGGTGGCATCATATCATCAATGTTCGTTCCACCTTTACCTTCATCTTCTTGGGCAACTTCAAATTCTTTCGGCCTGAAAATAAGCATTCAGTTACGACGAAAAATAAGCATAATCTTCATTGCACCTACCAACAATTCTGCGAACGAATATATTTGATATTATCTCTCAGAAGAATTTGAACGATTTCTGCTTTAACTTTATCACCTTCTTCTATGTCTTCGACAAGAACATAATCACCTAAAAGAAAAGATCGTCGTACGCGAAAACAACTCGACTTGATTAAACCTCGTTTGATGAAAATTGTGTTGCGAAATTTCGTTGGCATGCTGACAAGAAACGTTGATCCATTTGGTGTCACCACCTCATGTAAATTATTCCCACGAGGAGCAATTATCTACCCCAAAATCAATCGAAATGTAACCTGATTTTCGTACAGGATAAAGAAAATCTTTACTTTGACAATATAATGCTTTTCATCGGGTAACTCATAACGTTGAAGTGCTTCGTTGACGACATATTTCATTTTGGTTGTTGCAGACATGGTGATCTGAAGAGAAATATATATGCACACGTACACACAGACATTTCATATAAGTTGATTTTTTTTCTCTATTGTTGCTGAGCAAAATTCATCTGATCCTCAAAAAAGAGAAAAAAAACAGAAAGACTCATCAAAAAGAAAGAAAGAACATACAGGAAAATCCGAATAGAGAACGAATGACCAGCATTCCGAGAAGAAAAGAAAAACCCGAAATCAAGATTATAAGACAACAAAAGAAAAAGAGAAAAACCAAATTGATCGATCGAGTTAACTCGCTGAATCGCCATTCATCCGTTGATAGAAAAGAAGGTAACTAAAACAAAAGAGAAAAAAAAACCAAACAAACCAATAATCATCAATTCAGATCCTCCAATTCGAAACATACCATTCACTTTTAAATACTTCTTCTGCAGATACTTCACAGACACAATGATCATCACACCGAAACCTGAAACACAAATTTTTCTTTGGAAAAAAACCGAAAACACGAATGAAAATCGAAGATATTTTACCAACGATTTTGTAGTTGAGGTTTCACATAACACATATAATGTCCTGTTTCAACTGATGCACCGAAGTGACTAATAACCGCAAAAAGGCAATACTTCGCGTTTTCCTCATTCATTGTTGTTTTTGTCATATAGGGAGTTAAATTAAGTTCAGCAGGAAAGGATATGTGCGCCGAAATCTTCTTTCGCATTTTCGATCGAGATTTCTTCACATATTGAAAGCGCTGAAAACAAACATCGTTGACATCGCTTTTGTCACTCAAAAGTCGCTTACTTTTAAGTGAAAACAAGCAACAATAGGTGCTTGAGAGATGGTTAACTTAATGTTAGCTGACATTGACAGTTGGCATTTATCACAGTAGAAATTACTTAATGCTTCGGAATGTGTAAATCTTTGGCGAAAAAGAAAAGATATTCAACACAATTCTCTGTGGAAAAGTGTTTTACCTCCATAGACAATTTTCCAGAGAAAATGATGATGATGGGAATAATTCATCTGAAAAGAAAAATACAAAGGCATCAATCGAGTTTGATTCGAATAAATGTGAATTTACCGGATGAAGATGACAGAGGTAATTGAAGAGAAATATCTCGAACAAGATCATTTTTCGTCGATACAGATCTTCAACGACAAAGATTGAATTTTCAAATTGAACAAAACCTATTTTTCATACTAAACACCTACCCGCACTGAGAACACGTAATTTCTGATTGTAAAGCACCTTTAAAGAATCGATCAATGATACACGAACATGTTTTCTCATCATTTGCTAAAATCAAATTCATATTTTCTCAATCGAAGCATGCAACCATCGTTTCTCACAATTTTCATCGGTATTTTGTGAATGAATTATGTTAAATAAAGCCATCAATAACTCTTGTGCATCTTGTTCTTCGAAACCAGCTAAATGATTTTCGTGTGTCCAAATCAAATACAATAATTGTGATGGAACAAATGGTTCATTTGTTGTTTGTCCTTCATGAACCTATGAAAAAGATGTTCCTACAAATAACACTCGTATTCTTCGTAGTTACATGATGATACAAAAGACGTAATTGACACATAATACAATTATTGATCGTATGATTATCATCTTTGGATTCACATTGATGTTGTTTCTCGGAAAGGAAACATTCGCGAAGAACTAATTCAAAACAAAAATTTCCAAATTCTCATCGAGGAAATTGAAAGTTTACCAGGTGCATGAACAAATGCTTGTAGAACACTATTCATAAAACAAGTATTACCGAGATTAAGAAGTCCGCAGATACCTTCAAAAGTTCGATAAAGAAAAAACTCGCAAAGCAAATCATCGGTTTACCTCCAACAGTTGTTGAACCTGACGGATTGCTGGTTGAATTTTGTTGTAACAAAATAATCTTTCGTCTTGCTCGTTCGAACACTGGATCATATTGAACATCTCCACAATTATAACAGTGAACAAATAAGCGTTTGACATCGATCGCCAGTGGATGTGATGGTAATCTTGAATGCTGTTGAGCGTGTTGACGACAAAAACATGATGAACACTCTAAACAGATTCGACATTGTTCATCTGAATTACATTCGCGACATTTGGAAATCTAAATAAAAGCAAAATGAATAAATAAAGAATTCATCGAAAGAAATCTTCTCTTACTCGATGTTTATTGATCAAATTTTGAAAATGTGTGAAACAACTTGTGTGCTGAATGCGATATTTCTGTTTGAGTTTTTCAATATCTTGACATGGAAACTTATGTAAACGTGTTGGAACAACAACAGTCGGATTATTTGTTGCATTGGTTGTTGAACAAACTGATCGTGGTGGAGATGAAACTAAACTCATCGAGGGAAATGAAGACGAGTTTGTTGATGAAGATAATTCAATCATCGTTTTCTTTAGCGTTTCGATTGGATTTTCTTTCAGATAACAAGATTTCTTCGTGCAAAAAGAATTTTCAAAAGCTTTTCATGATGATTCATATTAACACATGTCGAAGATCTTATGAGTCATTAATTCAATTCGAAAACGAGATGAGATTTTGAAATGAAACTTTGAAAAAGATTTTCTTGGAAATTTTTTCGTAATATCTGATCAAATTATTGATTGATTTTGTTTCCAACGAATGAATCAACAATGTTTCTCTGCTCTGTCAACTAACGACACCTTTCTTTTATGATTACAAATAACTGCGTCTTTCACACACACACGAATCCCTTTTTCGTCATATCGTTTGTTCTCTTTTCAAACACAGTTGTGTTATTCAGTTCAGTTTTTGTACTCGAACTTTTACGGAAGTAATAATTCTCCGGTCCAAAACCTTTTCTAGTAAACAACATCCGAAATCTTTTTGTCTCATAAATATCTCAATTTCCTGCAGCATAAAATATTTTTCTTCATACCAAACCTAATCAATATTCATGATTTCCTCAATCGAGTAGGTTCTGTTTTTCGTTAATTATGAATAAATTTATTTAAAAAAAAAAACCAAATTCAAAAATAGATCGTTAAACCGCGATGTATGTATAAAAAAAGGGTAGACAAGAGACAAAGAACGCTGAGAATAGTTGTTGTTAATATATGGAATGGATTAGAAAAAGAAAAAATATTAAAAATATGTCAAAGAGAAAGATTTCAAAAAAAAGAATCAAATAGTTCTTTCTTTTTTCGTCTAAATCCAAACACGCGCACGTACTTAATACTAATTAGTAGACTATATATAAGTAAATATGCAAAAGAGTAAGAATGAGAAGAGAATTGTATTTTCAGTTCAAGATTCAGTCATTAAGATTGAGAGAGAAGAAGTTTTTCCTGATGATTAATATGGTATGGACATTTTTCGTTGACGATGACTTGAATCTGAATATTGATAATCTAAATATTAATAAAAACAAATTATTAACGGTCGAAACCGAAACAAATCAGGCGAAGTTCATGCGCAAACACTTCATGTTAACAAAACACCTACGAAATATCTCGACACGCGTTTCATTACGCATCGGATATTCTGTTAGTAAATAAGATTTTCGAATATTTACCCTGTTTTGACCAATTATCAACTGCAGTACGGCGACCTTCACGTGCTAAAAACACAAAGTCAAAATCAGAACTGATTGCTTTTGTTCAAAAAATTCATCGTACCTTCATAACTTTCATCTGTTCGAACCAATGTACTCGGCGCTGGTGTCCAGTTGTTCAAATCATCAATTTTTCTATAAATTTTCTCTCGGCGTTCAACAGTTGTCAATGGTGTGTATTGAACGGGAATATTTCTTGTTGTTGATAAACTACTTTGATATTCTCGGTAAGTTACGGGAACAGTTACAGGCACAGTTCGTTCGTAACTGTAAGTGTCCTGTTTAATCACTTCTCGATCAGTGATATCATCGTGAACGTACCAAGTTACACGACGATCGAAATCATCGAAAAGTCGTGATGCTCGGCGTTGGAAGAAGAATGGATCGTCCAAAGGCTCCCAGATGAGTGGTGGAGGTGGTGGTGGTGGGAGAACATAACTTCGTTCGATTCGTGTTGTACTGGCTGTTCGTTGAAGATTTGAACTACTGTAACTAGTTGATAGTCGATTGAGATTGCCATAAGATGATGAACGAGAATAATATGAACGGCTATCGCGCGAATAATCACGTGTGATTGACATTTTGAAAAAAGAAAGCTATTTGATTCGGTTTTTACAAATCTAAAATAACGTCAAATAGATACAAATTCCTTGAAATAATATAAAAACGGGTAAAAAGCTTCATGCAAACATGACCTTTATATGTCTTGAGTTTCAATGTGCATCTGCACTCGAGAGTTGTACATTTGATAGGGAAGGAAAATAACATTTTGCAGTCTTACTTTGTACTGTACATTATATAACGTGGAAAATTTCTGTCTTTCTCTCTTTTTCTTCAGTTGAATGATAAGCAGGAAGAAAAACAAGATAGTTTTTCTCAACGACGAAACTGCTGCTCTTCGTTTTGATTGCAAATGACGCTGTAACATTGGAAAATTAAATCAATAAATGGAAATTTTAAGATACACATACCGATAGTGATTTCATCGAGGGAAAAAATTTTGAATTCGTTGGATCGCGTTGCTCAGCGTAAATTTCGGGCGGAATCGAACCACCATCAAAAGTACCCTGAACTTTTATCATACCATTAGACGACGAAGTAGCCGAACAACTAAGCCAACTCGATTATTGGCAAAAGAATGTGGTTAATAAACCTTTTATACCTGTAGGTTGAGCAATAACTTCATTCCACTTCTGATTGAAATGAAGAGGAAAAAACATAAACACCGTTTACGTGTCCTTGAGGGAAAAAATACATAATAGTAGCAAGAAATCGGTTTGGGTAGTCGTTCTGAATTAGAATAACTGAGAAATACAATTGAGAGAAGTAGAAGGACAAAAACACAAGCAAACATCAACAAATCTTCTTGTTATTCCAAACAAATATATGTTTTTCTTATCACTAGGTCATATTCATCGATCCGATATGATACTCTCCTACATATTTGTGCAAATACATTAGTTGATAACATTATAAACATATGCACACCTGTTGACAAATATCACAGTTAATCTTTATTTCTTGAATAAACATTTCAAGTTACAAGAGATCAATTAGAAACAAGGGTATCCGACAAGATGGAGTAGCAAATATCTATTTTTACAGATTGACTCTTATCTTATCACTCGAACGTTTTTAATTACTCGACTTCAAAAGTATTCACTTCATTATCGTCTAAAAATAGTAGAACAACTTTGTGAAGAACAATATCAAATAATAATTTTCATTAGCATTTCAATTGTTTATTCTTCAGAATGTAAATAAGCACTACTCATGTCGAAATGTACTTAGATTTGCTTGTATAAAGACATGAGAAGATTTTCCTCTCATCTAATATTTGTGACTTCCACATGTGATAGTTTACATGAAATTCGAAGTTAATTTGTGGAAAAAAATCTTTGTTCACATCGCATGTTGCGCGTTCTTAGTTTATAATTAGTATTCGTTTCATGTAACGAAACTTGAGTTGATACAGAAAGGCATGTTTAAATCTTCTTTGGTCAGAGGTAGATCACGTCTATGAAGATTATTCGATTTGTAATCTCTGTCTATGTGATCTAGAATACATTAGCGTCGACGAGAGAAGACTAAAAACTTGATTTGATTTTGCCATTCATTTTCAAAATTTAATGATAGAAAGCCTTTCTTCTCGCACATTCATTTCTAATCACGCGATCATTACAGATGTATTCATCTATTCACAACTGACTGTTTTTCCAGTAGGTGTATTGTTAATTTCAAAAAGATTCTTCTGAAAGAAGGTCATAGATTAACGTCATTTCCGATTAGATATATTTTCTCTTCTCTTTTTTGTGTCATGTCTTTAATCTTTTTTTTTTCCTTCGCGAACATGATGATGACGAAAAGGACGGCTACTAGTTAACCATGTTCAACAACATTGAAAACATGTAAAGAGAAACTAATGTGAATAGTAAACAGTAGCAACACTTAACTTTGTTAAAATAACGGAAAAAATAGAACATTTATTTTGGTGAGTTCAGACAGAGAGAAATTCGCTTTAGGCAACGAGAAGAAAACATTATTATTCTCGACAAAACATATGAAAGAATAGGATGTGTTTGTTGTTCCCGTTCGATTTCATTTAACCGTTTACATTTTTACTATTCTAGATCAATCAATTTCATGATTTGTAGTCAAGTTAGTCAGTGTATGAGAAATAATCAACTGTACTCCATCAAACCCGAAAAGATGATTGAATTTTCGTGAATCAGCATCTGTCAACAGAGAGTGAAATCGCTTTCATCATTTTAGTCAGGTTAAAATTTCTTTTAGGAACCAATGTTCTTTCTTCGTAAAGATATTATTATTCATTCTAATTCTTGATCAGTTTTATGAACAATTTTTTAATCCGAAAGATATATGTCAGATGCTTTCTTGCTTAGGTTTGAGGGCATTTCATTTCCGTATCGGTTGTAAGTGAAAACGAGAAAAGAATATAATCACATGAGAGGTTACTTATTGCTTAATGTTCCATATATAGATCATATTCGGTTCAGGTGAAAAAAGCAGAGTTTTCATGATGGATGAGTTACTCCAGAAGAAGATTAATTTATCCAGGGAATCGAATACACACACACACACACATACATACAAATGGAAGGAGCACATAAGAAGGGCTGTTTTTTAATTCTTTGGTTTTTCTTTTTGCTGATCTTCGTATTGAATAAACGATGAAGATTTTCATCTGAGAAATTATTTCTGTCTCGTATAGAGAGGCGAATAATATCTTAATAGACTTAATCGCCTTAAGTTTCTGTCTGGGATTGAGGAGTTTTCCTCTAGAATCAGAGTTTATTTTTATACGAAGTTGGATCCGAAATTTTCAATTGTAAGAGATTCTTCTTCGGTTTGTAGATGACTAATTTATCATCACTTGAGGATTTGATACGGGCCCAAGATGAAATCGATGATCTATGGCATTCAATTAACAAATCTCCATCAGATCCGTTGTATTATTGGATATCATATGCAACGTTTACATTCGCTGTTCTAGGTTCCTTAAGTAACCTTACTTCTGTTATTGTCCTTTTAAGACTAAGTACGCATTTGGCAACCTTTGTGTATTTAACTAGTTTAGCATTATCGGATATGATAACATGTTTATCCATAATGATCGCTCAACTTCTGGAATTTATTCTTCAAACTCGTCGAAGCACATCTGTTGCTATTTCGCTTCGTCAAATCGAAATTCTCTGTGGAGCGTTAGCTGCCGGTGGTCGAGTTTTGTCATTTTGGA